GACCCCACAAACGGTGCAGAACAGATGACTGGCTTGGCGAGATAGGTTAATGATGACTGGGGGCAACGGTCCATTTTGCATGTCTATCGCACAGTAAAATCATTATACATGCATTCCATCTCATCTTACTCATTAGCCTTCAGGCTGCCGTAATTGCGATGCGTGTTTGACTTTCTTCCCAGACGTGACCAGACAGCAGTTACGACACGGCAACTGAACAGGTCTTGTCGTTCAAGCCATAACGCGGACACCAAAGGCATTTGCATTGTATAGAATATCGTCATTATGCAGGTAACAAATGCTCCAGGAAGAAACCATTGAGCTAGCGAGGTAGCTAGCTAGTGTACGGCGTTTCGCTCGTCTTGTCTCGCCCACAACGAAGGTAGATTTGCAGTGCACTAATTCAAACAATCAAGCGCTTCAAGGTTAAGGAGGCCAGCCTTACTGTTCAACTCTATACTATCCGAGCGACATTTGTTAGGCGACAATTGGGTCACGCAAGCGAGAGCCAACAAACATAAGTTATATCCAATAACGTCTACCGAAAGCAAAATTAATCGGCTGCTTTCCTTGGAACAGCGCTTCCATTACTCAAGACTGCAACCGCAAGCTAGCCATGTTCAAACGGCGCGGGACTCAGACCGCCCATTCGTTGCTAGCGTGCTGACAATCCGCCCAGGTAAGCTTAATCGGCTCCTTCTCTTCTGAACTCTGGTCATTTCTTCGCTTCGCTTCCTCTGGCCACCTGCCAAGGACATGAACCGCGTCGGTTTTAAGAGTCGCATTACTATATTACGGATGTGCTGTGGAGTGGTCTCTGTATGCTGCCATGAACTACCACTTAACAGGGCTAAGCGCCGAAGGAATGGCCTACGACGTGCCTTCGGCATGAGTTCTCATTGTGCGCATGCTGACGGAAGCTCCTTTGTTTCTCGCTGTTTTTCCACAGGCTTTCTAAGTGTGCAACTAAAGCTATATGTCAACGAGTAAAATCTTATTCTGCGGCTGCTTTCCTTGGGGCCGCCGAGGCAGCGACGATGACAATGAGGAACACCGCTGCAATAGTGATACCGTTGTAGTGAACTGCAACAAAAGTGAGATTGTCGTCATCGAGCCCGACCCTCACTTTGAAAAGGTCAAGCCTGTTGGTGCAGGCAACACCATCAGTACCGGCCAGGCCAGCGACTCGGTAAGCACCAAATTCCGCTAGCTGTAAACACTGGATTATGCACGCCAAGATTGGCCCATCCGTAGGTAACCATGAGCACTCTTAAGCCCTTAACTAGGTTTTAGGCGAGCAGCTAACATGTGGGCTTGTTTTGGCGACAATCTCAGGCGGCTCAAACCATAGAACTGTGGCGAACCAGCCCCCACCCCTCAGCCCCTATCTGGTCATGCCGCAGGAATTCGACAGCTTGTGCATCCCAGCCCAGGTGGAGCATCCCACGGATGATTCCGATCCCGCCGCAAGCGACCTCCTGCTGGCCGGCCCCTCCGACCTGCACGGCAGCAACGATGTGGCTCCCTTCCGCCCCTGCAGCGACCCGCGCCTCTCCTCGCGCACTGCCTCATCCTCCAACGGCACCACCTACGCCTCCGCCTCCAGCACCAGCCCCGGCGGCCTTATGCCCGGCAGCCCGCCCACCTTATCCGAGGCCGGCCAGCTCGACCCCGACCCCGCCAGCCCCGCCCCCGCCCCCGCCTCCCACTACCTGCACGACTCCTCCGAGCCGCTAGTGCTTCTGGAGCCGCCCGACCCGCGGGCGGTGCGGATTGATCCCGAGGCCTTCCGTGTGCGCGACGTACAGGAGATACACCGGCAGCGCTACAGCAGCGCCGCCAGCCTGGCCGCCAGCCAGGCCATGAGGCAGCAGCCGGCCGCCGCAGCAGCAGCAGGCGACACCGCGGAGGCGCAGCACAGCAGCTTCAGCAGCCTCCTGGCGGACGGCTCCTCCGCCAACTCGCAGTCGCAGCACAGCCTCAAGCCGCACCGGCCACCGCTCTCACGCCCCAACTCCCAACTCAACGGCTTCACCTCCCAGCAATCCTTCCGGGCGTCAGTGCCCCAACTCCCTCCCCCACCCCCCCGAATGGGCCCCCTGCCGCCGCTGCAGTTCGACCGGAGCCGCTACAGTGGCTTCGGCGCCCCCACCCCCCGCCCGCTGCCCGACCTGACCTCGTCCGACCGCCACGCACTGCCCTTCCTGGACTCGCAGCTGCCGGAGCAGCACAGCGGCGGCTCCCTCACCGCAGCAATACCCGGCTCGCTGCCCTCCATGACGCAGGGCTCGCACACCACAGGCGGCCTGCTGCAGGGGCTGACCTCGGGCCCCGCCTCGGGCAACGGCTCGGGCTTGCGGCGGTCCTCGGAGTGCATGTCCTCCCTGGCGGCCCTCGGGGGGCTGCACGCGGGGCTGCAGCAGGTGTCGCCGCCGCATGAGGAGCACGGCGGAGGGCCGGAGTGCCTCAGCCGCTTCGCGCCGCAGCACCACCGTGGCAAGGAGCCCAACCACCACCACCACCACCACCACCACCAGCTAGGGGCGGGAACGGGGATGGGGATGCGGACAGCGGGAAGCGGTGCGGGCGACGGCATGGAGCCCTGGACGCCGGAAACGACCGGTCGCGGGGCGGCTGCCGGGGGTGGCCGTGTGAGGAGCATGGAGGCGTCCCCGTTCGAGTCGCGGGGGACGCCTCACGGCCGGCTGAGCAGCGGCACAGGGGCTGCTGCCGACCCCGAGCCCTCACCCCGGGTGGACCGCTACCTGCCCGTGTACTACTCCTCCGGTTACAGCTCCACCACCGCCTCCCCGCCCCCGCCTCTGGGCCTGCAGCTGATCGAGCCCCTGCCCGCCAGCAGCACCCTCACCCATGCTGCGCTGGAGGGCAGGAGGAGCGGCGCCGGCGTGGCAGCGGGGCGGCGGCTTGAGACCGCCCTGTCGGGGCTCGGCAGCAGTAACGGCAGGGGCAGCGGGCTGGGGGGCATGGCGCAGCCGTCGCCTCGAGCCAGCCCCCTGGCCGCCCCGCCGCCCATGCTGCTGCACTCGCGCAGCTCGGCGCCCTCGCATGTCTTTGCTGCCAGCGCTTACGAGTCTCCTGTCGCCGCAACACCCGCCATCACGTCGGCTTCTGTCACGGCTCCCAAGCCCCCGCCCCTTCGGCTCGCCTCCGTCCCCCTGAGCCCGAGACCCCAGCCGCCCCTGTCACGAATGCTGAGCCCCGCTCGGCTCCAGGAAGGGGGCAGGGAGTCCCGGCTGGAACACCGCTCCAACTCCCCCCTCACACCCGAGCTCAAGGACCAGGCGGCCAACCAGGGCTGGTTGTCAGCTGCCGCTCCGCCGCCGTCCGCCTCCGCATCCGTTGCCCACGTAGAGGGGGCAGCCGGCGGCGGCGGGTGCAGCAGCGGTGGCGGGCGGGCAGCTGGTGAGCCCCCTCGGCCGCTGCGGCGCACCCCCACGCTGGGCCAGCAGCGGCTGGAGGCGGCACGGGCCAACGAGGTGCTGCTGGCGGCGCTGCTGAGCGGCAGCAAGTCCGCAGCCCACGCGGACACCGCCAGCGTGAGTGGTGCGGTTGCTGGGGCGCAGTTGCTGGGGCGCATTGTTGGGAACACATAGGGGGTCGTCGATGGCTTACCACGCATGGATCAACCGGCTAAAGCAGGCTGCTGTGCGCACCCCACCGCTTGCCCCCACCCCCTCCCACGCAGGTGTTCACCGCTGGCGGCCCTGCAGACGAGCTGGAGCGGTTCGAGCCCGTGCAGGCCGCCATGGGCCGCTTGGAGGGCATCATGGCGGGGGGGCCCGGCACCCCGCACCCGCCCGCAGCAGCAGCGGGCCGCGCCAGCAGCACCCGGATGCTGCCGGGGGGCGGGGGCAGTGAGGTGGAGCGGGGCGGCTGGACGGCTGCGGCGCCCGGTCTGGCATCTCCCAGCATGCGCGCGCGCCCGCGATAGGGCGGTTGAGGGGCGGAGTTTGGGGCTTGTGGTAATAATATACATACGCGTACGCCGGACTTGCCCTGGCATGGTTTCCGCAGAGCCTTAGACGGATAGTGGCCACGGTTATAGTAGAGGTGGGCCTGTTGCTTGGAGCGGGGCGGAACCGGGAGAGGCTGGTGCCGTGGCTGCATACGGGGCTGTACAGCGCTGGGAGCTGCTGTATGTGTCGGGGTACGGGAGGCGGCATGCGGCCATGCAGCTGGTTGGCTGATGTGGCTGCATACGGGGACCCTATGCTTGCATTGTGACTGCATTTGGCATTCCATGAAACGATAATACTGTTTGCATACGACCGTGCCGAATAAGCTTTACCCATAGTGAGGGGGTGGCACGAACTGGCTGATTTCGTTGCGAAGAGCTTTTATGCCGTTCAAGGCAGCAGCTGCTGTGTACTCTTTCCTTGCTGTACAAAGCAAGGGTAACGAGCTAACGATGATCTTGAAGAGATAGAGCCGCTGGAAGGCGCCGTGCATGGAGTACCGGTATTCCTTGGTCTCCTCTTGTACTGAGCTGTGTGAGCGGTGTGGCCAGCTGGCGTCCCCCACCGCGGCACTGCTAGGGGTGCAGGGGGCAACCGGCATGCATGCATGATGGGTCGCATTGCTGAAGCGGTTAAGATGATGTGCGCGGATGAGGGCGCGGATGGCGTGTGGTTTTGGAGCAGTGACAGGCACGAGTGATGAGTCACGAGTGCTGCCGTACAGGAGATGTGAAGAAGACGAGCATCCGCTGACAGAATGGCGACCTGAACCTATGGGAGCCTTAGGACTTTGGAAGAGTTTGGATCCGGTACCCCGTCCTATGTGGCGGTGGTGCTGACAGGGTGCTGCGTGCACGTGGAAGTGGGGAAGTGAGGACTGGTGAGGCCTGGCCGGCCTGGGGGCACCCTCCCGCTCACTGCATGGAGCCAGGTTGCTGACGGCGTGACGTGGCATCGGGCGCTCGCCTGCATCGCTGCTGGGGGGCACGACCCGGATTGAACTGAGCATTGTCCCCTCTCTGCTGCTTGTGTGCTGGTTACACGTATTCTGCCGGCTTTAGGTGTTGTGCCGCCGGGCAACGAAGGCATTCGTCCGCTGCTGAGGAGGTGCAGCTGCATTACCCCACCTCCCCTAGCGCCCACTCAGCGGCAAGCGTTCATCGTCACCACAGCTCCCAGCCGTCCCCGTACTTGCACAAAACCACATTTCGGACAAGGACATAGTAAGGGCAGAACGTGCGTTCAATCCGCCCACCTCATCCCCTACCGTATCATTAGTAACTCGGTGCATCTGCCGCAACACGCACTGCGGCACCTCCTGCGGCACTCCTGTCTGCCCACATCAGTTGTACCATCCCTGCCTGCCAGGTGAACAGAAGTAAACCAACAGCCACTCACGCGCTGCACTCACACTCTCAGACACTCTCACGAGAGCACAACACAGCGCACCGTGTCGTCTGCTGTCCGCACTGTTCAGTGGCGCACTGCTGCACCTGTGGTCCTACATGGTCCTACTTCCTCTCCGCCCCACTGCAACCTGCCGCCCCACCACTCCAAGCACACGAACACACACGCAAGCCTCCACTCGGTTTCATAAAGATTGAATTCACCGGACACTGTTCCTTTATAGGTGCATGACACATTTTGAATGCACACATGTCGACAAACATCGTGTATCTGTCTAAACAGCTGACCCGACCTGACCGCAGCAAAAGTCCACACATGCAAACCGCTCCAACACACGAAAAGACATATACACCCCACCGGGGGACGCCCCCGCGACTCACTTACCAACACCCGCGGAAGCAAGGCACCGCTCCTCGCCACGTGACACATGCAGCATGCCATGACAAACCAGCCAACCATGCAGCAGCGCCCTCCTGCCCCCCGTCGTCATCACCTCGTACAGCTGAGGACAGCTCACCAGCTAAGACGTCTGCCGAGTAATGCATGCGCTCTTAGTAACGCACATGCTTCGTCATCATTGAAACTTTGACAGGTACACTTTTTCATATCATTTTGCAGCAACCAACAAAACATGCTTGAAGCCATTAACCATGCAATGCATGGGACAACCTCCAACTTACATAGCCTGACGCTGCTGACGCTTCCAAATCCTCTTGTTCGATACGACCGGACGCCAGTCACCACCCTGCTGCTGCCCCCCCTCCCCTCCCCCCCCTCAGTTGCTGTTCGCCAGCTCCGGCGAGTCCATGGTGGGTGCGTACATGTCCCGCTCCAGCTGGTGCAGCGTGTAGGGAGCAGCGTTGTTGTCGCGACGGATGCGGCTCTGCCAGGAGGGCCACTCCGCAGCGATCTGGAGGTTCACGGGGTTGGCGGCGCGGCCGATGGCTCCCTCCGTGGCCGCCCCGCCCATGCGCTTCTCCAGGTAGGCGTACGGCACCTCCTGCAGCACACTGCCCCGCAGACCCGCGCACACGTCGCCGGGGGGCACGTCCGCGAGGGAGGCCTCCGCCATCATCTGCAGCTGCCGGTAGGACAGGGGCTGGCGGGGAGGTGGGGGCAGGGAGGGGGGGGGAGGTGGGGGCAGGAGGAGGGGTCAGCAGCATGAAGCGGGAGCAGCGACGGTCGAAGGCAGTCGTGGCGGCTGTACACATGTAACCACCACGCAGCCATCCCTTCCCCCCTCCGCCCCATCCCTTCCCTCCCCCCCCTGCCCCCCCCCTCACCGGCACCATCATGAGGTCCAGGTGCGTCTTCACGCCGTTCACCACCACGTAGGCCTTGGTGCCCGCCACGAACTCCAGGGAGGGGTCGCCCCCTTCCGCCAGCTGGGCCGCCCAGTTGTGCACCTCCACCCCCGTGATCACCGCGTAGTCGGCGGTGGCGGGGTTGACCGCCTTCTCTATCAGGTACTCCAGGTCGTCGCTGATGGTGCGCTCGGCGACCTGGGGGGGGGGGCAGGGAGGAACAAGGGCAAGCGAGTAAGACCGACGGAAAACCAAAGCTGGGGGAGGGGCTGCGCAAGGAGCGGGGTGGCGAGGAATGCAAGGCTCCGGAGAAGCTAGGGACGTGAGGGCGCGGAGGAAGCCAGCAGCAACCATAGTCGGGAACTGCTTCTCTTACCATCTCACAGACCGAAGCAGAGCGCAGCAAACCATAGCCCTCTCCTCCCTCTCCTCCTCCTCCCCCTCCCCACTCCTCCCCCACCTTTGTGAGGCTGGGCAGGTCCAGCGCGCGCACGTCCAGCTTCTCGTAGCGGATGCGGCGGGCCAGTCGCTGCTTGAGGATGGAGTACTCGGGCTCCAGCGGGTCGTGCAGCCCCGGGGAGCGCACGGCGGCCTCCAGGCCCTCCGACTGCAGTTCGACAAGACACTGCGGCAGGGGGGGAGAGTGGAGGGAAGGGGGTGTTGCAGGGGGCGAGGCAGGCGGAGGTATGCGGGGCAGGTGGCGCGGAGGGGCTCCCTGTTTGCAGCTGCTTCCAGCACGTCAGGGCCCTCCGGGAGCAGCCGATGACAGCCCCGTTCTTGCCTGATACAATCCAACTAAAACAGGTCCTCCTCCCCCGCCCTCCCCCGCCCTCTGCCTGCCCTCTGCCCCCACCTTTTGCAGCGCCCCGCACGCGCACGACTTCTTGGGCCTCCCCGGCCGCGCGATGGCGCCCACCTCGCCCTCGCTGTTGATGGCGATGTGCGGGAAGGCGAAGAACACGTAGCGCTCGCGACCGCCCTGAGGAGGGGCGGGAGGGTCATCAAGGGAGGGGGGGAGGGTAAGACGGGGCGGCGGGAGGGTGGGAATGGACTGTGCCGCATGCGCCATAATTCTTCTTACAGAGGTCAGCAGCTGCATGCACGTCCCCGACAGACCCGTGGGTCACCCTGGCCCCCTCCCCCCCACCTGGCACACGGGCGAGTGGCTGAGCCCCGCCTTCATGCCCGTCACACCGCACGTGAGCACCGCACCCAGTCCGTTGGTGTTGAATGAGGAGCCGAAGCACGCCTCGATCTTGTCCTTGAGCACCTGGGTCACCTCGTCGCGGCACAGGTTGGTCATGGCTGCGGGGAGGGGGGGAGGGAGGGGGGCAGGAGGTGGAGTGAGAGAAGTGCGGAAGGGGATGAGAGGGAGTGTGGGTAGCGGGGAGTGGGGGGTGCGGCGCCACGGGGGCTCCTAGGGGCACTGTCCGGGGGTGCCAGGAGAGGGACAACAAGGCAGAGGAAAGTGGCGGCGGGATGTTGCAGTGAGAGAAGTGATGTTGTCTTCCTCCATGCCACTTTTGCCTTCACAAGCCTCCGAAGCCCTTTCAACGTAAACCGGCTTACCAATCGTGTTGTCGCCAGTGAATCCAAAACCCGCCAGCACAATCTGGGCACGCAAAGAAACCGTCTTAGTTGAGAAGTGCTCAAGGCTGCTTAGTTTGAGAGGCAGGCGACAGAAACAGCAGAGGCCGGGTTGCAGGCGAGCCACGTACCTCCACTCGCGCCATGAAGTCGTCGATGCCAAGAGCGGTTGGAAAGTACCTGTGCGTCCGACGCCGGGTCCGTTAATCGCAACGTCTTTGCTTGCAAGCAACCATGCGGTGCTTTATTTTCGCTTCTTACCGCAGGACTTGTGCATGGCGGTCCTGCATGTGCTTAGTAAAGTCCACCTCCTCTACTTGAACGGCGGGGACGGCGACTTGGGCACCATTGGTCTGAGCTAGGGCCTTGCTGTTGGCGATTGTAAGTGCATTTGAAGCTTCTGCACGTACATAGCAGGTCCGACGAGATAATCGCTGCGAGCGTAGGGTAGGTGGCACCTGCACCTTTGCGCATGGCTTGCCGACTATGGACTTGTGAGCAATCGCCATCTTCGTATTTGACAACAGAGCCTAATAAAGAACAGATAGCCTGCTTAACATTCTTAGTAGCACTACGTGATTTTTAGTAAGGGCATGACATGTAGTAGGGAGTAGGGCCGTGCAAGCCTTACGACGCCGTACCCTACCATACTATCTATCTGGTCAATCAATAGGCAGCCATGATAAATGTTGCTCATACTTCTTGTAAAGTTGATGCAAAGTTGAGGTGAGGATGTCGCGGAGGGTTTGTTCACGATTCGGCCTTTAGCTAAAGGACATCATGCAATTGATTCGATCTGGGCTGACATATTTAGGTGGGCAAAAACTTTCCTTGAATGCAATTTTTGATCCAAGAATTATGCTTGCTTAGCAACTTGTCAACTGCTAGCCCCCTTAGTAAAGACACGGGAAGTGGAAAGATAGTGTTTCAGCAAGAGTTAAGATGCTATCGTAACTAACGTGGCACGCGAGGATATCCTCGTGACTATGCTAGCAAGCTTATTGGCCCCGGTTCCGTGTCCAGAGTACTGCAAGCCGTTACAGTACCGTACATGCTCGTCAGCCTCCCACTGCAAAAGGAACCTCATCACCCCATGCATAGACGTTAGACGTGGAAGACGGTTGGAAAGCTGTCGAGTAGCTGTCTTTACCCTACCAAGCCTAGCGGTACAAAGCATTGGGTGATGCCGGGGCACCCCTCGCAGTCCTGGGAAGCAAGCAGCAGCCGCACATGCTCCTCACAACATGCATACGTGGAACACCGCTGTTGACGCCGTGCGGCTTGCATGTACCGCAGGGAGAGGTGCAAAACAACTGCTCTAGCGTAGGAGGCCAAACAGGCCGTGCACGTGCGCTCAGGCCGGTAACCCCGGCAGCTCGGCAGCCCTAACAACACCGGGTGCATGGCGGCTCCTTACCAACCGAATTCCAACCAGCGCTCGGGCCCATCAGCCCAAGCCAGTCTCCTCAAGAGTCCTCCCACCGCTACACTCCTCCACTCCCAGCCACTCCGCCAGCGCACACCAGCTTGCATGCAACAACACCTCTGTCCAAGGCCCCGTCTGTGTTCCAGGCCCCACCGCCCCGTCCGCCCCCGTCCCCACCCACTCCGCACCACCTGCCACCCTCCCGCCCTTCCCCATGCTACACCCCACCACCGCCACCCCCCTACTTCTTCCTGGCGCCTCCGCGCTCCTTCAGCCCCAGGTTCAGCACCACATCCGGCGACACGTTGTAGTGCGCCAGCGACAGCTCGTCGCGCATGAAGCCCGCCCCCTCGCGAGCCAGCTTCTGCTTGTTGACCGGCAGCTCCAGCGCAGCGGACAGCCGAGCCTTGAACTCCGCCACACTCTCCGCCAGCGCCGGCACCTCCACCTCCAGCATCTGCCCGAACAGCTTCTCGCTGCCCTCCACCTCGGGGCACAGCACCTTGACGCGGCTGGGCCCGGGGAAGCGAGCCAGGAACTCCTCCTCCGGCTGCAGCACGAAGTCCCCCGCGGTGCGGGCGCGCTTGGCGTCCGGCTGGTCCTCCGCGGGCAGGGGGGGCGCCTCGCGCGGCAGGGGGGGCGCGGGCATGGAGGGCGGGGGAGGGGGGCCGCCGCCGGGCATGCCTGGGGGCCGCGGCGGGCCGCCCATGCCTCCCATGCCGCCCATGTGGCCCCCCATACCCATGCCCATTCCCATGCCTGGCCCCATCCCACCCATGGGCCCGCCCATGCCCATTCCCATCCCCATGCCCATTCCCATGCCCATCCCCATGCCCATCGGCGGCCGCATGCCCATCCCCATCCCCATGTGACCGCCCATCATGCCCATCGGCGGCCGCATCATGCCCCCCATCGGCCCCCCCATGGGTCCCCCCATCGGCCCGCCCATCATCGGCGGCCGCATGCCCCCCTGCGGCGCCATCTGCGGCCCCCCGCCCGGCCGCGCCGCCGGCCCCAAGGTGACCGCCTGCGGGATGGCCGACGCGCCCGCCTGCCCCCCCGCGCCCGGCCCGCCTCGCTCCGCCTGCTCGCTGCGGCTGTCCGCTATGGCGCGCATCTGGTGGTGCAGCGCCTCGCCGCCCTGCGTGGCACCGTCCCACGCCACCGGCCGCCCCACCCCCGACATCATCTTGTCCTTGATCTCCTCGCGCACCGCCTGCTGCAGCTCCTCCTCCGTGGAGCCGAAGATGTCGGGGCGGCTGACAGCTAGCCCCACCAGGTTGCGGGTGATCTCGTCGTCCGTGGCCTGGGGGGGGGAGGGGGGGTGTGATGGAGGGGGGGTTAGGCGGGGGCGGAATGGGTGGGGGTGAACCGGGGTTGGGTTGTGGCGGCGGACCGGGTTCAGCGAGCAGTGCGGCTGTGGTGAGGGCAGCACATCAGCTGTTGGAACTGCGGCTGTGGATAGGAAGGTGCAGATATGCGGCTCCCCTCCTCCCCCTGCCCCCCCATCCCTGCGTGCCCCGGTGCCCCCCGCCTCCCACCTTTGTTGTCTCCCTGATCTTGGACAGCATCACGTCCCGCTGCTCCCGCCAGCGCGGGTCGATGAGGCTGATGCGCATGTGCTCCGCCATCTCCTCGATGGGGATGAGCTCGCCTGGGGGCGGGGGGGGGGACAGGAGGGGGAGGGGAAGGCACGGGGAGACGAAAGGTCAGTCAGGCGGCTTCAACACGGCTTTCACCCACAGCCTAACCCAGCGCTTGTCCCCGTTTGAACTCCACTCACCCACCTATCTTACTCCCTCCACCCCACCCCTCCTCCCACCCCCCCACGCCCCCCCCCACGCACCCGTGATGGGCGACACGACGGACTTGGTGGGGTCGTACGCCCGGCCCGCATGCGTGCGCACCGCCTGCCGGGTGTAGTTCTTGACCACCCGGATGGGCGCCTCCTCCTCCTCCTCCTCCATGTCCGCATCCATGTCCGCCTCGCCGCCCTCGGGAGCAGCAGGCTCCGGAGCCGCGTTGGCGCCCTCCGCAGCAGCGGGAGCGCCCCCTGCTGCCGCCGCTGCCGCACGCGCCTCCTGCGCCGCCGCCTCCGCCACCATGGCGCGCTCCTCCTCGTCCATCTCCATGTCCGCCTCCTGGGGTGGGGGGAGGCGGGGCAGAGGGGAGGTGGGTGAACGTAAAGGTTTGGGGGGACAAGGGGCCGGCGTCAGGGCGAGCGCGTTCTGTCCTGCCATGCGACCTCCCCGCAGGAGCCCCCTGACACGTCCCAGGTGTCCGCCGCTAGCTGACAGCCTTCCGGCAGCGCCTCCCATGCTACACCCACTCCCCGCCACGAGCCCTTCTCCTCCCTTTCCCCCCTCCCTTTCCCCCCTCCTCCCTCCCTCATTATCATACCACACTTTGGAATTTCTTTTTTCCCTCCCCCCCTCTTCCCCACCTTGACCGCCTCCTCCTGCTGCTGCTGCAGGTTGAGCGCCTCCAGCGCCTCGCGGCTCTTGTTCATGGCGATCACGTCGCGCAGGGTGAGCGGCGGCGGCAGCTCCGCGTCCTCCTCCTCGTCGAACGTGATGGTCTCCACAACCACGAAGTCGTGCCAGTCGATGGCCTGCGGGCAGAGGGGGGGAGGGGCAGGAGAGGGGCGGGGGAGGGGCGAGGGAGGGGCGGGGGCAAGGCGTGGGGTTACGAGCTAGCGAACAAAGAGGCTCCCGTCATGGGAGCGGAGCAACGGGTTGGGAGGGGAGGCAAAGTGAGGCCCCACGAGGCAGGAGGCCTGCCCCGCCTGCCCCGTTCTCCCCTGCTACCGGCTTGGCCAAGCTGGGTCAAGCTCAGTGGGGATTCGGCGGGGTGGTTCGCCTGGTCATCCCCGCTAGTCCCCTCCCCCTCCCTCCCCCCGCACCTGGATGGCCTGCCGCTCCCTCTCCGCCTCGTCCGCCGCCTCCTGCGCCTCCCGCTCCCGGTGCCGCTCCCACTCCAGCCGCCGCAGCGCCCGCTCCAGCAGGCCCGCCCGGTCGCCCGCGTCCCGGCCCAGCCGCTCCTTCAGCCCCTTGTCCGGCATCATGACGCGGCTGTAGGCGTCCGCCAGCGAGGTGAAGAAGGCGAAGAGGCTGTGTGTGGGCTTCAGGAAGTTGAACTGCGGGTTGGTGTGCTCGCGGCTGGAGAGGCCCGCCAGGAAGCTCTTGCCGTTGCGCGCCACGAACTGCGCGGTGAGCTTGATGACGTCCAGGTCCTGGGCGGTCAGCCCCTCGGGGACATGGACCTGGGGGCGGGGGGGGACGGGTTGGAGAGGTGAGGTAAGGCGAGAGGGGGCTCTTGTGGGCCAGGCCGGGCCGTATGCCGGCCAAGCTGCGGAGCTCGAGTGTCTGCTGCCCTACCCCTCACACACTGCGCTCCTGCCAGACTCCCTCCCCCTCCCCCTCCCCCTCCCTCCCCCTCCCCCTCCCTCCCCACTCCCCCCACCGTGTACAGCTCGTCCTCGGGCTTCTCCAGCGGCTTGATGGTGGCCTTGGGGGGCAGCGGCAGAGGGGCGGCGGCGGCAGCGGGGGCGGGGGCACCTGCAACCGGCGCCCCGGGTGCTGCCGCCTGCTGGTCCCGGGGCGCCGCGCCGTCTTCCGCGGAGAAGTCCTTGATCTGCGGGGAGGGGGTGGAGGGGTGGGGGTGCGGGGGGGGAGGGGGAAGGAGGAGGCACGGGGGCGGGTGGTACAGCGGGGTGCGCGGCGAGGGGGGTCAGGGGTCTCTAGGGGGACGTGCCCCTAGCCATGCTGTGCACCGCAGGGTTCGAGCTGCGAGGGACCGTGGCACGGTATTCTGGCCGCTGCTGCTGCTGCTGCTGCTGCTGCCAACCTCCGCATGCCCCTGGGCCGCCGCGGTGCCGCCCTGGCCGAGCATCAAGGATGGCAGGCAGCGGCCCGGGGCCTCCGCAGCAAGCCCGGGTGGTGGCGGGGACCTGCTGCGCCGGGCGGCTGCCCCCTCCCGTGCGGCTGCTCCCCGCAGGAGGCCGTCCGCCATGCCGCAAGTCGGTGCTGCGGCCGCTGCATGTGGAGGCCCCCCTCCCGGCAGGGTCGTTCGGGATGTGCAGCGATGGCTGCGCAGCTGTGCTGCTGCGTCCCTCCTTTCCTGCTGCTGCCCACTGCTTCCGAGTCCTGATGCGGCACAGCCACGTGTGCCAGCCTGGCAAGCCGCCGTCCCCAGCTGCACGGCACCAGCTGTGCACCCACCGGGGCCGGCGCCAGTGCAGCACCACCAGAGCTGCCGCGGGCGCAGGTGGGCCGCTGCAGACTGGGGGCACAGGCGCCCCCCACATGCGTCCTTGCAGGGTGCAGCGCGTGTGCCCAGCCCGACTCGCCCGGCAAGAGTGGCAGCGCAACGGCAGGAGAGACACCGCATGCCCCCGTAACACTCACTCACCCGCATCTTGTAGTAGGCATGGTAGGGGTCCGTGGTCACCAGGAAGTTGAATTTAACGTTGTTCTTTTCATTCGACAAGATCCGCTTTTCAAACTCAGCGCCTGCGGGGTAATGGAAAGGCAACGCCGTGAGCAAAACCCCTGCCTGCCCCCGCCCCGTAAAGCTGCTAGCATGCGTAGTACCCACGGAGGAAGCAAACCCCCAGTCCATGCCCGCCTTCGCCCGCAAATCCTACCGTTCTTAGCTACGAATTGAGCGGTCTTGTCGATAATTGCTCTTATATCCGGCGGCGGAAGAATTACGCCTACTGCACGCGTGTGCGTGATGACTTTCTTCAGCCCCTCCAGATCCGGTATGTAAGCGGAAGAGCCGCTGCCAGCCGCGCCGGCGACGACAATGTCAGTAGATGGAGGCACGGTCCTCGCCTCTCCCGCAGGCACGATAGCGCCCGCATTCTCCACTTCGGTCGCCATGGCCCCAAGCTTTCGTTGGAAAGCCTGGGGCTCTCCTGTCTTGTGACTGCTGCTCCGCTGCTTTAACTGTTCCGGCGCCTAAACAGTCTGCCCAACACAATTATTAATTAGAGTTTCACTTCTTCAGTTCAAGGTTGCTAAAGAGGTCCTGTTATTAGCGTGATAAAAAGCGAATTGGAGATCGGGTGCCTGGACCAGGTTCTATGGACGTCTTTCTTGTCCAAGTGAGTGTAAGCCTATCCTATGAACCGTGTTTGAGCTGGTCAACGGTGTACACGCGTTACACGGCGTCAGGGACCACGGGCGGGATGCGCGTACGATACCATCGCCTGAAATCCCCAGGCAGGAGGGAATCCCACAAAGTTTCACATACACCTCTATCTATCTGGTACCTTGTACTCTACTAGCATATCTATGTTGAAACATTGCAGACAGCGGCGGCGCGAGTGATTACCCTTGCTTTCGTAGCGAGCATACCGGTAGACCATGGCGTCGCCAGCAGCTTTAACTGTCGGCATGGCATTGTTGTCTTGGTTCGTTGTAAGAAAGCTACGAGGGAGACAGAACTGTAAGAAACGCGCGCGTCGCGTGCGGCGCCCAGAGCCACTGTGTTCATCGGACCCGGACGAAATCAGTGTGGTGGTGTACAACGTGCTGGCCGACCACTACTGCACGCCCAAGCGCTACCCCTACGTGCGCCAGGAGTGGCTGCACTGGCCGCACCGCTGGCGGGTGTTGCAGGAGCAGCTGGCCTCCTTCGGCGCCGACATCATCTGCCTGCAGGAGGTGGAGCCCTCCAGGTGCGGCACGGCACCCTCCGCACCTAGCCCCCGCCCTGAAGGGCAACCGGCGACCGGCACCGAGTCCGTTGCTCCCCCCCGCCCTCCACACCACGTTGCCCTTGCCCCTGCCCCTGCCCCTCCCGGTCGCAGGTGGCAGGACTTCCTGGCCAGTCCTGCGCTGGCGGGCTACTCGGGGATCATCCAGGTGCGGGGGCGGGGGCACTCGCGGGAGCTCCTTCGTGGGGGCTCCTTCCCGGCAGCAGGGCAGGGCAGGGCAGGGCAGGGGGCCCTCAGCTGGCCCGCCGCATGCAGGCGGCACCCGCTTCCCGGCAGCAGCCCGGCGCCGGCTGCCCCCCCCCAGCCATGCACCCAGCCCCCCCCCCCCGACACCCCCCCAGGACCGGCGCGGCTGCGACGCCCTCATCGCCAACGCCATCCTGTACCGGCCCGACAAGCTGCAGCTGGTGTGGCGGGAGAGCCGCAGCCGGGCGCTGCTGGCGGCCTTCGTGTGCTGGGACGGGCTGGGGCAGCAGCAGGTGGGGGAGGGGGGAGGGGGCAGCTGGGGGGGAGGGGGGTAGGGGGCAGCAGCAGGTGGGGGAGGGGGGAGGGGGCAGCAGCAGTGGAGGGCAGGGGTGGCGGGGCTGGCAGCCGGCTAGCTAGGTGGGCAGCCCCCTCGTGCAGCCCCCTCGTGCAGCCCCCTCGTGCAGCGGAGGGCTGTCGTGGGGGCGGACCGCACTGCCCCTGCGAGGCACCGGACACCCCCCGCCTTCCTCCTCCCATTCATCACCCCCACCCCTCTCGCTCCTCCCCGCCCCCGCCCCCCTCCCCCAGCTGCTCTACGTTGCCAACCTGCACCTGGAGGGCCACCCCTTCCGCCCCAACGACCGGGTCAGCCAGGCCCGCTCCGCGCTGCAGCGGCTGGAGGCGCACGTGCGGCAGCACGGGGGGCAGCCGGGGGACGTGGGGCTGCTGGTGTGCGGGGACTTCAACTCGGGGCGGGGGGAGGCGGTGTGCCAGTTCCTACACAGGTGGGAGGGGGGGCCAGCACATGGGGGGAGCACCTCTTCTTCTTGCATGGCAGGCGCATGTGCGTGGGAAGCAGCGTGGAGGCAGCGCAGGGGGCAGCGCAGGGGGCGGCAGGGCGCAGGGGCGTTGCATGGGACTGAGCTGTGGGGGGGCATGCAGGAGGGCAGGGAGCAGAGGCCGGTTTGGGAGCCAGCGCCTCACCCTCAACCCTGGCCTCCCTTGCTCTTCCCGCCCACCCCCTCGCCCCCCCTCCTGCCCCCCCCCCATGCTTCGTCAGTGTCTCATTCTCTATATTTTTTACCCCCCCCCCCCCATGCAGGGGCCGCCTGGAGGGTGGCAGCACGGAGGCGCACCTGCCGCAGGTGGAGGTCACCCGCAGCAGCATCGCACACCCCTTCGCGCTGCACGAGGTGTACGACAGCGGGGGGGTGGAGCTGCCCTTCACGAGGAAGGTGAGGGGGCGGGGGGGACCAAACCACAAGAGAGGGCAAGACAGTAGGGCGAGTGGGAGGCGCTGCCGCCCTCACCCGCATCAGATGTCACTGTCGGTCTTAACCCGCGCGTGCTTGCCTTCCTCCTACCCCGCACTAACTCGCCTACCTCCTCCAATCCCCCCCTGGTCCCGGTCAGTGCTTCCTCGCGGCTCAGTCAATCTACTTCCACACCCGCCTGCCCGCCTCCTCTCCTTTCCGCACTTCTCACATGGCTCCCCCCCGCCCCTCGGCCCCCCGCCCCCCAGGTCCCCTCCCTCTCCTCCACACTCGACTTCCTGTGGGCCTCCTGCGGCCTCTCCGTGTCGGCCCTCTACCTGCCTGTGGAGCGCCGACACGAGCACCTCATCAGCCGCCAGGCGCTGCCCAACCAGCACTACCCCTCGGTGAGCGCTGGCCGCCGGGGCATGGGCACCCTTCACCTGGGGGGGGGCTGCGGAGGGGAGGGGCGGGCCGGGCGCAGTCCAGCGGTGCTGCCGGCACCCCCTGGGGTGATCGTCATCGCAGCAGGGGGCATGCGGCGGGGGGGGGGGGGGGGTACCGGTCAAGCTACCGTATTGACAGAAGGGGCGGGAGGCGGCACATGCCTAGACACGAGCGAGGGCGCCCCCGGGGGGTGATCAGGGCGTGTGGCCTCTGCCGGCGTTTCCTTCTCCCCATGCCCCACTGGCCCCCCCGTCCCCTCCTCCCTCTACCCCGCAGGACCACCTTCCCATCGGTGCGGTGCTGCGCTGGACGCACTTCTACGTGCCTCCCTTCGGCGACACGCACCCGCCGCCCGCCCCCGCGCCCGGGGAGCCGCCGGCAGCGGAGCAGGACTGCAGCACTGGGCGGGAGGCGGACGAGGGGGAGCTTGGGCTGGGGGGGCGGGGGGAGGGGCGGGCTAATGGGGGGGTGTAGGGGTTGAAGTGTAAATGAGAAGTGAAGCAACGGAGTCCCGATCCCGGTCAAGGGGTGGGGGAGGATGGGGATGACGGATGGAGCGTGCGTTTACTGTGTATGGTTGCAACCGCGTGTGGAGGCTCTGGCTAGAGGCATGGATAACCCAAGGCGCTCACGTGGGCTCCGGAACCATCAACTGGAACCACGGAGCCCCGACCCAGATGGACAACGTCCGGGAACCTGGTGTGTGTCCCGGAGGGGGGCGGTGTGGCGAGGGAGGGGGACAGCTGTGACGTGCAGGTGGGGTGGTGGCCCGGGGGCAGCCAAGGCAGGAGCAACTGTGTGCTTTCCTTCGCCGTGTGCTGCTTGGGAAGACTGCGGGTAGTGGAGGTGTGCATTCATCAGATGTGTGTGTCATGGTGGTATGGTGGGAGCGGGTGTGGGGGTGCTGTACGGCAATAGAATGGCCGCCCACTATCCTGGAGGTGGTTGGGTTTGAGGGTGTCGTGTCATGACAGACCCCCAGTCGGCTGGGTAGGGAGTGGATGCTCTGTGTTTGGGGCCTTACAGCTTGGTATCCTGCTCTCCTGGTTTGGTGCCCTCGCCCTTTCACCTGGGCCCTCGCCCTGGCTCGCCCTTTCACCTGGGCATGCCAACCGGGGCTCGCTTTTCTTAACGGTTGTATAATCTTACTGGCTGCCGCTACTGAAGTACACAATGGAGACAGGCTACGGAAAGGGGCCCCGTAATGTCACAGCATGAGACAGTCGGGGGCTCGGGGCATTGAGGGCTAAAGGCCCTGGCGGTTTTTGGAGCCGGCTTCGGAGCACCGCGGCTGTATGGCAGAATGGCAGTTCCGAGCACAAAGGAACGCCTTGCCTTTTTACTAATACATGACGCATATAACTTGTTTTGCATCTGAGCGAATATTCAGGACGATTCCCAGCGCTCAACCTTGTCGCGCGACTGCTCAGCTCCACCAGGCAGGCCTGCCGTTATGTACCTCTATAACAACATAACCTGGTCGTAGCTAAACGGATCTCTGCTGTCCATTCATGGGAGCAGCCCAAGAGGATTCTCTGGCCCATATACTTATGGAGGCAGCCTCATGGGTCCGCGACTACATAACCGCTATCAAGAATGGAAGGTAGGGCCATGCGTTAAGGGCGTTTGTTGAGATTTATAAAAACACTATGGCAGAGGTGAAAGGTGTGCGATATCCTATCCTTGGCCTGGCGATCATGTCTCTGGTATTTCCGCGATCACACAGCAAGAGCACAAAATACCGCAGGATTCACCCCTTTACAGCAGTAGAGCGCAAAGCTCGCGCGGCGACAAGGAACGAACCCTGGTGAGCGTAGAGCTGTCCTAGAAATTGCAACAGTCATAGCTCTGATTTTTGCTCGGCAGTTCCATACTACGGGACGTCTCGTCCGGTAAAGTGCTGGAGGGGTTCACGTCAGCCCCGGGCTACCGGGCGCTTGCCAGGAGGCTGCAAAGGCGACCTGCAGCTAACGCGCTGCCTCCCAAACATTCCCCCAAACTCACCACAAGTCCGGCTGCCTGCAGGGGCCCCACCGGCACCATGCTGGCGGAGCTGGCCGAGCTGTCACATGACCCGGAGCACTGCCAGGTCATATTCGTGAGTCCGGGCGGGATGGTGTTGCTAAGCCTGGAGGAGGGGCCTGGCTGACGGTTCTCCTTGTGGAGGGGTTCAGGCTTCGGCTCTATAGCGGGCTTCATAGCAGCTCGCGGGCCCCAGCTGCTCGCCCCCTCCTCTACCGGTCTACCCACCAGCCCTCTCCCGGCCCCCCCCGCCCCCCCCGCCAGGCTGTGTTGGAGTACCGCATCCGGAGCCCCGAACACAAGTGGCGCTGCACGTACAAGGTGGGGGGTGGGGGGGTGGGGGGGAGGGTTCCTGCTCTGTCTGCCGCCGCTTCCTAATTACCCTCATGTTCTGTAACCAGCTACCCACTCCCCCCCCCGCCGGTCACCTCCATGTGGGTCACCGGTCGAAGGTCTGGTTGCTCCTGGGTCGGGCTCCGGGCGTTGATCGCTCTCGGGCTCCCTCCTCCTTACGCCCCCCCTCCTCGCTCTGCGCGCGTCTCTCCCTGCATTCTCATTCGACGCCGTGGCAATCCTTCTCCCCCCCTCCCCCCCCCAGGCCCTGCAGGTGCTGGACTACCTGCTCCGCCGCGGCTCCCCGCAGTGCCCCTCCGCCGCTGGGGAGCTGCTGGTGACGCTGGCGGCCCTGCAGAACTTCGCGCACGTGGGGCCGGACGGCAGGGACTACGGAGTCAACGTGCGCATGAGGTGGGGGGGGAGAGGCGGGGGGTTGGGGAGGGGGGCAAGGGAGGGTCTGGGAGGGGAAGGGATGGGGATGGGAGGTTAGGGGAGGGAGGCGGGCTGGGAGGGGAGGAGGTGGGGATGGGGAGAGTTGGGCAGGAATTCCAAGCGGGGCGTGTTGGTATGGAGTGGGGAAGGGGGGTTGCCGCGCGGCGGGCAGAAAGCGGCACACGACATGCCCCTTGCGAGCCCAGGCGGGGGCATGGGGGGGCTGGCGGCACCGGCCCAGGGCGCACGTGCGCACGCAGACAGGCAGGGCTGCCCCCGGGGCCGCACGCAGCGCCCACCCCCCGGCGCCCAGCCACCCCCGGGGGGCCGGGGGCGGTCACGGCGGTCCTGCCCAGTGCTCCGGCCGGCAGCGGACCGCGGCCCCGCCTCCGCCCCGGCGGCCCCTCACCGGCTCCCTCCAGCCATATTGGTGTGGCTCCAGGCAGGGCACGTGCGCCGGCCGCCCGCGGCCTCCCCTCCTCGCGAGCTGCAGGCGCTGGCCACGTGGCGCGGGGGGATTGGGAGAACCCCACTGCCGCCGCATGGGGCCAGCGCCTGCAGCTGGCGAGGAGGAGAGGGCGCGGGTGGGGGCGCACGTGCCCTGCCTGGCACCGCACCCACACGGCTGCCACCCGGAGGTGCAGCCGGTCGGGACAGCCGGGGCCGCTGCGGGGGGAGCCCTGGTGGTGGTCCGCTGCGGGCCGGGGTGGGGTGGGCGCTGCGTGCGGCCTCCGACACACCTCCCTGCTTGTGCCTCCGCAGGGAGGGGACGAGGGCAGCACAGGGCCGGGTGGGCTCAGCGGGCTGGCTGCTTGACGCCCTCCCCTCCCCACCTCCCCACCTCCCCACCTCCCCACCTCCCATGCCCCCCCAGGGCCGAGGCGGTCAAGTCCGCGCTGCTGGACTCGGAGGGTCTGGCTCAGCAGCGCGCGCATCTGGCAGCTCGGGTGGCGGCGGGGAGCCTGGACTTCGGGGGCTTCTCGCGGCAGGACATGGCGGGGGGCGGGGGGCAGGGGCGGCAGGGGGCGGCGGCAGGGGGGGCGGGGGGCAGCAGCGGAGGAGGCGGGGGAGTGGGGTCGCCGCCCGGGGGCCCGCTGACCCCCCCGCAGGTGCTGATGGGGTCGGGAGGCGCGGGGCGGGCGGGCAGCGGCGGGGAGGACGGAGCAGCAGCAGCAGGAGGCGGGGGGAGTGAGGCGGCTGCCTGGGGGACCGGAGAGGCGGTGCCGTACCGCCCGCCGCTGTTCATGGTGGGCGGGGGGGAGGTCTGGGGGAGGGAGGGGGTATTGCGGGGTGCCCGGTGTGTGTGTAATGAAACCGGGCCGGATCGTACTGGTATTGCCGTTCTATATTGGGGGTGTGGGCAGCCGCCTCCCCCCACCCTCACATGGCCGCCGTGGCGGATTGCCGCCAGCCTGCCGCCCCCTCCCTCACCCCTCACCCCCCTCCTCCTCCATTCCCCCCAGACTGCTCCCTCCAGCCGGCTGGCGGCGCCCCCCGCCCCCGCCCGCGGTGCCGGCGAGAGCAAGGGCGTCACCTTCGAGCAGAACAAGCGGCAGCTGGAGCAGCTGAGGCTGCTCACCATGCTGGAGGTGGGGGGGGGAGATGGTAGTTGTGAAGAGGGGGAAGGGACAACGGGAGGAGCAGCAGCAGCAGCGATGTGTCCCTGCTGCGCCGCACTGACCCACCTGCAGACCTTCTGCCTACCTCCTACATTCACACACGCCAGCATGCCTCCTCACCTCTACGGTTCTAGCTAAGCCGCCTCCGCTGCCCTAGCAGGTGCTGCTGCCCCACCGCCTCCCTCCCCCCCCTCTCCCCCCTCCCCTCCAACCCCCCCTCCCCTCCACCCCCCCACTCCCCTCCAACCCCCCCTCCCCTCCAACCCCCCCTCCCCCCGCCCCCCCAGGGCAACCGCACCTGCGCCGACTGCGCCTCCCCCGCCGCCGCCGCGCGCCCCTCCTGGGCGTCCATCAACCTGGGCGTCTTCCTGTGCATGCGCTGCGCGGGGGTGCACCGCGGTCTGGGTGTGCACGTGAGCCGCGTGCGCTCCACCACCCTGGACACCTGGCTGCCGGAGCAGGTGGACAACATGGCGCGGCTGGGGAACAAGCGGGTGCGGGGGGGAGGGGGGAGGGGGGGAGGGGGGAGGGGGGGAGGGGCGATGGTGGCGGAGGCGGTTGTGCTGGAGAGAGGGCTGGGGGAGGTGGTGGGCGGGTGGCCAGAGGGCGTACGGCAGGGTCTCCTCGGGACCCTCGGGTGGGGGCCGCGACTCCGGGGTGGCCCCATCGCCGGGGAGGCTGCGACTCTGCAAGCCCGCTGGTGGCCGCCTCCCTCTCCTGCTGCCCACTCCTCCCCCCTCCCCCCCCCTGCAGGCCAACGCCCACTTCGAGGCCGCGCTGACCCCCGGTGTGCGCCCCCCGCGAGACTGCACCCGGGAGCTGGAGCGCTTCGTGCGGCTTAAGGTGGGGGCAGAGGGGGGAGGCTGGGCAAGAAGAGGTTGGCGCAGGGACGGGCAGGGAGGGAGGGAAGGTCTGCGTTGCAGTGCCGCCGTCCCGCTGCGTGACGGCTCCCGACAGGGGGCGGCCGGGCGCACTCTGTCACGCACACCCCTACATCATCCCTCCCCTCCCCTGCATGCAGTACGTGGACAAGGTGTGGGCCGCCAAGGGGCCCTGGCCGCCCGAGGAGGAGCAGCCGCCCGCACCCGCCGGCAGCCAGGGAGTGACCCGCGGGTCGCTCCCGACCCCGCCTGCCATTGGGCTGGGAGCACCCGCACCCGCTGCCTCACGCAGCGGTGTGCCGGGGGGCGGCCCGGGGGGCGCCGGCGGCTTCGGAGACGCCCCGCCCGCCTGGACTGCCTTCGACTCCCTCCCCTCCCCAGCTGGTGCTGCGGCGCCCTCTCGCCCTCAGCCAGCGGTGGCAGCGGTACGACTGCCCCCGCCGCCGCCTGTGGATGCCACCGGTGTGGTATGGCCGCCGCAGCAGCCTCAGCAACAGCAACCTCAGCCGGCGGGTTGGGCGGGTACGTGGGCATGGCCTGGGAACGGCAGCGGAGCGGGTCGGGCGGGGTCGGGCGGTGGCGGTGGTGGTGGCGACTTGCTTCTGCAGCTGGATAGCGAGGAGGATGAGGATGATGAGGAGGAGGGCGAGGGTGGGGCCGCATGTGCGGGTGGGGCAGGGGCTGCCCCCCCCGGCGGCTCGGCTCTGTGGGAGCTGCTGGACCCCTCCCTGGACGTCATCAGCTGGCTGGACCGGGTGGAGGGGCAACAGGGGGGGCAGGGGGGGCAGCGGCAGGGGGGGCAGCAGTGGCAGGGGGTGGAGGGGCGGCAGGGAGTGGGCGGGCCGCCAACACCCGGCGGCGCCGCTACCCCCACGCCCCCACCGCCCGCCCCACAGCCGCTGGCAGCCACCTCGTATGCAGCAGCCCCGACCGCCACCCTCGGTGCCCCACCCTACCTCGCCCCCGCTGCGGCTCCCACCGCTATGCTGGCCTCCTCCGCGGGCCCCCCGGCGAGCAGCGGGTCGGGCGACCACCCCTTCGTCATCCACACCTCCGAGTTCCGCGTCTACGACCTGCTCACGCCCCTGCACACCGGCGCAGCGGGGGGGGCCGCCCTGCCGCAACCGCCCCGCCAGCCCGCTGCCACCGCTACCGCCGCCACCGCCGCAGCGCCACTAGCTACACCAGCAGCGGGTGCCCCCGCCCCCGCGGCGGTGGCCCCCGCCTGGCCGTCCGGTCCCGCGCTGCTGCCACTGGCCCAGCCGCACCCACCGCCGCCCCCGCACCCCCTCATGAAGCCCCCCTCCACCTCCACCTCCACCTTCACACCCACCTCAACCACGGGAGCTACTGCCACCGCCTCCGCCACCGCCGTGCCCCGACCCGGCATGCGAGCAGGCAACGGCAACGGTGGTGGGGGAGGTCCGGTGAGGGGCACCACCCCCCTCAGCGGCCCCCCTGCCGGCCCCCCTGCCTCCTCCGCCTCCTCCGGCCCCTCCGCCCCACTGGACCTGGACCGGCTGTTGGCGCTGCAGCTGGACGGACTGGGCAGCAGCCTAGCGGGAGTGGGAGGAGGGGGGCAGGCAGGGGCAGGGGGCAGGGCGGGGTGGCGGCCGGCGCCGGCGGCTGCGGCAGCGGCAGGAGGCGGGGCGGGGCTGATGGGGCGGCGGGGCTGACGGCGGGGTGAGGTGGCTGAGCGGCTGAGCGGAGGCGCATGTGGGGGCGCGTGTGGGGGCGCGCGACCGCTGCGGGCGGTGAGGGCGGGCACGTGCGCTAGGAGGCCGCATGGTGGGGGCTCGGGGGAAAGGCTGTAGCAGCTGTAGAGTACGACAGGAGATGTAGCAGTACTGAGCAGTAGGAACGTAGCGGGAATTCGAATCGGCGAGTAGCTGCATGGGCATAAGCAGTGCATGTAGCCTACAGGCATGTGCTGCTTTTAGTGCCTCTTCATGGCCCGGGACATGTGAGCAGGGTTACATGGCGATACAGGTCCGGCAAGCAGCGCCCCCATGCGGCTAATCCTCTATAGCGACACCAGGGCACCCGTGCTGGCGGAGTGGCCGTTCGAGGTGTACGGCGGCGGGTTGAAGATCGGTGCATGCGTACAGCAGTTGCATGGCGGCGGTGCCGGTAGAGCAGGAGCTAACTTGCAGGTGTCCAGCATGCCCTACCAACACCTCTGTAGACACCATGCATGCACGCTCCTACGCAACCGCCCAGGACCTATCCTCCTGACGCAGCCAGGCACACGCAGATACACTCGGCGGCAGGGGTGACAGGGCCTACTGCGCAGCCATACATAAACCGCCGAACGGGGACGCCTGCCGTACAGAAACCGCACACATTCGCCTGCACATGAGAATGCTATGGATTTATTGTTTACTTGACAACCCAGCTCTCGCCTCCAGCACTTCACAATAACCGGCTCCCTTCGATTGTCATCTTTCACAGCGGGTGTGCAGGTGCAGGAAGTTACCTATCATTCGCCCGAAACATGCTATAATCTCTTCAGCTATGGCCACCTCCCCGGGCAGGCCAACTGGACTCCACGGGGAGGGCAAATGTAAGGCCCTATCCCAACACGGGGACCAAAGAAGGCTCCCCCACCACCACATCCCCGCTGCTTCCCGCGCCGCCAGAAGCCGCGTGATCCAGCCCCGGTGGCTGAGGGCCGGCGCCACCAGGCCCTGCCGGCGCAGCTTGTGGCCTAGGACCTTGCTGTGTCTGGTCTACATCCTCACTCCGTCGTTCAGGCTTGGCTTTATGCTTCCGTTTTCGGTTCAAAAAAAACTTGTCCTTGTGAGTCACAGAAAATTTCATCTGAACTGAGTGGCGAGACAGATGGGCTTTACTAACATTATTGAATAGGAAAGTGAGGATGCTGGGATGCTTGACGGATGACGGTGCATTGTAGTACGGGTCACAATGTATAGCGGTTCCCAGGGAGAGTCGAATTGGATTTCGGCATACACTTGAACGTACATATAAGCTTTGTCTGTGAACATATTTCAACTTAAGTTTCCGGGGAGCCTTCTTTGGTCCCCAGTGTTGGGCTAGGGACTTACATTTGCCCTCCCCGTGGAGCCCAGTTGGCCTGCCCGGGGAGGTGGCCATACCCCATACCTTCTTCGTGGCACCAAAATTCAATGGGAAAACAAACATAAGTGGAACCTGACATCTTTCCATCACTTTCAGAGCTAGGCAGCTAGCTGGATCCCGATCCGATGCCTTCGGAGCCCCATTTAAGAACCAAGAGTTCTTCGCAACCCAAATAAATCCCTTTGCATTTATAAGATATATGCAATTTTATAAAAATAACATATGCAATTGTTTAATTTAGATGAGTTTACTTGCACAATCGGGGACATACCATTTGTCGACAATCAAGCGGCGAGCCCCAGCATCAGCCAAGTCTGTTCATCACCGACCACGCGCGCTCAGCAGCTCCGCGCAGCTCAGCCCGGATGCCGCCGTCCGCCTGTTCGATGACCTGGCGCGGGAGCACTGCCCCCTCGTCCGCGTCTCTCTGGCGCACTTTGACGGGTTCGGCCTCGGCTGGCGCCTAGCCCCCAACACCACCACAGCACCCGCGCCTGCCAATCTTGATACCCATCTCCCTCATACTGCACCTCCACCACCTCCCACGCCACCCCTGCCCGGCACCGCCTGCCCAACCGCATCCGCTACCGAGCTGCCGGACCCCTCCTCCCCACCGCCCCAGCCCTCCCCAGACCCCGACGACCCCACCCTTCCCGCCCCCGCCCAGCCGCTGCTCCGCGTGCCGCTGCGGCTGTGTCTGAGTGCTCAGGTGCCCGGCTGCTGCCCCCCCGCACACACCTCACCCGCCCTGCGACAGCTGCTCCTCACCGCCAGCAGCAGCGGGCAGGGGGCTGTCCCCCCAGCCCGCTGGGAGCTGCAGCTGGCGGCGCTGCTGCTGTGGGCATGCAGGCCGGGGGGGAGCGGCGAGGGAGGCGGGGAGGGAGGCGGCAGCGGGTGTGGGGGCGGCTCTGCTGGCTGCCGGGAGCAGGGCGGTGACGGGTGCGGGGGCGGTGAAGGGTGCTGCTGCTTCGGCCGCTTCTGGCGGCGCTACCGGGCGCTGCTGCCGGGTGTGGGTCAGCTGCGATCGCTGCTGGTGTTCTGGGAGGGGGAGCTGCGGGAGCTGCAGGTGGGGGGTAAAAAATATAATGAGGCACTGACGATGCAACTGACGAGCTGAGGTGGGGGGGGAAGGCGTGGAGAGAATTTAATGAGAAGTGCAGCGGGGCGGGGGAGGGGCACCCTCCGGGGTACATGCCCGCATGGCCGCTCGCTTGCTGCAGTGCTGCTAACGAATGTGTGCCTGCCTGGTCCCCCGCACGCGCCCCCACCCCGGTGCCCCCCCCTCTCCTTGAGCACGCAGGACGAGTCCCTGGCCGCTGCCGCCCGCACCTGGCAGGGGGAGGTGGTTGCCGCTTACGACTGCTGGTTGTCTGCAGGGGGGCCGCTGCGGGGGGAGGTGGGGGCGGTGGGGCTGGGGGGGTGGCTGCGGGCGGTGGGGGCGGTGGAGAGCCGCGCATTTGGGTTCAGGTGCCCGCATGACGGCCGCCCGCTGCACGTGTATGTGCCCTTCTTCTGCCTCGCCAACTGGCAGCCGGGGGCACCCGCCTGGCACGTGCTGAGTGGGGGAGAGGGGGAGGTGGAGCCGAGGGATGCCGCCGCTGCGGGTGCGGTAGCGGGTGCGGGTGCGGGTGCGGGTGCTGCAGATGCGCCCCTCCAGGGCAGCAGCACGGGCGGAATGCGGGCGGCGGCGGCTCCCTGCGAGCCCGCCGCATGCATGCTGACCTCGCAGCAGCTGCCGCCCGGGGGGCTGGGGGAGCAGGCAGGGCAGCAGCCGCAGCAGGTCTTCATAGACTACGGCAACAAAGACAATCGCTCCCTGGTCTTCCAGTACGGCTTCGTACTGCACGGCAACCCGTACGACAGACTGGACTGGTCGGGTGCCGTACTGGAGGAGCCGTACCGCATGCGCCGGGACTGGGTGTACGACACGGCTGAGGAGCTGGCGCGGGAAGTTGGAGAGTCGGGTTTTCCGCACACTGACCCAGGGGTCACTGCGCACGGATGCTGCGATGGCACGGGCGGTGGCTGCGTGGAGGGAGGTGTGCGGGACCCGCCACAGCCGCCGCCGCTGTGGCCGCTGCTGCTTGCGTGGGGCGGTGCGGCGGCCGTACGGAACAGGTTCCGGAGCGCCGCGGGCAGCATCGTGGCGGCGTGCGGCTGGAGGTGGGGGCGGGGGAGGGGGACGGGTGGGGGAGGGGGCGGTGGCGGTGGGCCAGTGCTCCCCTCTGCTCCCCTGGCTACATGTCCCCCCCTGGGGGGCTACATGTCCCCCCCTGGGGGGCTACATGTCCCCCCCCTGGGGGGCTACATGTCCCCCCCTGGGGGGCTACATGTCCCCCCCTGGGGGGCTACATGTCCCCCCCTGGGGGGCTACATGTCCCCCCCTGGGGGGCTACATGTCCCCCCTGGGGGGCTACATGTCCCCCCCTGGGGGGCTACATGTCCCCCCCTGGGGGGCTACATGTCCCCCCCTGGGGGGCTACATGTCCCCCCCTGGGGGGCTACATGTCCCCCCCTGGGGGGCTACATGTCCCCCCCTGGGGGGCTACATGTCCCCCCCTGGGGGGCTACATGTCCCCCCCTGGGGGGCTACATGTCCCCCCCTGGGGGGCTACATGTCCCCCCCTGGGGGCTACATGTCCCCCCCTGGGGGGCTACATGTCCCCCCCTGGGGGGCTACATGTCCCCCCCTGGGGGGCTACATGTCCCCCCCTGGGGGGCTACATGTCCCCCCCTGGGGGGCTACATGTCCCCCCCTGGGGGGCTACATGTCCCCCCCTGGGGGGCTACATGTCCCCCCCTGGGGGGCTACATGTCCCCCCCTGGGGGGCTACATGTCCCCCCCTGGGGGGCTACATGTCCCCCCCTGGGGGGCTACATGTCCCCCCCTGGGGGGCTACATGTCCCCCCCTGGGGGGCTACATGTCCCCCCCTGGGGGGCTACATGTCCCCCCCTGGGGGGCTACATGTCCCCCCCTGGGGGGCTACATGTCCCCCCCTGGGGGGCTACATGTCCCCCCCTGGGGGGCTACATGTCCCCCCCTGGGGGGCTACATGTCCCCCCCTGGGGGGCTACATGTCCCCCCCTGGGGGGCTACATGTCCCCCCCTGGGGGGCTACATGTCCCCCCCTGGGGGGCTACATGTCCCCCCCTGGGGGGCTACATGTCCCCCCCTGGGGGGCTACATGTCCCCCCCTGGGGGGCTACATGTCCCCCCCTGGGGGGCTACATGTCCCCCCCTGGGGGGCTACATGTCCCCCCCTGGGGGGCTACATGTCCCCCCCTGGGGGGCTACATGTCCCCCCCTGGGGGGCTACATGTCCCCCCCTGGGGGGCTACATGTCCCCCCCTGGGGGGCTACATGTCCCCCCCTGGGGGGCTACATGTCCCCCCCTGGGGGGCTACATGTCCCCCCCTGGGGGGCTACATGTCCCCCCCTGGGGGGCTACATGTCCCCCCCTGGGGGGCTACATGTCCCCCCCTGGGGGGCTACATGTCCCCCCCTGGGGGGCTACATGTCCCCCCCTGGGGGGCTACATGTCCCCCCCTGGGGGGCTACATGTCCCCCCCTGGGGGGCTACATGTCCCCCCCTGGGGGGCTACATGTCCCCCCCTGGGGGGCTACATGTCCCCCCCTGGGGGGCTACATGTCCCCCCCTGGGGGGCTACATGTCCCCCCCTGGGGGGCTACATGTCCCCCCCTGGGGGGCTACATGTCCCCCCCTGGGGGGCTACATGTCCCCCCCTGGGGGGCTACATGTCCCCCCCTGGGGGGCTACATGTCCCCCCCTGGGGGGCTACATGTCCCCCCCTGGGGGGCTACATGTCCCCCCCTGGGGGGCTACATGTCCCCCCCTGGGGCGCTACATGAGGGCCCCTCACCTCAACCCACCTCGTCCCTTAAAAGGCTTCGCCCCGTGGCCCCAGCAATCGCGGCCTCGCCCCTCGGACCGAGGGGGCTGCATGTGCTGCTCTCAGCAGCCTCCGCAACCCCCTGTGCTGCTCCCATGCTTAGCCTCGCCGCCGCCCCCACCCGCACCCCCACCCTCCCGCCCCACACCACACCACTATCATACCACACATAGGAATTTCTTTTTCCCGCACAGGAACCTGCGGGAGCGGCGCGCGGTGAGCCCTGCCTCGGAGCGGCGGGCGCTGCGGGGCCTGTACGGCAGCCTGGCGGGGCAGCTGCGGGGGCTGCCCACGAGCGCGGAGGGGGATGCGGAGCTGCTGCTGGGCTGGGAGGGGCGGGAGGGGCGGGGACGGGGGCAGGAGGGGGACACATTGGGCGCGGAGGCGAGAGGGATGGGGGACTGGGAGGAGGAGGAGGAGGAGGAGGAGGGTCTGGTGGAGGGTGAGGGCGTTGGTGACGAGGTGAGGCGGTTGGAGAGGCGGTTGCAGGCGGCTGTTGGGCGGTGCGAGGAGCGGTTGCGGTTGGCGGTTGAGTATCGGTTGGAGAGGAAGCTGCTGATGCTGACGGGGATGGAGCTGCTGCGGAGGCTCGAAGGGAAGCTGGAGCGCGGTGGGGCGGCTGGCGGAGCAAAGTAACCACATGGCCTGTGCGACGGTGGAGCAGCGCAGGAGGCTTTATCGGCACGCCATTGAGAAAGAAATGAAGGGGCGTGCGGTGAGCGTTACCGGTACCACCGCCAACACCCTTGACTTAGATTACATTACTTTAATTTATTGTATCTGAGCGTTCAGACTAAGGTTGCAATCGTCACATAACTCATATTGAATACCATACACTGACTGAGTACTTATACAAGCGGGATTGCGGTATGGTGCAGATTGCGTTCGCGGATGCCCCCAAGATCACATCGCGCTTACATCCATTGTGTAAAATGCTGCATTGGCATGCGTCTTAGGCTGCCGAGCGCACCATCGCAAAAGCAACCGGTCCTGACGAGGCAACCGACTCCGGTATTAGGATGGTCCGTACTGAAACGTTTATGGCGTTAGGTTATCTTTTCCATTTGTCCCTACCCGGCTTTTTGTAAATCCTTGTAAGCTCTATAGGATGGCACTGATCTGTTCCATTTGAGTCCAAAGTCTCTCCCTGGCACCGGTACAGCATCGCTGCTAGCTAACTGGTAGGATTCCAGCGAAGATACCCTGCTAATCCTGATGACAAATTGAATTGGCGGCTTTAGACAAAAGGAACTGAAGTACTGGAATTTACCGAAAGGGGAGCCACGTGAAGCCAAAATGCCCGCCAAGGTCACAGACCTGCTCGTGGAGGGAACAGTGGTTGGCACCCCTTTCCGCAAGCTAATCTGCTATGATATATCCAATGTAACAAACCTACGAAGCCTTAAAGCCCGGTTGTTGACTGATTTAAAGCTCGCTGGCGCACCCGTGGGCAGTGATTGCGACATCGTTCTTCGCAACTATGCTCTCACAGATTATGAACAGACGCCGTTCAATTCAAATGAGGCTGGCAGCTGCGCTCTTAGCGACCAGGATATCTGGAGCCGTGGCAGCGGGTTGCAGAGTAGGCTCATGGCTGCAGCTCCCTGCCCAAGGGTACCAATTAATCCCGCAGAAGATAGCAGGCACGCCATGCTCGCCATAGCATCGCGTCAGTACTACGATCGCCTTGGCGAAGGCAACGTGATCCTTCCGCTTGAAGCGCGCGTGAAGCCATCCATCTCAACCCCGCGCGAGATGGCCACAGGCGCAACTGACAACGCTGGGCCAGCACCGGAGGCAAACGCGGCTGCTGCAGTCCCCAACAGCTTGGAGTCGCAGCCGTTTGAAATCACAGTTCGCGATTTCCGCGGCCGCAATCACAGCGTGCGTGTGTGCGGCAGCACGCCCGTGCAGCGGCTGAAGCAAGGCATCGCAGGAGCCCTAGGCTGCAGTGGTGAGGGCCCTGGGAGGCTGCCAACTGCCCGCGGCACCACCAACAACCGCTACCTTCACCACACGCTGCTCTGCGCTTATGCATGCTTCCTTGATCCACCTTTGCAATTGTCTGCTGCCCCTCTCCAAGTTTCTTCTGACCCACTTCGCTTCTCCCACACCCGCCCCGCCTGCCCGTCCCGCCCCCCTCCCCCCAGTGGTGGGTCACTGGGTGTTTCTGCACCGGGGGCAGCCGCTGCGGGAGGAGCTCGACCTGGCTGACCACGGGGTGGGGCCGGGCAGCTGCGTGGAGCTGCAGCTCACATCGCAGCAGCAGCAGCAGCAGCAGCAGCGGGGGGGTGGGAGCGGAGGGGGGCTGGGGACTGGAGCGGGCGGCGGCAGCAGCGGTGGAGGTGCCGGTGCTGGTGGAGGCGGAGGTGGTGTGGGGCTTGTCAGCCAGTTCGCTCGGATCAGCAGCGGCAGCAGCGGCGGGGGCGGGGGCGGGTCGGGTGGTGGTGTGGCGGCGGGAGGTGACAAGGGCTCGGGGGCTCAGCGCTCGGTGCAGGTGGGTGGGCACGGGGCATGAGGTAGAGCCTGCGGGGCTGGTGAGCTCGGAGTGGGCACCCGCATGCGCACTGGTGTATTGATGGCAGCGGGCTCGTTGCTGCTGCTTGCCTGGATGCGTGTTCCTGTGCTGCTAGCTGTTGGCCTCGCTGCGGTTGAGCGCCCCACTGCACAAGGCGGGGTATGCGAAGGGCTGCTGCCCCCCTCCTCCCTCCTCCCTCGTGCCCCCCCCTCCGCAGGTGCTGCTGCCGTGCGGGCGGGTGGTGCGGGTGGTGCGGAGTGGCGGGGAGGACGTGGCGGCCTTCCTGGTCCGGGTGCTGGAGGCGGAGAGGGAGCTAGGGCAGCAGCAGCAGCAGGCAGCGGGAGCGGCGGAGCCAACACCCGCAGCTGCCCCTACTGCTCTTCCTCCTGCTAGCCGTGATTCTCCAGCTAGCACTGCCGCCGCCGCAGCAGCTGCAGCAGCTGCTGACTTCGCGAGCACCGGGGCGGATGACGACGTCTCGGCAGCAGCCGCAGCAGCTGCCACGGCGGCTAGCGATGCGGCTCCGCCCACTCCCGAGCGAGCAGCGGAGGGCGAGCTGACGACGGGGGGAGGGCAGTGCGTGTCGCCCCCCGCTGCGGGAGGCAAGGCGGCGGCTCGTGCTGCGCCCCCGCCGGCGGCAGTGACGGCGACGTCGGCGGTGCCGGTGGCGGCGGCACACATGCATGACGTCCTGTCCCCCGCCGGTCTGGGGGGGTCGCTGGGGAGCAGGTGAGGACTCTTGTGGGGTGAGAGGAGGCTAGCCGGGGGCATGGGAGCCGAGAGGGGCGCTGTTTCGTACGCTCCTGCGCGTGGGCTTACTGCTGTTGTCAGGAATGCGTGGGCTGCGTTGGGGCGGTGGGGCGGTGGTGCTAACCCCGACCCGCCCTCCTCTCCTCGCTCGCAGCAGGCAGAGCGGCTCCTCGATTGCCCGGGGCGGCGGGGCGCAGCGGGGGCTGCTGGCGCTGCTGCTGGCGGCCGCGGCGCTGCTGCTGGCGCTGGCGGTGATGTAGGGGGGCCCGCCCGGTCCTGCCTGGCTCAGTCCGGCGCCCGTTTGTGGGGCCTTCATGGGTACCGGTGCCCCGGAGGGAGGCAACGCTGCCGACTGCTGTGCCGCCGATGCGGGCGGGCGCCGGGGGGTTGTGTGATCTTTTAGCGCATGGAGGGATGCATGCAGGGCTGGTGTGAAGAGGCAGGTGTTGCAGGCATCTTGATTTCATGCGGCTGCCCGTCCTTCCGCAGTTTGACGGGTGACGCTACCTTAAACGTGAAGGGGAGGACAGGTGTGCTGTCTAGCAGAGCAGTGGTTCGTTCCTTTCGTCTTGTTGACCTGGCTGAGCTTCGACGGCTCTGACGGCTGGCTGCCTTTGCCATCGCTCGCGGGAGGGGCGGGGACTGACGGGTTGGCTTGACTGTTGCGGAGTTTGCAGTGGGACCGTTTGAGCTGACTGGTGACGCTGGCGATGATGATGCATAATGATGTTGCGACCTGCCAGGAGAGTACCGGGCTTGTATTAGGCCTCTCCCACTTTACCGTTGCAGTGAGCGTTACTGTTCAGACACTGCCAGCTGTGCACCCGGGGGGATTGAACTGACGGTGTGTGTAGGCCTGCATCATGCTTGAAGCGCTCCTAATGTGTGAATACGAGTGGCTACATAGGTTGTTTGTACAGAGCGGTAAAATCTTGAGGACGTGGGCAAGATTGGCGGAAGGTTGGAATGCAAACGTGTTATGTTGTAAGTACCGTCGAGGAGAGTAAATTTCCTTGTGCGGGCTAAGGAAATGGTGGTTTGTTAAGTCTGTTGGTAGTTAGGCGCTGTACGGAGGCGCGTGCGAAGGGGCGTGGGGTCAGCGGGTTCAGACATTCATCTTGGGTACTTTTGCGTTGGCCGGTGGCTAGCGTTGTTGTCGAGCGGAGCTTCGGCACCACCACCTTACAGGGGCGTTAGGACGCTGCTCGGCTGCAGCACGCAAGGTCGAGTGGGTAGAGTACTTAATAATATTACTAAGCTGTCCTTGGTTAGAATGTTGCGGTCAGTCGCCGCTAGCCGTGTGTTAGTAGTAGGATAATGGTGTAACAGCTCTGACGCACCTACCTAGCCAGTCCGCCTAGTTCCACATTCCCTAGGGAGGATGTAGGTGTGACAAGTCCTTGCCAGCATGCCTTGCAGCAACTCGTCCTGATCCAGTGGAAAGTCGCTTAATTCGCACATGCATTACCTGTCCTTCCTTAAAAGAGGGAAGCCTTGACGGCCTTCAAGCGTCTTTAAATCGGAATGCCACGACTCCGTTCGTTATTCATTGCGTCAAGCAGCCACCTCCATGCCTGGTGACAAGTCATCACGCAAAGGCTAAACACGGACACCGCTAGCAGCTCCGAATGCGCTCCACCAGCCGGCTGACAGCTCTGTCAGCTACGGTGCCAGTGCTTGCTGCGAATTCCCCATACGGGAGTTCCTAAACCGAAACAGAAAGCGCTTACCGGTACCTCGTGCAACACTTTCTAACCTATGCAGATAGCACAATTCAAGGCGTGCCACACCGACCTACTAGCTTACACCGAATCGCTTGCGGTTGCATCCCGGCTGCTGCTACTCCGTCCCTGCAATGCAGCTACTATATCGCAGTTTGGGGTATACGTTTGGAGGGGCTAGTGAATCGAACACAGCGGACCCTAACAGCAAAATGCGACCAAACGGTCGCGAAACAAAACCAAGACAAAGAACCGCTTGCACTATTCGACACAGCAAACATCCGGCCGTGCACAATCCCGTCCAAACCCCCAACCGACATGTTCGCCTGTACCGGTACATGCTAACCGTCCAGCACAGCCGGGCAAGTAAACTAACAGACCCTCAGTTGCGCGTTTTCCAGTGCAATGGGGTTATCATACAGTCCAGTTCGCCCCCCATATGCGTGCTACTGTGTAAGCATCTCATTCCTTTGCAAACGCACATCCGAAAGCCCACAGGACGCGCCATGAAGCCGGAGGCAATATTTACTCGGCCAGGGGTCCAAGACTTTACGCAGTTCGACTCTGCCGCATTCCTAAAAAGAAGCGACGGAGCAAATGGAACCGCGCTAATTGGTGGGCCCTGAGTAGGAGGTACGGCGGTTGAAGTGCTCCCGTAGCTTCTGGATCTTCTCCATGTTGGCCGCCGACAGCCCCGTGAAGTTGGTGAACGAGAAGTTGCCGAAGGGGTCGTGATCCACGCCCAGCTCCACGGCATCCTCCCCGCTGCCAGTCGGCGACTCCTCCAGCGGCGTGTGCCCCGCATCCCCCTCCGCACCCTCCCCATCCTGCACCTCCTCATCCCCCTCCACCTCTCCGTCCTCGTCGTATCCGTCGACGTAGGTGGCGTACGGATCCGGTATGCCTCCCAGGCAGTCCGCCTCGGCGCCGTCCCCCCAGCCGGAGACGCCAGCCGGCGTGACACCGCCGCCGCCAGCCGCCCCAGCCGACGCGGGGGACGGTCGCTCCGACATGACCCCCACGCCAGCCGCATCCGACCCACATGCAGGGACTCCGCTCGCGCTGTTGCGCGCACCGTAGTTGCTGCTGCGCAGCCCCGCGGCCCCCGCAGCAGCAGCAGCCCCGCAGCAGCTGCTGCCTCCGCTGTTGCGCGGGTTGAGCACGGAGCCGCACAGCATGGCCTGGTTGGCGCTGCTGCGGCCGTGGGAGCAGCTGGGCGGGGGCGGCAGGCCGCTGTCGGACGGCCCCGTGGAGTTGGGGCTGCTGGACATGCGCGGCAGGTGGACGCCCTCCATGGGGTCCGGCACACCGCCTGGAGGGTGGGGGGCAGGAGGGGACAAGGAGGAGGGGGGTTGTGGTATGTGATAAGTGGCGATGAAGGCTGCGAGCCGCCCTCCTATGGGCTACAAGAAAAAGCCGCAAAGGTAGTATAAGAACCATGAACAATCAACCCTATCTGGCCGTTTGCCAAGAGTCTCCTGACTACCCCGCGGCCGCCCTGCCCACCTGCTCCGCACGACTGGCTGCACGGCAGGTGCGACAGGCCCGGCAGGTTGCCGGTGCAGCTGGTGCGGCTGACGTGCGAGGAGCCGTGGCTGGCGCTGGAGCCGGTGCTGCGCAGCCCCGACCCCTCCCGGTGGTACTGGTCCTTCAGCCGGTCCACCTGCGGACACGCGGCACAGGCGCACACGGTAAGCTGGGGCAAGTGATAATCCCCGTACCCATGCCCATGTCGCCGCCAATGAGTGCCGTCAAGCAGTGCATGGATTGCGCCCACAAGCCGGCAACACACCCCAGCACCGAGACGAAGCTACTCCGCGCCCCACCTGCGTGCGCCCGCCTCCCGGCTGCCCGCCGCTCGGCCCCGACCCCGCCCCCAGCCCCGACAGGCCGCTGCCGGGCCCCGCCTGCGCGCTGCTGCGCTCGTTGAGGCCCGCCTGCGCGCTGGTCCGCAGCTTGTCCAGGTCCTCCGCCATGGAGCGCTGCGAGACGTGCTTGGACTCGAAGTAGGAGGTGTCCGTCTCGTCCTCCACCGCGGGGATGAAGGCGGCCTTGTTGCGGACCAGGCTGGTCCAGTCCAGCCCCTCGAACCAGGGGTGCAGCTTCACCTCACCGGCGCCTCTGGGAGGGGGAAGAAGGGACGCGTCGCAACTCAAGGCGGTACTCAGGGTGGAGGTAGTGCAGACACATGGGGAGGCCACATGGGGTTGTGCACGACGCGTTACAGAGAACATGGAAACATGGAAAGGAGAAAGCATTCGAGGTCCAGCAATCCGACCGTCCCCGCACCCTCATCATCAGGCCGCCCACCTGTGTCCCAGGCGCTTCAGCGGGTTGGGGTGCAGCAGCTTGTCGATGAGGTCGCGGCACTCGCACGACATGTCCTCCTCGTCCTCCGGCCACGTGATGCGGCGGTCCAGGATGTTGTCGAAGATGTCCTCCGGCGTGTCCGCGTTGAAGGGCGGCGTGCCTGCAGGTGCAGCGAGGGAGGCGGGAGCAGGTCAGGAGGCAGCAACACGTGCTTTGCCGTTTGGCTCATCTATTAGCCGACGAACGCAGCGACCGAATGGGCTCCCCTACCGCGTCCCGCGCTCAAGATGCACACCGCCGCCCTTTCGCGAGGGATTAACCTTTGCTCCTGTGCTGCCCTCCCGCTCCTGCCCCCGCCCCCACCTGTGACAAACTCGTACAGGATGGCCCCCAGCGCCCACCAGTCCACCTCCGGCCCGTGCCCCGTGCCCAGCAGCAGCTCGGGGGCCAGGTAGTCGGGGGTGCCCACCGCCCGCCGGCACTCGTGCTCGGGAGCCACGATGCGCTGCAGTGGGCAGCAGGGGCGGCAGGGCAGCAGGTTAAGATGTGTTGGCTTGATCGTTTGTAGGATTGAGGAGCGCATGCACAATGCACAAGGAGCAAAGGAACGCGTTTTCGCACGGTCGGACGACAACGCCGGTGCCGGAGCCTGTATTCGACGTGCTATACAGCGCCTGCCAGCTGCCCCCTCCTGCCCGCAGCTCCTGCGCCCACCTGGTGCTGCACGAACGGCCTGGGCGGCATGCCCAGCGAGGACGCCGCGGCGCACTGCCCGGGTGCGCTGGTGCGGGCGCCGCCCTGGGGCCCGAAGTCCTGCATGCTGGGGCCGTCCTCCGGCTTGGATGCGTCCATGGGCTCCCCCGCGCTCACACCGCCGCCACTGCCGCTGTACTCGCTGCAACGAGGTGAAGATGGGGACGCATTTGCATGTCAGGAGGCTGGGCAGTGACACTAAAGGCATAAAGGGCTGTGGAGGTTTATCATGCAGCTGCATGCTTGCTCCGCACTGTCCCCTGACCCACCCACTCCGCCACAACACGGAGCAGGCGCACCCCGTCACCCTGTGCTCAGCATGCACCTCCCCGCCCGCCCAGGGGCTCACCCGCTTGCATCCGCCGCCTGCCCCCACCCCGCCTCCGCCTCGTGCTCCGGCCCGTCCGTGTCCATGGGCTGCGAGCTGTTGAGGTTGTCCGTGCGGTCGATGACGCCCACGCAGCTCAGCCCGAAGTCCGTCAGCTTCACGTGGCCCTGCGCGTTGATCAGCAGGTTGTCTGGCTTCAGGTCGCGGTGGATGATGCCCTGCGGGGTTGGGGGTTTGAGGAGGTAGCGGAAAGGAGAAAGCGACGGTTAACTCATGACACTCAGCGCTAGAGTACCGAAACCACTACGTTTCGGTAGTGCTCGCGGCGGGGACAGGGCACACGGACACCGCACACCGCATGCTGCACAACCCTTGTTTGCCTGCGTAACGCGGTCCCTGCGTCTGCACCCCCACCCCCGTGCACCCGCATCAAGCACCTGTGCGTGGCAGTACTCGAGCGCCAGCACCGTCTCCGCAATGTACTGGCGCGCCACCTCCTCGTCCAGCGCACCGAACTTGCGCAACAAGCTGCGCACGCCAGGGAGAAGGGCGGGAGGGGTGTCATGAAGTGCCAAAACATAGCATGGCAGCATGGCAGGTCGCCGGCACGCGGCAACGACGAGCAGTGCTGCGGGCGGCGCCCTCACAACGCAAGCCCGAGGCGCCCTCCCCCGCTCGCTTCTCCCCAGCCCCGCTCCCCCCACCTGAAGCAGTCTCCCCCGTTGATGTACTCCATGACGATGTACAGGTTCTCCCGCGAGGTGAACGAGTAGTAGAAGCGCACCACGAAGGGGTTCTGCGCCATGGCCAGGATGTTGCGCTCGTTGGTGACCGACTCCACCATGTTCTTGCGGATCAGGTCGCGCTTCTTCATCACCTGCGGGGCGGGCGGGAAGAGGTTAGGGGTGCGGCGCGGTGGAGGGACAAGCGACGGAGGGTGACCATGTGGCTTTTAAACACCATGGGCCATCATTCCCCAGTCGTATAATTCACGGGAAGCCCATCCAACCCACTGTGTCTCCAGCCCCTGCCAGCCCACAGGCGCCAGCTAGTGCCCGCGTGTCTGCCATGTCAGCATACCTCCCCGCCCCCACGCGCAACCCACCTTGATTGCAAAGAGGTCCCCGGTGGCCAGCTTGCGTGCGAGGTACACGCGGCCAAAGGCGCCCCGACTGATGGGCTTGATGATCTCAAACTCCTCAATCGACATGCCCGGCATGCTGCGCGGCGTGGAGGTGCCGCTGTCGCCCGCGTCGCTGCCGCCGCCGGTGCGCACTCGGTGCCCGCCAAAAGGCTCCGCCAAGAGGTTGACCTAGGGATCAGTGAATAGCGTGCCATGGGCGGGCTTTAAGGCGATCTTGAACACCCCAACCTTAGCCCCAAGCGAGACGCCTCGACGCTTCATAAGGCGCAAGCGCAACCCAATTTCCCATCCCAGCCCGATTCCGAGCTCGGTTTAACTTATACCCAGCCCACCATCAACCCAGCTCCCCGCCCTACCTTCTCCGAGATGAGCCGCATGATCCGGTGCGCGTACGTCTGCGTCACGATGGCCAGCTTGTCGCTCTGCGCCGCCGCCTCCAGCATGTCGTTCAGCTCGCCCTGGATGGAGAAGCAGCGCGTGGTGGGCACCTTGGAGCCGTCCGGCTGCAGCGCCGCGGAGTTGCGAGCCGCGCGGATCAGCTTGATCAGCTGGTTCCTGGGGGGGCGACAAGTGCGCATGCGGCAGTGGGATCGTGCAACGTTTTGGGAAGGGACATGACCCACATGAGGGCCACACGCCGGGCATCATGAAGCCACAGGCTATCGGCTCTGCGGAAGTGCGCGGTGCAACTCCGCCCCCTGCCCGCTCTTCTCGCCAACCCTGACCCAGATCGCCGCCTGCTCTCACTTGACATGGTACTGGCTGGGTGCGGGTCCGAGCGCAGGGAAGGCCAGCGGCGTCTCCAGCCACTCCTCCAGCACGTTGGCGATGGTGGTCAGCTGCGCGTCCACACTCAGCCCGTTGCCGCTCAGCGTGCGGAGTACCGCGCAATGAATGCTGTGCTCCTCCAGGTGCGTGCTCAGCCAGGCCTCCTCGCAGATCGAGCAAATCTGGGCCGCAACAGAGGGGGCAAGGGAACAGGTCAGGACAGGTCCTACACGTCTATCCAGGCGAAGACGACTACTACGTTCTACTGAGTCATGGCGCCTAACCCCAACACCCGGGCCTTAGGACGGGGCATACCACCGCGGGGCTACAGGCCCCAAACCCTTCACAGCTTTACAGCGCCGTGTCCCGCTGCGCTGCATCTTACCACAGTCAAGTCCTCCGGCGGCAACCCCTCGGGCGACATGGGCGGGTCCACCCCTCCGGTGCACAGCCCCATGGCAAACAGGTCAACTGACGCACGGCGGTACAGCTTCGCGCGCCCCCCGCCCAACGCCTCCAGCTCGCTGGACGCCTGCGGCGAGTGGCTGGTGCGGCCATCATCCAGTGCTGAGCGCTCCGTCTGCACCATGAGCTTCGCCCGTTTGCCGCTGTCGCCGTCCTCGCTGACGCTCCCGTCCGCGCAGCTGCGAGGCCCCATCGGGCTGCCCTCGTCGCTGTCCCCGATGATGTGCACCGGCGCCTCCTGGAAGCGCACCGTGCGTGGGACGTCCTGCCGGCGCGGGGTCTCGCTGCCCTCGCCGCCGTCTGTGAGGGGCTTAGGGCTGCGCATGCTGCTCGCCGGAGACGCGGGCGACTTCTGCGGCTGGTCCGATGACAGTCGGAACCGCACATGCTGGGGCTGCTGAGAAAGCTCCGAATGCGGCCGAGACATCGCATCGGCGCCGTCCTTATCCTTCTGCGGTTGCGTCATGGGGCCAGCGGAAAATGACATAAAGCGACATGCCGTCGGCGTCCGGAGAATGCTGCTGACTCAGATCAGCAGTACCCTTCTGTCGTAACCTAGGTACACGCAGAGGTGGCCAATGCAGGCTGCAGGAGCAAACGCCTAATAACTCACCACGTTGGAAGACTTCCGTTTGAACCCGTCTGTTAAATTTTTAATGCCCTTTGAGAGCTTTCCGAAGAAGCCCTTCTTCTTTTTGCTGAGGCTGGTGGTGCTGCCATCGCTTCCCATACCCAACCCGTCCAGGTCGCTGCTTTGGCTGTGGTGATGGAACGGCGGCGCATCGCTCTGCTGGTTGCGGTCCGCGGGGGAGTCGGGCAGCTCGCTTTCTATTCGAGACAGCTGTTGGGGTTCTGCCCAGCCACCTATAATTGAGTCAGGGGCACAGGTGTTAAGGGGCGGGCGGCGGCCAGCAACGAGTGATTCGATTGTGAAGTACCCCCCACGCACCCGCCGGGGCGATGGGGCCCTCCCGCTTCAGCCGCTGCACCATGTTGTACATTGCCCTGCACGGGATGGGATGTTAGCTGTGGGCAACAGGCGCAAGCCCGCCGAAGGGGCGAACACGGTGAGCCGCTGTGGACCAACCAGCAAGTATGGGCAGTACCTACTTGACGGGCATGGTATGCGAACGGAAGACGGGCTCATCGTCGTTGTTGGGCGCGATGGCAGCGCTATCGCAAGCCTGGTTGAGCGGCGGGCACGCTGCGGATACCACAACCGACCACTCGTCAGTTCATGCCACCCGCTGGCATACGAACAACTACCACATGCATGGCGCAGCTGCGATACTCACGTAAATGCAGCCCAAGCTCCTTTTCTGTTTTGGTAGCGAAGCCTGGGCCAAACACTTGCGAGTGTCGCCTTCGGTTACGGGGTTCGGTCGCGAAGAGGTGTTGCTGCTCGGTAATGAGCAAGCGACTGCATCGTGTGAGGATGAATAGCAGCCGGGTGTACAGAGCACGAATCGTCCGCTGCTGGCACGAAGAGCGCTCCTCCTGTGGAAACACATGTGAGAATGTCAGCGACTCACAGACTTCCCAACTTGCACCTCAATCCCTTTGTCGCACCTCAATGTTATCAACGATGTCCGTGATAGTGAGCTTGAAGTCCTCGACTGGTGTTTCGAGGCATTCCTCGGCAATGTCCATAATGCTGCACCAGCAACGGTCTCACAAAGTCAGGACGGCCAACAATCGATCAACAATTCAACAGTCCCAAATAACAACCAACCTGGCAATGACTTCCAGCACGATGGGCACGTCCGCGCCCTCACGGTCCCCGATCTGCGCGTACAGCTCGCGCACATCGTCGAGGAAAACACGCAAATCCCGGTCAACCTGACGCTTCGCCTCATCAAAGTTGTGCGAGTTGCCGCCTCGGCTGCACGTGGTGGGGGAGCCGCTCGGGTCCCTGGGAATAACCTGCGGGAGGGATGGCGGCGAAGGGGTTGCGTGAATGCGGAACCACCAGCTGCAACAACCGGCAATGACCAACCTGAGGGAGTCGCGCTGACCCTTCCACCTTCAGGTTTCGCTCCCCTTTCACCCCTTCCAGGGAAGTGACAAGGAAGTTTAACTGCGAAGACAAAACATCCACGGGCGGTCACTTCAAGAAAGCCAAGTAACGCTATGTGCCATAGATAAAAGCTGTACCTTGCTGTAGTCTGAGGTTGGAACCAGACGCTGAGGCCTCCCCGACGGCCCGCTCGGGTTGAGGGTGTAGGTCATGCTGCTTGCACTTTGCTGCTAGGACCAAGAACCCAGATACTACCAGTTAACTTCCAGGTATATAGTCTGAAAGGCAAAGCCTTTTAACACTTACCCGAGAGCTAAAGCTGCCTGAGCCTGAAGAATGTGATACTCGCTCAAGCCGCTTGGCAAGGATAGGTGCAAGTTTCAGCTTATCCTCCACTGCCGAGGCCAACTGCCTGGCCACGGCAGGGTCCATGCCGTCCGCAGAGCTGCATCTATCCCACGCTTGCTGCTGCACGCCAAGCAAATGTGCCCTAGCCTCCTGTGCCTCGGCGCTATTTGAGCGTCCATACTCAGGAAAGGTAGGCTGCATCTCAGCTTCCTCGTCGATGACTTCCCTGGCAAGCGGTGCCCTCACAGGAGCTGCCCCGGCTGGCGACAGGTTCGGCATCGACGCCAGCCGCAGCGAATGGTTGTCCATGGTGCCTGGGACCTGGTCCTATCCCCCAGAAGAGTTCGGTTCTATAAGCCGGCAGGCCATCCCAGAAGGAAGGCTGCAATCCTTCGCTATATTAGGATGTAGGTGAACGTTTGCAAGCTTTGTAAAGTCAGAAAGGCTTTCCCAGGATACAGTATAGAAGCTTATGGGCAATAAAAACCTTGCTGGTACCAACTGCAACACAAAAAGCCAGACGAGTGAGCAACGACAGATTTTACGTGTTATCCAACCTGTTGGTTACTAGCGTAAAGCAGTTTAACTTAACGCACACGATGCACTTGTCCTATGAGCAGGTGTGTGGTGATGGAATGAGCGAATGACCGATGTGGTTGTACGAATTTTGCGCAGGTACGGTCCTGGTGAAAGTAACTCATCTGCCCAACACCAAGATGCCAGAGACGTTGCCTTGTTTGCCTTGTAGGCACCATGAAGCTCTTGGACTAGTGCCACCAGCCCTGACACAATTCCTTATGTGCCCCCGTACTTGCCTTCTTCTCCTGCGGTTGCTTGAACTTGATGATGGTGCACTGGACCCCATTCCCCCGACCGCACCAACTGAACGCAGAAGCTCAACTCTAATAAGGCCCAGGTCTGGGAAAACTGCAAGGCGTCGGCATGTTGCGCGGCTGGGAAACACGACAGTACGCGCAACCCTGCGCAGCTCGCTCCGCAACTCCGTAGGATTCTGTGGAAACCGCACGGAGTGTATGCGCGTGCATGGTTGTGTGTGTAAAGACATGCACTTGCAGTGCACACCTGCGGGCTGCGGGTATCGCGGTTGGTGGCAAAAGTAAGGGTGTACCATTTGGGTCGGCCCTGGCGAGCTTCATCTGATTGTTTGAGGGAATCAAACACGTTCATTTGAAACTCTATATGCCAAAGGGCACGCTGAAGACTTCTGGGGACTTGGGAATCATCAAACCATCGCAGCTCGACGAGGGTCGTAGTTTGCCGTACCCAAGCGGGTAACCGTGGCACCCGCTGCGCATCTGGACAGCCCGTATGGCGTCCTTTCTGTCGATTTAGCAACATGGACGCCGCGAGCGAAGCGCCCACGACCTTTGCGCCAACCGCGCAACCAGACTTGGGATTGCCGCGAACCTTTGAATTCTGGCGTCGCGCTGCGCTTATTTATGGCAGTTATAAAGTTGCACAACTACGCGACCTGGTTCTCAGAGCGACCGGTAAAAGTGATGCCGAGCTGCAAAATGCGATTTGGGTGCCTCAGCATACGTGGGCTGGCGAGGAGATGTATAACCTATGTATATCGCTAAGAGGCTTTTACTTGAAGGTAAGCTGCTCCACAGCAAATAGTTAATTTCGAATCGGCTTCGACCGGGGCCCGTGGGGCTGTGCTGGTGATTTCACTGCTGCTGCACGGCTATGTGGGCGCGACTGCACCAGCTGCAACCTTGATGGGGCGATATGACGTTTTAGCGCGTGGATTGTGTTTCCGGAGGCTGCTGCTGCTGCCGCGCCCGTGCCTGAGATCCTCGAATCCCACATGCCGGCGCCTCCATGCCGGCCGGAATGGCTTCAGAGTGGCTAGGACTGCGCTGCGTTTAGCGGGCGATGGAAGCTCAGGCACCTCCCCCGCTTCACGCAGTGTGGAAGGGCCTCCCGCCGCTGTCCTCCGTGCCCGGACTCCCTTGCCCCTCCTCCCATGCTCACACCCCTCCCCCCCAGGCCGGCCAGTTCATCGGCTCCCGAGCCGACTTCGTGCCGGAGCAGATCTGCAGGAAGCTGTCGCTGCTGTGCGACAAGGTGGGCGGCAGGGAGGGCAGGGGGGCAGGGCAGGCAGGCGGGCAGGAGGCGCACTGCGAAGGGGGCATGTGGAGCAGCCACTGCCCACCTCTCTTACCCCTCCACATGCCCCGCCCCTCCACACGCCCCCCCTCCCCCCCCCAGGTCCCCCCCATGTCCCCCTCCGCCACCCGCGCCGCCCTGCAGCGGGAGCTGGGGGTGGCGGACCTGGGGCAGCTGTTCGAGTGGATAGACCTGGAGCGGCCGCTGGGGGCAGCGTCAATATCGCAGGTGGGAGGGAGTAAAAATAAGGAAACGGACGGTTTGGGGCGGATAGGGTGAGGGGGTTCCTTGGCGACGGGCATTACAACTGCATCTCATTTCCCTCCCCCCGCCCTCCCCTCCCCCCTCCATAGGTCCACAAGGCCCGCCTGCGCCGCTTCCCCCGCTCCCAGCTGGCGGGTGCGGCCGCCCGGCTGCGGCACCAGCCCCCCCGCGAGCAGGTGGTGGGGCCGGGGGAGGGCGCGTGGGAGGTGTGCAACGCGCTGGGGATCAGCCGCGGGGAGCTAAGGGAGCTGAACAGGGGTGAGGGGGGGGGCGGGGAGGAGGGAGGGAGGGGTGAGGGGCGGGGGCGGGGAGCGTCGGGTCTCATGGCAGGTGGAGGCAGTCGGGGGTGCAGCGGCTCGCGGGGGAAGAGCCGGGTGGGGAGCTGTGGGGTTGCCGCTCCCGCCCTCCCCTCTCATGTGGTTTGTTTCCTCTCCCCCCCACTCCCCCTCCCCCTCCCAACCCTCCCCCTCCCCCCCAGGTGTCGACCTGGACCGGCTGCAGCCCGGTCAGCGGCTGCGGGTGCTGCACCCCCGCTGCGTGGACATGTACGACAACAGTGGGGCCAGCAGCAGCGGCACCCCCCCCACCCCCCCTGCGGTGGCCGCCCTGCTGCATGCGGTGGCGTGTGGGGATGCGCCGCGGGACGGGCTGGTGGCGGTCAAGGTAGGGGGGGAGGGGGTGTGGGAGGGGTGGATGGTGGTAGTTGGCTGAACCCCAGGGAGAGAGTGACAACCCCAGGGTGAGGGTGAGGGTGAGACCCCCCCCCCACGGCACCCCCCTCTCCCCCCCCAGGTTCAGTACCCGGGTGCCCTGCCCGTCATGACGGCCGACCTAGCCAACCTGCGGGCGGCGGCGCTGTTCCTGTCCAAGACGGAGATAAAGGTGGGTGGGGGGGGAGGGGTGGAGGGAGGGTGGGGTTCGGCGGGAAAGAAACCGCGTGCTCCGATACCAATGCGGGTGGGGTGGGACACGGAAGGGAGCACACGCAGCACCCGGCCCCCACTTCCCCCCACCCCACTGCCGCCTTTCCCCTCCCCCCAGTTCGACCTGGTATCTGCGGTGGACGAGTTGAACAAGCAGATACGACTGGAGTTCGATTTCACACGGTAGGGGGTAGGGGTAGGGGTAGGGGTAGGGGTAGGGGTAGGGGTAGGGCGTGATAGGGTGGCCACAGGGGTGGCGGGGGGTGGTCCACTCTCGGGGCGATGCCACTGCGGTTCGGTTGCTTTCCCCTCGCTCCCCTCCGTTTCCGCAATCGCCCCCTCTTCCCCTCCCCTCCCCCCCTCCCCTCCCTCCTCCCCCACCCATACCAGCGAAGCCCGCGTGATGGACACCCTGGCCGACCACCTGCGCCCGCTGTGCCGCCGGCTGGCGGTGCCGCGCAGTGTGGGCGGGCTGGTGACGCGGCGGGTGCTGGTGATGAGCTACCTGCAGGTGGGGGGGGGCGGGAGGGGGAAATTAATTAAATGGGGGGGATGCGGGGTAAGGGAGGCGAGTCTCCAGCTCCTGTACAGCCCACTGCGGCTGCCCCTTCAGACGCCCCACCTGCCTGACCTCCACCTCCCTCCCTCCCCTCCCCCCTCCCCCCCCTTCACCCCCCCCCACCCAGGGTATCCCCCTGCTTGAGGCCAGCTCCCGAGTGGGCCGCATGAGCCCGCGGGCCCGACAGGCGGCGCAGCGGCTCATACTGAACAGGTGGGGGGGCGGGGGGGTAGGGAGGTGGAGGTGGAGGTGGAGGTGGAGGAGGTCATGCAGGCAGGGGATCCGCGCGCCTCCCCTTCCTTTCCCACTCGCTGCCCCCAACTCCCGCCCCTCTTCCCCCCTCAGGGTGTCGGAGGCGTACGGCCGCATGATCCTGGGGGAGGGGCTCTTCCAGGTGAGTGTGTGTGTAGGGGGCCTACCTCTCCTCTCCATGCCTCACAAGTCACAACCTCTCCACCGCCCCATGGGACTGGGCCTCAGCTCTCACTCCTCCCCCAACCCCCCTGCATGGCCCCCCTCCCCTCCCCCTCCCCCTCCCTCCCCCGCAGGCCGACGGCCACCCCGGCAACATCCTGATCGGGCGAGGCGGGCGGGTGGGGCTGCTGGACTACGGGCAGTCCAAGCAGCTGCCGGAGGCGGAGCGGGCGGGGCTGGCGGAGCTGGTGCTGGCGATGAACAGGTGGGGGGGGAGGAGGGGGGGGGACAGGGCTCCAACACCGGGTGCCGTGCAGTGGGGGCAAGGGCCCACTTGGGGGGGAGGCAGGAGCGGAGCTTCATGGACCAGTCTTAACCTTCAACGCCCTGTAGACACGGTGGTTGATTGACCCCCCAATCCGCATGTCCTTCCCCTCCACCTCCTTCTCCCCCCCATCCAAGGGGCCGTCCCGAGGAGATCTCCGCCTGCCTGGCGAGTCTGGGGGTGGTTACGGAGCGGGAGGACGCGGGGCTGCGGACGGAGATGGCGTACGGCATGTTTGACACGCGGGGCAAGGTAGGGGGGCGGGAGGGGGGGCTGGGTTGGGGCAGGGAAGGGTGGCAGTGCCCCCTACGGGTTACTAGCCTACTTTGCCCCCTTCTCTTCCCTTTAGCAACCACTTCTCCCCAGCCCCCGGGGTGTGGGTACCAACATGCAGGTCCCCCCCGCCCCCTCCCCCGCAGGTGGACCCGTTCGACCCCGCCTCGCCGCTCAAGCGCTGCGCCATCCGCACCTTCCCGCCCGACCTGTTCTTCGTGATGCGGGTGGTGCAACTGCTGAGGGGCATGGCGAGCGGTGGGGGGGGGGTGGAGAAGGAGGGAGGGAGGGGGGGGGGGGGGGGGGGGAGGGGGGGAGCGAGGAGCGAGGAGCGGGGGGAGGCAGCCGCCCGGGTGCCGCCCCCCCTGCCCCTGTCGCCACACATGTCGCCCGCACCGCCTGCCCCTTCCCCGGGACAGCTGATAACGACCACAAGCCCCAAGTATCACTCCCTCCCCCCCCCTTCCTCCCCTTGCATGCATGCACTCAGGAATGGGCATCTCCGACTTCTCCTGCGCGCGCCAGTGGGCCCCTCTGGCCCGGGACACCCTGGCACGGGCACGCAGGGGGGCAGGAGGGGCAGGGGGAGGCGGGGGGCTGTGGCGCCTGCTGCCCTTCAACCGCCGCTGAGGAGGGGAGGGGGCCCGGATGGGGGCTGAGGCGCGCTGGGGCGGGGACTGAGGAGAGAGGTGTGGTAGGGCGGTGTGAGGGTGTGGGAGTGTGAGGCAAGGTGAGGGTGAGGGTGAGGGTGTGAGGGTGAGGGTGAGGGAGGCAGGAGAGCGTGGGGAGGCAGGGGGACAGCGGGCAGGAGAGCAGCGGGCTGCCAGGGAGCGACAGAGAGAGAGAGGGGGGGTGAGGGGACAGGAGGGGCCCGGCTGCGGGGCCCCGTCCACACGTGTGTCGAGCAGGATGTACGGCAGCATGACCCGGGTGCTGCTGCTGCAAAGGAGCTGATGGCAGTGAGGGTCAGTCAGGAAGTGCTTTCGGGTGGTCGCCCCCTGGCCGCCTTGGCCGCGAGCCCGGGCTGCGTCGTGGGAAGCAGCCGAGGGGCAGGTGGGGGGTGTTGTTGTGTTGGGCTGGAGGTGTTGTTGCTGCGCTGTGCTGGCAGCGGGGGAGGCCGGCGGGAGGTTGAGACGCCGGCCGCTGCCCGCACAAACGAAGTCAACAGCGAGCGGGAGATATAACCGGTATTATCCGGGGTTAGCAGGGCTGCATGATGAGCAGAGCACATGCGGCGTGACGTACAGCTGGTATCAGTCTTTGTGGCACGCAGTGGAGCCACAGGGGCCAGGTGGGGGGGTGCCTGCATGGGGTTTTCGCAAGCACCTGGCCAGCCTCTGGGCGCTGTCCCTGGTATATGGTATCAGCCAGCCCTAGGACCCATGACAACGGTGTGCGGATGTCTGCAGCAGCGCGCGGGTGGTGCTAGTTGCGTGCGTTGTGCTGGAAAGCCCCAAGCACGCGCAACAGGTGGCAACACGGCCTATCACCAACTCCCCCCCAAGGCCTTCGTGGGGATTGGGTCCCCACCTAAGCATAATTGAGTCACCCTGAAGCCTTCGTCCACACCCGCTACACTCATCCGAACCGGCTACACTTGTTCCACGGTAACTTGAGCAACAAGTACCGTTTCTTGGATGGGTCCCATCGGCGTGCGAGTAACTAGCCGAAGGTAAAAGGAGGGTTTTACCGATTATTGACACAGATACAGCATACGACAACAGATTGTAGCATTACACGCGAGCGGTTGTGCCAGGCCATAACGTGTAATTACACAGGCCGACGACCGTGTGCAGACATTCGAGGAGCCATGAAGGCGCGTCAGAAGGTATATTTATGCGAAAGAGCTGATGATTGCTGGCTGGCCGAGAAAGGCGACCAACAAAAAATAGGTGGGGTCAGTGAAGATGCAACCCGTAAGCAGAGGGCAAGCTACTTTCACTCGAGCAATAGACGACGTTGCAAATGCCATTATCCATCTGACAACAAACTATATTCATCCTACGTGGATGCCGTACCGTTTTGTGGTTTGGCCCCAACAGCAACCTCACCGCCCAGTTTGGCAAAGAGAACTGGCATCATTGGATAGAATACGCAAGTTCACTTCACATTTTCCTTTCAAAAGCCACGTAAAGCTGACTTGGACCGTGACATAACAGAGAGTACTCCCGTAGGCCTCAGTTAATACCATTTGGCGCTTTCTTTCTTACAATACCATAGCAGGGGCCTCCTGGGCGCCCTGGCCAAACAACTGGGGCGCCAGGGTGTGTGACAGAAAATGCCGCATAGGCTGCCGACCACAGGGTGTCACTTGCCCTGCAGCCCCAGCCCCAGCCCACGCTGCCTCCTTGCACCGTTGCGGTGTGCCCTAGCAGCAGCTCGGAGACAACGTGGAGCACGGTACCAGCGGGAAAGCGGAGCCTGCCGTTCCCATTGGGCCGCTAGCACGCACGCGCAAGCTGTGTCTCATACAAAAGCATGTAGTGTGTCAGGAAACCCACCTATACAGTCTATCCATTCGCGTCCTTCTCGGACACTAGATGAGGACTTCGGCTTCGCGAGCTCATCGCCTGAGCCAATTGTCGCCACGCCTGGCGCCAATGCGTACTCGGATCTGGAGGATGATTTAGACATCCACCGGTAAGAATGGCTATATTCTGTGCCCATTTTGACCAACCTTTTGCGTTGCGCAAGCTTTGTTCCTTGCCCGCTGCAGGCTTTTACGGGAAAACAAGCAGCATATAACAATACCGATGATAGACGAGGACCGGTTTGACGCACAGTATCCGGAGAGCCAGGCTGAGCAGCCCTCCTCTAGCGGGTCTGGCTGCCCGGTCTACGTCATGCTTCCCCTTGACACTGTCTGGGTCGTGGAGCGCGATGGCAAGCGGATATCAGTTCTCAAAAAAGAACGCTCGCTCGACATTGCTCTTCATACACTGAAACAGGCTGGCGTAGAGGGCGTAATGGTAGACGTCTGGTGGGGCATCGTGGAGCGTGCCGGTCCACGCCAGTTTGACTTCTCAGCCTACAAACGTCTATTTTACAAGGTAGCAGCAGCTGGCCTGAAAGTGCAGGCGGTCATGAGCTTCCACGCGGCGGGCGGGAACGTCGGGGATACCTGTAAAATCCCGTTGCCGAGGTGGATTCTCGAAATCGGCGAGCGCAATCAGGACATCTTCTACACGGACAAGTTGGGCCACAGAAACCGCGAGTGCTTGTCGCTCGGGTGCGATAACGTGCCGTTGTTTTGGGGCCGGACGCCGGTGCACATGTACCGGGACTTCATCAACGCCTTCGCAGACAAATTCCAGCACCTGTTCGGTAAGCGATGCGCATGCAACCTGTTCCTGCGCCCAGGGTTAGAAACGACGTTGTGGTTTCACTGTTGCAGGCACGGTAATAACGGAGGTGACGGTTGGGCTTGGTCCCGCTGGGGAGCTGCGGTACCCGTCGTACCCTGAGGGAGACGGGCGGTGGCGCTTCCCGGGGGTCGGGGAGTTCCAATGCTATGACAAGTACATGCTCGAAAGCTTGCGGAGAGCGGCGGAAGCGGCGGGGCACCCTGAATGGTGAGTCTTATGTTTCTCGTTGCCACTCTGCTTCGCACTCGTACAGGGTAGCCTTCACACGGGCAGTTCGTGGGTTGTGTAATTTAGAGCGCTAAAGCCATAGCAGCTAAGACATAGCCTCTGTAACTTTCCCCATCCCGCCTCCTTCCAGGGGGCTCAGCGGGCCGCACGACGCTGGGCACTACAACAGCAGCAGCTGGGAGACGGGGTTCTTCGTCAGCCAGAACGGCAGCTGGAACACGCCGTACGGGCACTTCTTCCTGTCGTGGTACAGCAGCATGCTGCTGGAACACGCGGACCGGGTGCTCACCGCGGCCGCGGAGGTGCTCAACAAGCACGGCAGGCCGCGCGTCTTCCACACCATGCGCGATGTAAGCACTGCTGTGGGGCTCTTGGGGCTGTCACTGCAAGGCGAGCTTGCATGTCTTGCTCCGATCGGGTGTTGCTCTTGCACCGGCGCGGTGTTCGTCGCAGCTTCGTTACGCCCGTAGGGACAAAGAATGGTGTTCACCAGCCTGTATGTCCTTGCGCTTGCTGGTGAACTGTCCTCCCCGCACCGTATGTCCACTGTCTGCCCCGCAGGCCACCAACGGCCACGTGGTGTACGAGTTCGCCCCGGCCTGCAAGATGGGCATCAAGCTGGCGGGGGTGCACTGGTGGTTCAAGTCGCGGGCGCACGCGGCGGAGCTCACGGCGGGCTACTACAACACGCGCGACCGGGACGGCTACCTGCCCTTCATGGCCATGTTGCGGCGGCACGACGCCTCGCTCAGCTTCACGTGCGTGGAGATGCGCGACTGCGAGCACCCGCCGGAGGGGCGGTGTAGCCCGCAGGCGCTGCTGCAGCAGGTGCGGCCCCCCTTGAGACCTTGGCGTCCTGGGCTGCGGGTGGGCTTAAGCCTGGATGGAAGTAATGTCGTTGCATTGCAGTTCTGTAGAACGGGCCCAATCTCTCTTGTCCCTGAGGTTTGGCCTCTCGCCACTTCTGATCTCCCCTCAGGTCATCGAAGCGGCGGAGAAGTACGGGGTCCCGCTGTCGGGGGAGAACGCCCTGCAGCGCTACGACGACTACGCGTTTGAGCGCATTGCGGAAAGCGCGTTCGGGCGCAGCGCCCGGGCGGGCCGCCTGACGCAGGTCACGTTTCTGCGCATGGGCGACCTGATGTTTGACAACTGGGACGCCTTCTCACGCTTCCTCAATCGCATGCGGAACAAGGCATGACACATGCATTGCTGCGTCGTGCGCGTGCGTGTCAGCCGAGAGAGGAGCGTGTGTGCGCTTTAGCTGTGACACTGTCCGGGACAACCAACCCTGTTTACTTGGCCGTGACTCTCAGCGTTGTGGGACGTGTGCTCCTGATGCGGTCCTCTAGCGGCCTCGCCAACATCTTGGAAGGTGCAGGGACGCGCTCGGGACACATCCAGTGCTGATTTTTTTTATGAGACCAGAGGGTGTCAGCTATATGCTGTTGGGCATCATGGCAATTTTGTTCTCCGCGTTTACCGCATGCCTTGGTTGCCCAGAACACCAACCCAACATTTGGTTGCCTTGATTGCAGGCTGGGGTCTATATACCGTATGTTCTCATGCACGCGGTGTCTTTGCTTGTCCCTCTTGCATGCGCGCCTAGCCTGCCGATAAATCAAGACAATTACCCGGGTTGTTTGCAGCATTTATCATGTACAGTACACTCAGGAGTGGGTAGCGCAGCTGTGCTGGAATTGTTCGTCTGTGCTGTGCCAGTTGCTTAGGCTTGTATTCTTAGATGATGCTGTACATAGCACGGTAGGGAGTGGAGAGAGGCCATCAAGGGCCTGTCGGGGAAACGGTTGGGACACCAACGCATCTATGGTGCCCATTAACACTTCCGGCGCTGTGCTTCCTGCAAATACCGGTATGCTTTCTGTCCTGAAAATGGCATCAATCATTGATCATTACACAATTAATGGCCCCAGATGGCGTACTGGCAAGACGATTGCCAAAACCCTATGCATGCGGAGAGTGGGCTTCACATCCAAAAGGATAGCCACTAACTCTTGGGTTATGAATACCGACCATACATTTCTGGGCTACAATCCCTGCTGCGGTTCCTCACCGGGGCTCAGACGGTGAAAAACATAACGTACCTTTGAAACGTACCCTTACCCATTCAAATACCACCCCCAACTCCATAACTACACGGAGCAGAAGGGTCGAATAGCGAGCGAAAACGCATGCAACCGCCTCCCAAGTTCCATGTACAGTTTAGATAACCTGCCCTAACCAACGCTTTCCAGCGCACCACAGCCTATGCTGACATACCTCCCACCACTGATGCCGCAACTACGACGCATACGTACGCTGCGTACGCAACACGCAGCCGCTCCGATAGAAGTACATTCATGTCTTAGCGAACTAGATGCCCATAGGCACATGTACATGTGCAATGTCGAGCCTGGTCTTGTTCCTCTGCGCTCGTCGCGCGCCTTCGGTACACGGATGGACGATTCCTATGTTTATGCCTAAACCCCTAGCCCTTCGTAGCTTAGGCTTGCGGCCCAGCATTGGTCACACGCCCGGCAACGCCTTTGCACTCCGCAAGACAAGCCCAATCCAATGACCACTATATTCTTACTTATCAAGCGGATCAAGATGGCTGACTCGCCGCGAGGGAACTGGCATAGGCTCTAGCTTAGGTGGCAACGTCTCTTGCTGATCGGGCACGGGCGGCTTGTCCCCCTTCTTCTGGGCTTCTTTGTTCATTGCCCAGTCCGCGGAGTCGAAAAACTTATGGTCCTGCGCGGAAAACAACATATGCGCTCTTAGCATCCGTGTGCGTTCGTGGAAGCACCATACAAGCCCAGGCACCTTGCCGCGACTCTGTGCACCGACGCGTACGCAAACCATATGGCGACAATCCTACCTTGGGAAGCAGCTTCTTTTTCGGCTTGAGGCCGCCATACTTGGCCATCAGCATTGCTTCCTGCTCCTTCTCAACATCCTTGGCAGACTTCTCCTGCATTTGCGCAGAAGACGCAGCCAGAGCGTCGCATCACGAGGAATACTTGCAGTTTGTGGACAGCTGAACAAGCTACCTGTGGTTGCTGCTGCGCGGGGTCGGCCATGGCGCCCCAACCGCCCTGCGAGCCGCTGAGGCTGCTCCTCCAACAACTCTGCTATAAATTAGGGCTTCTTGGCAACCGGTTGGAACAGCGCTATCCAAACTTTGTGGTTTCACGGGCGCAAAAGCACAACGAGATTCCAAGTAGGCACAAGTAATATGACAACGTGCAGTGTTCCGGTGTGTATAACTACTTAAAGCGACTCGTGTTTTCTTCAAGTGCCGACGAGAAGTTGTGTGACCCAATGAAGCATGCTCGGCGAAGGACGCCCATTCGCATGACCCTGGAGTCCAAACAAACTACTTGCCCATTTTTTTGCACAAACCAATATACTCATGCAAGCTTGTTGCTGGCGCAGCTAGCCTTTTACCCAGCTAAAGGCCACATGGGCATTGGCCAACGGCATCCATGTTGCGGACGGGGTTTGGTCATCTTACGGACCGCCTTGTTACTTCACACCTGACCTAAACGCGTCGTACTTTTGTATGCAGCTAAAGGCGCAGGGAAACTTCTGGACAGGCTATGCAACTCATTCAACGTCTCAAATGAGTACAGGGCAAATGCTCCAATGGTCCTAAGGGGTACGGTAGAGTACTGTCAGGGTAAGGCGATAGCGTCCTACGGCTACACTGTTCCCTATCCGCAAGATCCACTTGGTCCGTTCTGTCAATGCGGGTACTCGTTCATACTGGTCTGGTGCTGCACTCATGGGCCACACCCATTGCGGTAGGTTACCAGCGTTACTAGTACAGACACAACCACATGCGGCCCTTACAACACCCCTGATGTCCGGGCCGGCAAGCCCAACGGTGGCTATTGCACACACCCTCGTCCACTGCACGAAAGCCCTCTTGTAAGGCACCGACATCGTTTCATGCTCACTGGCACCGTACTAGGGTTCCACATGGGAGGGTGTTGTTTGTTCGGCGGGCATCTCAGCACGGTTGCTCCTAGGTCCTAGCACACCACACACGTCGTAAAGGCGCTTAACGCTGGACTCGAAGACACTACACCGTCTAGCACCGCATCACGGAGAGTTATGGCTCGGGAAGAGCAAGAGCTCGATATCGGCATGACTCAGCGTATTTATGAATGGAAGTATGGCGCCTCTGTAGACCATGACCCGTGGGTCACAGGCCACACAGCGAAGCACGCAGCCTTGGCCACCCAGCACACCTACCCGCGGATGCGCCATACGCACTGAGGACGTAATCCACGTCATTCCTCCTTCCACACCGTACAAGCGACCAGCATTTGTAACCACACAAGTCCAACAACAGCGGGTCACCTGTGAAGGGTCAAAGGTCACAGTCTAACTCGTCCATGTCAGCACCGAACACACCAACACAGCAAACACTGTCCAGTCCAAATCAAGGGGTTGTCAGCGAACAATCAAAGTGCCTGGACCGCCTCCCAGCAGCTGGGGTCAGGCAGGCAGGGAGCATGCAGACGGCCAACCAAAGGAAGAGCTCAGGTGGGCTCACGCACGCGTGTCACACAGGCCAATGAATCCAGTTACTATATGGACGGTCAGGGCTCTACGCACGCTCGTACGCGTTGACGGCTATAACAGACACCAAGTCGAGCACGCCACAGGCTGCCTGCAAGAGGCACACCGCCTCAAGACGCCAGATCGCCGAGAGGAGCCTTCCCTTCGCCCTCCTCCCGTCCCACCCCCTACCGCCCCTGCACCGCACCCCCGGCAACAGCGCCCTGCCGCGACACCCGGGCCGCATGCACCCCCACATCGCCCGCCCCACCCCAGCCCGCCCCCGAGCCCATGCCAGCACCCGCCCCCATCCCGTACCCCACCCCCAGCTGCTGCCCCTGCGGCTGCAGCAACGCCTGGCTGTGCGGCACGTGACCCCCCACCCCCACCCCGGGCTGCACCGCCGCCCCCGAGGCCACTGTCTGCCGGATGTCCTTCTTCAGCGCGTCGTAGCGGGCGGTGAGCGGGTCGTGAGCCCGCTGCATGCGGCTGCGCTCCAGCTGGCTGCGCTCCAGCTGGCTGCGCTCCAGCAGCGCCTGCAGCGCCCGCAGCTCGCCCTGCAGCTCCGCCTCGCGGCTGCCGGCGCTGGACAGCTGCGCGGCCGCCAGGTCGGCGCGGGCGAGGGCGTCGGAGAGCTGCGAGTGCAGCTCCTCCACCTGCGGCAGCAGCATGAGGGGGATTAATTTGGAGACGTAATCCGCCTTAGCATGAGGGGGAGGGGGGGAGATGTTAGGAGAGCCGCGGTGAGGGATATGAGGAGAGTTGATGCTGTATTGAAAAAGCGCACAGCAAAGGGAAGCAGCTGCTGTTCCAATCCAATTCGATCCAGTCAACTGCCGGTGCAGCAGCAGTAGCAGCAGCAGCATGCGGGGCCCGTACATGCACAGGGGCCACCCCCACACACACTCGCGGCCAGTTTTCTTAACACACACGCACCTTGCCCTCCAGCTCCGCCGCACTGGCCGCCAGCTCGCCGTTCTCCGCCGCCAGCGCCTCGCAGCGGCCCCGCAGCTCCGCCGCCTCGTGCGCCCGGGCCGCCATCTCGCGCTTGTGGTCCGCCAGCGCGCACTCCATGCGGGAAGCCAGCTGGGGAGGGGCGGTGGTGGGTGAGATGCAGGAGCAGGGCAAGTGGCAAGCCGTATAGGGAGAAGGCCATCGGCGGGGTCAGTGGGAAGGGAACGCAGCGGATTGCGGCTCTCATGCAGTTCCTGGAGAACATGTCATCTACCGGTAGCACGAACAGAACGGCTCCGGAACCAAAAGACGCGCTGCCCTACAACACAGCGTTGCTCGGATGCTGCCCACGCCTCCCGCGCCCCCCAGTCGTCCCCCTACCGTCTGCGCCTCCTCTCGCCACCTGGCCAGCACCTCCTGCTTGCTGCTCAGCAGCCGCTCCGCCTCCGCCGCCGCCGCCCCCGCTGCCGCCGCCTGCGCCTCCAGCTTGCCCGCCAGCTGCCGCACCTCCGAGTCCCGCTCCGACCGCACCGCGGCCAGCTGCACAGGCGGGGCAGCAGGGGGAAGGGGAGGGATTGGCAGCGGTAAAACGGTTTGCGGAGGTCAGCCGCTGCGTCCCAGCGGGACGCCAGGACCTTCCTAAGCCCGGCACACCAACTGCAACCCGCTAACGGCAAAGCAGCTATAGCCTTACAAGGGTAGAAACGGTCTTCGCAAGAGCCGATAGCGTTCCCTCCCCCCCACACACACCCGCCCCCACCCCCCACCCGCCTCCACCCCACCTGCTGCCTCAGGTCCGCCTCCGTCTGCTGCCGCGCCGCCCGCGCCGCCGCCAGCTCCCGCCCCGCCGCCTCCAGCTGCCGCCTGCCGGTGGCGGCCTCCGCCCGCGCGGCGCTGAGGCCGCCCTCCAGCTCGGATATGGTGGACTTGAGGCCGCGCAGGGTGTGCTGCGGGAGGCGGGAGGGGAACAGGGATGTCACCCGCAGCATCCCTGTACGACACCGTCCTGGGGTGTACGACACCTCAAGCGGCACGGCACTCATGCTGCATGTACCCCCTGGTGACCCGAACCCGCATGTGCCCGCCCCCCTGCCCGCCCGCCCCTCCCCCCCCCATGGTGAAGCCTTGTCATACAGCTCGTCAGTTGCTTCGTCAGTTGTCTCATTATATATATTTCCCCCCCCCCACCTCCACGGTCTGCCGCTCCAGCTGCCAGTCCCGCGCCGCCCGCTCCGCCTTCCGCTGCGCGCTCTCCAGCTTGGCCACCGCCTCGTCGCGCTCGCGCTCCAGGGTGGCCACCTGGGGGTGGGGGTGCGGGGAGGTGTGGGGATCAAGTCAACCGAGATATGGGAGGAAGGGGTGTGAGTGCGGTCGGCAGAGGGCCGCGGCGGCAACCCAGCGGCTTCGGCAGTGCGTTGCAGTGCAGTGCGGGAACCACCCAGCATACCCAGCAGACCTCCTCCTCCATCACCTCCCAGAATCCCTTCCCTCCTCCCAGCACCCCTCCAGTCCCCTCCCCACCTTCTCCATGGCCCCCAGCGAGGCCAGCCCCAGGCGGCTCTTGGACGCCAGCGCCGCCGCCGTGTCCTCACGCAGGCCCGCCAGCTCAGCCTGGGAGGGGGGGACAGGATGTGTTGGGGTGGGGGCAGCAGTTAGAGGACGGGCCCAGCGAGGGAGGTTGAGCGCACTAACCCCTCCCGCCCCCCTCCCTACCCACCGTGAGGCTAGCCTGGTCCCGCTCTAGCCGCTCCGCCCTCGCGCGCCACTCGGACACGGAGGCGTGCGCCGCGGCCAGCTCGTCTCGGACCTGATGGGGCGGGGAGGTGGGACGGGGGCGGGGAGGGGGTGGGTGATGTGGGCGGGGGCGCAGCAGCGTGCAGCGTGTGAGCGGCAATAAGGGTTGGACGCCGCGTGTCCCTGTTGCGTAGCAGCTACAAGCAGCAGATGCGCTCTCCTCCTCACCAGCCCTCACAAGTCACCCATCCCCGCCCCGCTCCCCCCCCCACCTGTGCTGCCGCCGCATGCGCCGCCGCCAGCTGGCCGCTGAACTCGTCCATCACCGCGTCGCGAGTGGCCTGAGGGCGCCAACGCCACCATCACACCGGGGTACGGTATCCGTTAGTGTTCTTCCAGACTATGCCGCAACTATGCCACACGCACCCACCACCTCCCCGCCCCTCCCCCCCACCTGTCGTACGGTTGCCAGCCGCGTGTTGGCCAGCTCCACCTGGCGCTCCAGGTCGCCGCAGCGAGCCAGCGCGCCGTCGCGAGCCAGCCGCGCCTCTTCCGCGGCGGACATGGCCTCCTTCACGCGGCTCCACACCTGGGTGGGGCGGGAGGGGGGGTGTAGTGCGGTAACGGGGGCGGTCAGGGTCATGGGGGCAGCACCGGGTACCTTACCTTAGGGCCTGGCTGAGGACTACAGCGCGGTGACACGGCACGCATGAGAAAGATAACCCCCTTCTCCCCTCCTCCCCTCCTTCCCTCGCCCCCCTCACATCCGCATCCCTCCTCTGCAGCTCCGTCAGCTTGCCCTCCACGCCGCCCAGCGCCGCCCGCAGCGTGTCGCCCTCCCGCTGCGCCGCCGCCAGCTGCCCCGCCAGCACGTCGCCCCGCTCCCGCGCAGTGCTCAGCTCCAGCTGCAGCGCCGCGGCGCCCTCGCTGGCCGCCTTGTAGCGCTGCTGCGCGGCCGCCGCCTCGGACTGCAGCTGCGAGTGCAGCGCGCGGAGCTCCTCCAGGGCGGCCTTGGGGGGGCGGGAGATGGGGTGGGGGCGGGAGTGGGTTAGTAGGATACGGTAGTGAAGGGGGCGGGGGAGGAAAAGATTAAAAAAGTGAAACAACGAATCCCAATCCCAGGAAGGTGCGCCCGGTGCACGTGGGTGCATGCATGAGTGGGAGTACCAGGTATGATGCCCGGTGCCCCAGTGGTGCGGGACAGAGCGAGCTGCAGCTGCAGCTGCCTGCTCGCTAACACCTTGCCCCATGTGCTACCCGTGCAAGTGCATGTGTGTCAGCAGCAGCAGGAGTGCGCCCTCCGCCCCGCCCTGCCCCCCTCCCTGCCAGCAGCACCGCAGCCCCCACCTTGCTGGTGGCAGCCGCTGCAGCCGCCTCCTCCGCCGCCGCCTTGTTGCGAGCCGCCTGGGCCGCCAGCGCCGCCGCCTTGGCCTCCGCGGCCCGCAGCGCCTCCGACAGCTTGGAGGCGCGCACCTCGGCATCCTGACGGGGGGTGGGGGTGCGGGCAGGGATTGGGGTCACGTTGGGCCGGCAGCTCGCAGCACAGCGAGCAGCCTGTGCCCGCCCGCTGCCCCAGCCCTAGTTCACTTCACCCCGCAGAGGCAGCCCCCCCCAACCCCCTACCTGCGCCTTGGCATTCGCCTGCTGCGCCTGCGCCATGAGTGTGGCCTGCTCCTGCCCCTGCCGCATGGCCTCCTGCGCCCGCTCCTGCAGCTGCGCGTGCAGCCGCTGCATCTCGGCGTCCATGTGGGACTGGGGAGGGGAGGGGAGGGGCACCGGTCGGTCAAAAGGGAGGCGGGAAGGGGATCAACGAATGGTATGAAACCGACACACACACAGCTACGGCCAGTTCTCTTAACACACAGCTACGATACTGGTCGGCGCTGCTTCCCGGGCAAGCAAACAAGTCCGCATTGACACGCTCCTTGCCACGCAGCACGGTGTCTTCCTCCCCCCCAGTCCGGTATATCTACGGCCCCCCCGGGCCGGGCCTCGCCCCCCCGCCCGCCCAACACTTTGTCTTGTGGCACCCTGCCAACTCCTTCCCCCATTGCTTTGCCCTAACCTGTGGTCTCCTATGGTTTGGTATGGTCTTTGACCCCCGCCCGCCCACCTGTTGCGCCAGCAGCAGCTCGTTCTCCCTCCGCAGCAGCTCCAGCTCCTCACCACTGCCCGAGCTGGCGGCGGCAGCGGCGGCGGCGGCGCTGTTGGCTGCTGCTGCCGCTGCGGCCGCACTGCTGGCCTGCGCCTGCGCGGCGTCCCTCGCCTCCGCCGCGGCCGCCAGGTCCGCCCGCAGCCGGTCGTTCTCCTCCACCACCTCGTCCACCTGGTACCGGGGGGGGGGAGGGGCAGGAGGGCGAGAGGAGGGTAACGAGGCGGTGAGTAAAGAGGTGGTGAGTCACACAGCATTTGTGTGTTGCACGAATTGTGTGGAGGTGTTCTCCTTTCCTTGATGATCCCCCGTGTAGTTGAGCGTAAACAAGAGCAAGCAGTTGGGATAGGTTCGCATGTGAACCGCAAGTACAAGCAAAACAGAGGGATAAACAGAGGTCACCAAACCTGAACTATAATGCAAAACTGCTTAAAAAGCTGGTGCTGGATGTAAGAAGAGCGGTGTGTTGACGACGCATGTCGGTGATGCTGATGGTGTCGGAAAAACTAAATTACTACCGAGTACCTAGCCCGCTGACCGACTCGACGCCGGGAGCCCCCGTGTAATGAAGTGAATGCGCTCCCTCTGCTGCCCCTCTCGCCCACCCCTCACACAGCGCTCCCCTTCCCCCTCCCTCCTCTCCCCCCACCCCGCCCTACCTGCGTCTTGAGCGCCTGCACCTGCTCCGTGCGCGCCCTCAGCTCCCCCTCCAGCTGCTCCACACGGCTGTCGTACGCGGCAAGCAGCGGACCCAGCAGTTTCTGGTCGCCAAGCACCACCGAGGCGGCCCCGGCTGCTGCACCCCCCAGCGCCTCCGCACCGGCACCACCACCCCCGCCTGCCAGCATCACACCAGCCTCCAGGGGGTCCGCTGCCGCTGCTGCCGCTCCTGCCGGGGTGCCATCCGCAGCACCCGGTGCAGCTGCGGGGGGCAGTGCCGTGGCGCCGTCCGCCCCCGCCAGGGCCAGCGCCGCCGCTGTCGCCCTCTCCGGGGACACCGCCCCGCCCCTGCGGGATACCTCCGCGGACAGCCGAGCCACCAGACCCTCCAGGAACCGCACCTGAGCCGCCAGGTCACCACCCCCACTGCCAGTGGTGATGGTGGCGGCAGCGGCGACATCGCGTCCCTCGCCAGCCGCCTCCTCCTCCTCCCCGTTGTACCCGGCCCCGGCCTGCTCCGCCTCCTCCGCGCTGCCTCCCCCCCGGCTGTCCTCGCTGCCGCCGGGCTCCTCGAACCGAGCCCGGGGGCTGGGGCGGCCCCTGGGCTGCCGCGGGAAGCGGCTCCTGCCAACTCCACTTCCGCCACCTCCACCGCCATGTTCGTACTCGCCGTACTCTCCGTCGCTGGCGGCCTCGGGGCCCACCCCCGTGAACTCCACCCGCCGGCGAGCGGGCGAGGTGGGGTCGGGTTCAGAGCGGCGAGCCGGGCGGTCGCGGGCGCCTGCGGGGCCGCCCCAGGCGCGTTGGCTGCTGGCACGCTGCGGGGGCTGCTGGTAGTGCGGGTGCGGCGGTGGGTGCTGCGGGTGCTGGTACATGTGCGGGCTGTGAGGCGGCGGAGGGGGAGGATGAGGGTGGGGAGGGGGTGGAGCAGGCGGAGGCATGCTCATGCCGCCATAATAGTGCTGCTGCGGCGGCGGCGGTTGGCGAGGTTGCTCGTACGAGTGAGGGTAGTAGCCGCCTGCCGCGGGGTTGCCGTACGGCGACATTGGCGGCGAGGCGGGCGGCGGCATGCCGTACCCCGGCAGTGCGGCGCGGGCCTGCTGGAACATGGCGTTGAAGAAGGCGGGCGCCTGGGAGGACACGCGGTCCGCCACCTCCAACTCGCCGCCGCCGCCCTCGCCTCCGGGCATGCCGTACGTGTCCAGGTACTCGTACCCGAAGGTGCCGCTGGCGGGTACGACAGGCACGACCGTGGCCTGGTGCAGTCCCTCCATCAGGGTGGGAGCCGCCACCCCGCGGGCGCCCACGGGCAGTGCGATGCCGGTGGGGTGCGCCACGAAGAGCTGCGCCACCCCGCCGCCGGGGCCGGTGTGGACCAGCAGCGGGGAGGGAGGCGCGGAGGGGGAGGCTGCGGCGGCGGTGAGGGTGGTGGGCTGGAAGGGGCGGCGGTCGCCGGGGGTGGAGGAGCCGCTGGTTGTGGTGGTGGTGGTGGTAGTGGCGTCAGCGGGGGGCTGCTGTGGTGGTGACTGCTGCTGCTGGTCCACCAGGGTCTGCGTCTCCGCGTTGCTGCGTTTGGTGGCGGCGGGGTCAGCGGTGCGGGGGCCGGCCTGGGTGGTGGGGGCAGCGGCGGGAGCTGGTGCGGCTGCTGCTGAGGCAGCGGCGGGTTGCGGCGGGATGGGCACCTCCTGCAGCAGGGGCAGGGGCAGCAGCAGGCAACAAGGTAGGTGAGGGTGGATGGGTGCGTATGTGGTGCCAGCATGAGCTGTCATATGCGCACTTCGGTAAGAAGGAGACATCAATGCGGCTTACCACTGTACGCTAACCCCCTTCCGACCGCCTCTTACCGGCACGGATGGGGCCTGCTGCTGCTGCTGCTTTGCGCGGGCCGCCTGCTGCTGCAGTTGTGCCGCCGCGGCCGCCTGTTGGTCCTGCTGCTGCTGCAGGCGGTCCTGCTGCTCGATCTGGCGGTCGTCCAGGTCGCGCATGATGGCCTGGGGAGGGATGCAGGTGGGGGGATGAGCGCAGCGGTGGCAGCAGAGACACAAGAGGAAAGGGAGGTTTGCATGTGGGAATGGGCGTCAAGCCGTCAAGGCTGAGGGTAGAGCCCAGGAGCCTTAACTACACCTGTCCTGGACCTGGAAGAACGGCCATGATAACAGCACACCCGCTGTAGTGCTGTGTGCTGGTCAGGTCCCACCCAGCCCGGCCTGCCTAGCCGCCCCTGTCGCCGGCACGTGACGCCCCACCCTGCACACCTCCACGGTATCGCGCAAGTCCTTCATCAGCTGCTTGACGGCCAAGGTGCTCGCGCAGCGCATGCGGAGGTCACGAGGCCCCTTGTCCGTCTCGATTTGGAGGTCCAAGCAGTCTTCCGGCCCTGGATTCTTGCTCCGGAGGTTGGACGGCAACCATTTCCTAATGGCCTCATAGGCAAAAATATTGATATCCTGCAATCAAACCTCAGCTTTATAAAGCCTGTGTTAGGCCCAGAGGGCCGCAGGTAGCGGCTACACACCTTCCCATCCACCGTTGTAAGGCGTACGCCCTCCCGCGCGACCACAAGTACCACAGGTTGCTCCCTTCCACTTGGTGCTAGTAGCGTGACAGAGTGACGTCGGCTGACTGCGGAAGCCATGTCTGGCGCTAGTCAATCAATAACGCAACCTCAGCTATACGCCACCGTAACAACGCATAGCTTTAGACCCTATAGTAATTGTACATCTATTCAATGAGAAAGAGAAAATGGCACGTGTTGCTTATTATACAAAGGTAAATACAAGCAGAGTTCCATCTCGCAGACGAATAGAAACGTTGGTGCAAACTAACTCAGTATAAGTTGGTGAAAAGAGGTAACTATCCAGCACACCAGGCAGGACAGTATGGTTTTGGAAGCTGAGTGGACGGCAACTACGACGTCATGGGAGCTGTTGCTGCTGCGGCATTGCTAGCTGTACGCCCGGGCTATACTTTACCACCGTAACAACTCTTCGTTGATTCTATATGCTTCCACACTTCACTGGATAGAAGAAATCCTTACCCGATAGAACCATGGTGTTGCTTCCATAGTGTTGGTTAGGATAGTCAACGGAGGACTGGAGAGCTGAGATGGCGGCCGACGACGGCAATGCTGTCATTGCTGATGGTATCGGGCACAAGAAGCGGTCTGGAAATCTTTTGACCGACTCTGCTGCAGCCCTGGTGTCATCGACGTTCTTCACAACTAGCTTTTATCCGCTGCATCGCGTCAAGATCCTGCTTCAGACACAAGACAGCAATCCTCTCGTCCTCAGTGGCCAGGCAGGTAGCTTTGCCCTGAATGCTATGGGCTTTCGCGTACGGGATGCTCGCAAATTGTGAAAGCCATCCGACCATCGGCGAGCGTCAAGCTCTTGCATTCCCATTCCCGCCAGCAACAATTGCTTGCATTCATTCCTCACAACCCTATTACTAACCCTCTATCACATCCCAACCTTCCAATAATGCATCACTCGTCATCAACCCACCCCTCTCCCTTCACCACCCCTTTTACCATCCTCCCGCTCTCCTGTCTCTTTATGTTTTACCCCCCCCCCCAGGTCAAGCGCTACACCGTGGTGGACGCCGTGCCCCGCCTGCTGCGCGAGGGCGGCCTGCGCGAGCTCTGGCGCGGCAACGCGGCGTACATGTTGCGCCACGTGCCCTCCACCACCCTCTCCTTCGCCTTCAAGGACGCGGCGCTGCGGCTGCTGCCCCACTTCGCCACGCAGCAGCAGCTGGCCGCCGCCACCGCCGTCAACCTGGCTGCGGGCTTCCTGGGCGGTGCGGCGGCGCTGCTGGTGGTGTACCCGCTGGACTTTGCAACCATCAGGTGAGGGGGGGAAACGAAATGGCGGGGGGGAGGGGGGGCCGGGTTGGAGCAGCGCGTGGACAAGAGGTTTGCTGCCGCCGCCTCCCCGGCTGCCCTACAGTACGCTCCCCGCACACTGCCCTCCCCGCCCTGTCCCCTAACTCCCGCCATCGCCACTGCCCGCCCCACTCCCTGCCCGCCCCGCCCCGCCCGCCCCCCTCAGGATGGCGGCTGAGCTGCGGCAGCACCACAAGGGACATGGTGGGACCGGGGGGGGCGGAGGCTGTGTAGGGGGGGGGCTGTGCGGGAGAGTGGAAGACACCAGCCCTGGGGCTCGGGTGCCTGCACACTGCTGCACACACGGTGACAGGCAAAGCGGCTGCTGCAAGGCAACCAGGCCCGCCCGCATGCACACCCCGCACCACACCGCCCGCATGCACACCCCGCACCACACCCCTTCGCTATCCCCCTCACCCCCCCCCCACCTCCCCCCCCAGGCATCCTGGCCACCCTGGACAGCACGCAGCGCGCGGGGGGGCTGCGGGCGCTGTACCGCGGGTACGGCGTGTCAGCGGTCGCCATCGGTTCGTACAAGGCGCTGTACTTTGGGCTGTACGACACGGCGTGTGCGGTGATGGAGCAGGTGTGTGTGGGGTGGGGTGGGGGGGTGGGGGGAAACCCAGGTGGGTGGTGTGGGGGGGTTGCTGTCACCTGGAGCTGTGCATGCAGCGGGCCTGAGGAGCTGCAGGCCCCCCACCTCACTTGCAGCCTGAGCCTACCTCCTTCTCCCGGGCCCCTGCCGCCCCCTCCCCGCAGCGCTCGTCTGAGGCGGCGGCAGCCTACTCCATCCACACCCACTCCTCCACCGCCACCTCCCCCTCCTTATTGAGCCCAGCCGCCGCGGATGGCCCCTCCTCCTCCGCCCCCACCTCCACCACCTCCTCCACCCGCACCTCCTCCCCCTCCTCGCCCCCCTCGCTGCTGTCCCGCTGGGCCGCCGCCAGCTGTGTGGTGGTGGCGGCCTCCTCGCTCACATACCCGCTGGATGTGGTGCGGAAGAGGCTGGTGGCAGACACGGCGGCGGAGGGGGAGGCGGCGGTGGGGGCGAAGGAGGGGGCAGCTAGGGAGGCGGGGGCGGTGGGGGCGAAGGAGGGGGCAGCCAGGGAGGCGGGGGCGGTGGGGGCGAAGGAGGGGGCAGCCAGGGAGGCGGGGGCGGTACACGGGGCGGGCCGGCAGTACCGCGGGGTGGTGGACTGTGTGGTCAAGATGGCGCGAAATGAGGGTGGGTGGAGGGGAGGGAGGGAGGGTGAGGGAGGGAGGGAGGCATGAGCGGATGCAGGGTGGTGTCGCACGCATGGCGCACCTCCCGCTCACACACACTCAGGACTCCATCGTTCAGCAATCACAGCACGTTCCGCCTCGCGGCCAGTTACTTTAACACACTCCCACTCCTTGCGGCCTGGACAGTATGTGGCGGGGCAGCCCAGATGCCCCCCCCCTGGTATACCGGTAGCCCATGTTTGACACACTGTTCGTTTCCTTCCTTCTCTACCCCCACTTCCCGTCCCCCGAGCTCCCCCCTCCCCGTATCTTACCACTATCAACCGGCACATGGGTCCTCATCTTCTTCCCCTCTCCCTCCCACCCTCCCTCGCCCACCCTTGCGCAGGTATCCGCGGCTTCTACCGCTTCTACGGCTACGACATGCTGCTGCGACTGGGTGGGGGCGTGCTGCTGGTGCTGTACGACGAGCTCAAGGCGCACGGGGCGGGGGGGCTGGTGGGGAGGCTGGTGGGGGGCGGGGCGGGGCGGGGGGAGGCAGCGGAGACGCGGTAGCAGAGCAGGGGAGGGGAGGGGAGGGGGGCTGTGGCTGGAGGGGCTGCGATGTGATGGCAGGTGGTGACGGGGTGGTGTGGGGGAGGAGAATGGTGACAGATGGTGCCGGGGTGGTGTGGTGTCTAGTCGGCGACTGCCCCAGGGGAAGTAGCGCCCGGTGCTGCTTTACTTGGGGCAGGATGTGAGGGGAGCAGGAATGGACTGCAGAAGAATACGAAGAATACGCGAAGACGGTGCATATGTCGCTGGTAAACCATCTGCGGGGTGCGGAGGGCTGTGTTCAGTGCCACAAAGCTGGCTGCGGCGGCCCATGCTGCGTGCGTGTGTTAAATCAACTGGCCGCGCCCCTGCAGCAGCACCTGTGTGCTGTGCGTGTCAAGGTGTGCACAGGGCTGACAGCGCATGGCTCTGCTGCGGAACAGGGCGCATGCGATGCCGGCGGTTAGGGGACCGCCGGGAGCGACCCACGGGTCACTAAGCGCTTCGCTGGGCATGTGCTCCCGACGTGCTCCGGTGCCAGCTGTTACACCTTACTTCCGAGAGCCGCAAACCCCTGTTGTTGCGGCACTGACTTACCGCCGTACCCTGTGTGCTGGTACCTGCACCGTTACCCCGGTGTACTAGCACTCCATGTCAACCGCTGACCCAGACACCTTCCACAGCACAAGTGTGACACCGGGCAGCACCCAACATGCTCCTCACTCCCCCCCGTCTGCCACCTCCGTCTGTGTCCGCGGTCAAGCCTGGACGCCCATCCGCATCCGCCCCCGACTGCCCTCACCGCGACCATGTACGGCACACCCAAACACAGACGCCCCCCTCCTACCACCCTCAAGAGGCCCTTAACCGGCCCCCCAGCAACCAAGGGAAGCCCCCACCCGACCCGTTGGACTAGCTACCGGCAGGCTACTCGGCAGGCTGCTCGGTCCTGACTCGCAAGCCCAGCCAGTTGCCCTCGCCGTCCCTCATGACCCGGATGTTGGGCTCCTGGGTGACCACCTCCTGCCAGCCAGCAGCGTGGGAGCTGAACCGCAGTGTCAGCGTGTTGGTGTAGGGGTCGTACAGCTGGCCGAGCTGCAGGGCCTCCTTGCCGTCCACAGCCTCGGACGTGTTGTATAAGTGGGTGGGGATGAGGCAGCTGGCGGAGGAGATGTTGAGGGCGACGGGCCGCTCGTGCGCGTCAAAGTCCACAAGCAGGCCCGGGTGCACGTCCCAGGTGTTGGCGATCAGGCCGGAGGTGACCTTGCGCAGGTGGATGCTCAGGATGTCGCCCGACTCGAAATAGCGGTACTGCACCAAAGGGCTGCGGAGCACCGATTGTTTAGGGCGCGACATCACGTAGGGGCGCGACACGGAATAATGTTGTCACGCTTACAAGTTGGATGTGAGAGCTGGGAAGTGTGCGTCGCTTGTCAGGAAGGTCCGCTTGGGAATGCTCGGCGGAGCCATTATTGGTTATTGCCTGTGCACCAGCAGGTTGGAGAGTTGACAACTCTGCGGTCGTGGATGGGCTGTATGGCGGTGTCTTGGCGCGCTTATCGATCACGCGTCGTCGTCAGTAACACCCTTCGCCCAGACTGGCTTAAACGTCGCAGGTTTGCATGAATTTTAAGGTTTGACCCACATAACGTTTAACCGTTTTCCCCTCTTCACTCTTTAGCGTTTCGGTGTTGCTGTAACATGATTAGCAGCACGGCTCCTCACACGGATCCCGAATGGATCCGGCTTCTCGACTACCCTGATGCTGCCTGGTGCGCGCTCCTATCTCCGCTGAAGCACTATGCAACGAGGTGGCTCAAAACTGTTACAAGACACAAGCTTTAAAGCCGGTGCCCGTGCAACACTCAAATCCAGATGGGCTTCCTCTAGCTGAACTTGCTTTGTGCATTAACACGGATCCAAAAACCTCTGTAGGACATGTCATTTCCGCCGACCCTCTCTTGCGAACTCTTACACAGAGGGCCCGTGTGAGCTGATGCCATGCGAGCCCTGCTGGCATGAGGGCGAACACATCCCACGTGCGAACATGCCCCTTTGCTACACACTGTGCAGCGGGGTGGTGGCCATTGCACGCCGCATGCCGAGAGGATGCATCTCTCCTCGTTCTTCCGGGTGACGCTCCCTCGGGCTGCGGGATCTCAGCACGTGGGGGCCGGTCCGGTTGCATCAGTGGCAGCTGGGGCCCTGCACCCGGCTTACCCGGAGGAGGAGGAGAAACGAGGAGTCGAGGGGGCCGAGCAGCTCTAGTGTGCCACCACCAACCGTCAACGGTGCCAACGGCCACTGAAGCATTCCTCCTGGCTTGCCTGGCAGCCCCCGGACAGCACCACCCGGCCGCGTCAGGGGCCCACATGCGCCCACGGGTTGCAGGAGGCCGCCCCATGTCAGCCCGACGAGACTTCCTGCCTCCCTACTGTCCTACGCCCCGAGTGGCTGCTGCCGCCCTTCACTCCTTTTCGTACTCAACAGCCCCCTGCCGCCCAACCCCACCAACACCTCCACCTCCGCCATCTCAGACGCTCCCAAGCTGCCCTCCTCCGCCCCTGCTGCCCCTCAGCACACTCAACCCACTCAACAACCGCGGCTCGTCACCCGCCCCTCAGCTCATGCATGCATGCATCCCTCACTGTCCTCTCGCTCCCCCCGACCAATCAACACCCCCTTCACAGCAGGCCCCATCACGATTGGTTTCGTCCCAGCGGCACCTCGGTAACTGCTGCAGTCCTACTAGCTGTATGCATCCGCCTTCCACCGGCCCCCCCCACAGTTCGCCAGTTTCCTTAATTCAACCCTCCCCCACCCGCCCCCCTCACAGCAGCCCCAGCCACGACGCCAGAATGACCAGCGGGCTGAGCAGCAGCATGGCACCGTATATGAGGATGTAGCGGTAGAAGGGCGGCACGAACCACAGCGCCTGATGCACATGCTGGAACACCGAGGTGGGGGCGGGCGGCGGGCAGGCGGCGGGCGGGGACTGACCCACCGCGAACCACACTCCGCAGGCGGTGCAGATGTTGGCGTCTCCCAGCGCCCGCAGGCACTCGAAGTGGAAGCTGTGTCCGCAGCTGCCCACGTAGGCCAGCCCGCCGGGGCGCAGCGGCAGCCGGCAGCCGGCGCAGCGGTCGCGGCGGCACTGCTCCGCCCCTGCTGGGGCTGCGAGTGGGGCTGGGGGTGCTGAGGAGGAGGAGGAGGAGGGCGGTGCTAGCGGTGGTGGGGGTGTGGAAGGGGATGCTGCGGGGGCAGCAGGGGTGGGGTGCTGCCGGGAAGGAGGGGAAGCGGAGGGAGCCAGGGAGGGAGCCGGTGCGGGGGGTGGCGTGGCTGCCAGCTCCCGGAGCAGCTCCGGGGTGAGGGTCTCCAGACTCATTCCGAAGGCTGCCTCGTCCGCCAGCCGGCAGTACACCACCCGGTACCAGCTGGAGGGGGAGAGGGGGCGGGGAGGGTGCATGGGCGCTGCTCGAGCATGCGGAGAGGAGGGGGCGGCGGCGCTGCAAGCACATGTGACGTCCTACCTCTTAACCGCCATAAGCTCTCTTCCTCCCCTTTCTCTCCCTTCCTCCCCACCATCCCTCCCTCCTCCCTCCCCCCCCTCACCCGTAGCCCGTGCGCGTGTTGTGGTGCTGCAGCATGTGCACCTCGTCGTGCTGCTTGCAGTACCCCACCTGCCCGCACCCCAGCCGCACAGCCAGCCAGCAGGCGCCACCCTGATGCACCGGCTGCGCCAGGACCGTCTGGCCGTCGCTGTAGGCGCCCAGCAGCGCGGCGCGCTTGTGCGGGGCGGCACGGCAGTTCCACTTGCGGGAGCCGACGGGGTAGAGCAGACGGTAGGGCAGCAGGGGCGGCTGCTGCTGCTGCTGCTGCTCCGGAGGGAGGTCAGGGGGAGGCTGCTGTTGCTGCTGTTGTTGTTGTTGTTGGTGGTGGTGGTGATGCCCATCGAGGTCGTGAAGGACGTGGTCGTGTGGGTGCTGCTGCGGCTGCTGGTGTGGGTGTTGTCCGGAGGCAGCGGAGGGCGGCGGGGGCGCCATGTGGGGGATGACGCCCCTTCGGAGGGCTCGGCAGCGAACCGGGGAGAGGGCGGTGGGAGGTAGCTGAAGGCCCGAGGGGGCGTCCTAATGCTCGCGGCTTCAACTGCCGAGGGAAGTGGGAAAGCGGGTACAATATGGTTGTAGGTAGGCGTCTACTGGAGTTATATTGTCTTGGACTCCTAGATGCTCCGATTCGAATAGATTAAAACAGAACGGGCGGCATTGCAGGGATGTGCTTATGTCTAATGGCGACACACAGCAAGGAGGCTAAGCTTAAACCAACTTCTGCAAGTTATATCGCATACATAATTGCCAGGTAAGGGGCTGTCAAATGCAGCTGAGCATTAGCGGCCCCATCACAAGGACGGGGCTTTCACCGGTCCGTTGGTCGAGCCTGCCTGCACCGATTGGTAATACCAACCTTTGGCGTTACGTCGACTTATGCGTAGTCTAAGATCGCAAACCAGTGCTTGATGCTGACGTCGCGACGGTCCGAGTGGTTTCCTAGTGTTGCTTTGACAGCCTGATGTCAGATCTGTCCTTGGAAGACGGCAATCCACTCATAGCACTGCTTAGCAAGTTAATAATACTAAGGTAAGACCTAGCGCTTGCTTAAAGAGCTTATTAATTCTGCTTGCAATGCACGTGGCGTCGCAGGTAGAGCAGGCAGCCAGTTACTTCTTTCCTATGCAAGGTTACCTGTGCATAGAAGTGACGGGCTTGTACATCCGTCCGGAAAGCGGGGAGGTTGGTTTTCTCGCAAATACGGCTCGTCACGATCAGTCGTTGGTGGAAGCAAGCTAGGATCAAGCGCCCAACAAGACACAAGGGACACACCTTCTTACATCTGGTTAAGGCATTTACTATCACCTGTACAAGCAAGCAATGTTGCAAGCGCCCTGCCGGAGGGCCCCTCACGGCCCCCCTCCGCACCGCCACTCCCATCAGGTGTGGCCCCGTCAGGGTACACAATAATACTAGTAACAACCATGCAGCCACACGCTGCCTGCGGGGCCCCCACGGCCCCTCCAGCGACCCTACGCAGCAACACCCGCGCAGCAATGCGGTGCTTGCAACACACCACAACGCCTCCAAACACCCCCCACGAAGTCATGCGGGTGACGTCTAAATGCGGCACGGGACACTACTCCAGCGTCCTGATCAATAGCGTCGACAGACAGTCGCCCCGCAACCCCGCAACCATGCTGCCCCGCAACCCCGCTACCGTCGCTGCAGAGTCGCCTGGAGCGCCTCCTTGCCCTCGTGCACAGAACACATCAGACCTCACTTACGCTGACCTCAGACTTATTCAATCGTATGGCATTATAAATAGCAGAATAATAGGGAGGACAGTACGGCCCACGCACTACACCTGCGGCTGCTAAACCCATGTGTGTATGCGGCTGCACTCTCGCAATGCCGTGAACTGGAGGACTGCTGCAATGATGCCACATGCAACAATCCTGCCTGCCTGCTGACTCTGTCATAATACACACAGTTCAATGAAGGTAAACAAGCAATAACTAGCTAGAAAGCACTGCCTGCCGGCAATACGTAGAGGATGTAACGCGAGATACGAGAAGCAAGCCGGTTCATGCGACGCAACGCACCCCTCCCTCCCAGACCCCTCAGGCCCGGGCACCAGGGGCGCGTGTGCGTGTAAGTTGTAAGAATACGCAACGATGGTAAGCAAAAAGGTTCAGGCAGAGATAAAAAAGGAGCCGCAAGATGCACTCCACAACGGATGGATTTCCCTCCTCATCGACACATGGGGCACTCCAGCCCCAATCATGCAAACGACGGCGGGTACCCGGCCGCGTACGGGTAGGACTGCGGAGCCGCATGCGCATACCCGCCCGGGTAGCCAACACCTGGTGCAGGTGTGTACGACGGGTATGATGGCACCCCAGGGGGGGCTACAGCGGGGGGATACCCCGCATACCCGGCATGATACCCAGCCTGCGGTACGGCGCCGTACACCGGGGGCTGTCCGCCGTACACGGGAGGAGCCGCTTGCGCTGCCGTACATCCGGTGCCGTACGGCCACCCCGCAGTGGAGGGTAACTCCCCCAGGGACTGCACGGCGTGGTATGCGCTGAAGGAGGCGGCAGGCGGGTGCTGGGAGGAGGCGCAGGGAGGGGAGTAAAAGGCGGCGGGGGCGGGTGCTGCTGCTGGCGACTGCATGCCCGTCAGGCTGCTGCTGCTGTTGCTGGTTGCGAAGCTGCTGGTGGGTGTGTGGAAGCTGGTGGCGGGGGTGGCTGCTGCTGCCTCGCTGGTGTGCCAGCTGGGCTGGTGGCAGGACAGCAGCTGGTGCGGCTGGGGCTGGATGAGCCCGCAGGTGGGCTCGTACCTGGGGCAGGAGGGAGGCGGGGAGGAGGATAGGGAGGAGACGATGAACAAGGAGTGCAGCAGCTGTATTCCTATTCCATATCCCGACTCCTGCCGTGAGGGAGGGGCGGAGGGAGGACTTCTCGGGTGGCCGGTGGGTATCCCAACGGCGCCCCTCTGTGCTCCTAGGCGCCGGGCAGGCGGCCACCACTCACCCAGGACCCAGGACCCCGCACAGCCGCACCCCGCTCAACCCCCCGCTCAACCCCCCGCTCAACCCCCCGCTCAACCCCCCGCTCAAACCCGCAACATGCTAGTCTGTCACCCTCCACCCCACCTCCCACCCCCCACCTCCCACCCCCCACCTGGGCACGGTGTCAGGCAGGCTGCCTGCTGCCACCAGACCCGCGGGGAGGCCGGAGTGCTGCCCTTGCCCCTGCTGCATGGAGGCGCAGTGGCCGCTGCCACCACCACTGACCCGGGTGGCCGTCAGGCTGTGGCGAGGTGACTGGGCAGCTGGCGCTGTGAGGGCGCCCGCCGCTGAGACGGAGGTTCGGAGGGCCCCGCTGCTGCTGGTGGGGCTGGTGGTGCTGGTGGTGGGGAAGGCGAGCAAGTGGGAGGAGGATTGGGACGCTCTTGGGGCGGCGCGCGGCAGGAAGGAGAGTGTGAGGTGCAGGAAACCTCGCTGGCGCCGGGTCAGGGGGCGGAAGAGGGGAACCTGGGGGTGGGGGTGGGGGCAGGACAGCGGGAAGGAGGGGCGCAGACATGATGAAGGCGACAAATGGTGATTGAGGGAGCCGGGTAGGCGGTGCGATGTAGCCAAGCAGGGGTTTGCGGAGGGAGGGTCGAACAACAAGCCGGGGCGTGTGGGCGGGGGCGCTGCGATAACAGATATAAACCAGTAAGCAAGGCCACGCACCTCCACGTTCTGTGTCCTGTTTGGGAGTTGTCGTACATGGACGATGTCAACCGTTCCTTTCCCAATCATGTCATCTGGCTTGATGTTGTCCTCATCCCACACCTCGATATTCACCTCAACCTCTTGGTCAACCTGCGGAGCCCGGGTTGCCAAAACCCTTAGCGCACAAGGTATACTTCTAGTCCAATATGTACATGCGACATACTGACACTTTACCGTGAAGTAGGCACGAGTAACAATCGCACCTGAAAGACATACACTTGATTCCAAACAGGATTCGTGCCTCCACTGATGTGAGTATTGGACCGGTATTGGGCCTGCCCGCATCTGCAAGCAGTGGCGAACGCTCCAAGGTGAAGAGCAAGGAAAGCGTGGTCAGCGACACCAAGATATGTATACCTTAGTATTACGTACGGGTCTTGTTGCCCAAACCTGAAGAACAGCCGAGGTGAGAAAGGTGAGATGGGCACGACACGATGCCACCTTCACGCGGCTTCTAACACTAGCATCAAACAACTACCACTGGTCCAGCAACTCACCAGTCGCAATCTTTTAAGCCCTTGCCAAAATGCAGGTGCACAGTAACTTCGCCCGGGGCCAACGTGACAGCCATTGCGAAGATAATAGCATAAGGGTTAAGCACATAACATAGAATGACTACACACTCCACGTTCACACAAGATTTGCAGTCCTAGCAAGGTCAGCTGTACCGATGATGGATGCCGTACTTCTTTTGTGACAGGAGAGCGTTGAGATTGCACAGCACCTATGAAGAGGATGGTAGATTGCTTTTTAGGACAAAAAGTGTCGCAAGGTGCTAAGGATGCGAGATGACCACTGGGTCAGCCACCACGCATGCCCACCCGGTCGAGACCTAAACCGCAAGAAGTCAAAGGATAACTGGGCACGGGGGAACCTGCAGGCTAGCTCCCCAACTGCCGCAAGTAGCCGATCCCGTCCCCCGCTCCCACCTGATCATTACCAAAAAGACCAGCAGCAAGTGCAAACCCCGCACATACCTTTCCCCTCCTTTCCCATGTGGCTCATCTCCATGGCTGTCATGACGGGGGATAGCAGACCAGCCATTGCCGGCGACTAACATCAACGACAGCCCGTAAGGAGTTGGTGGCCTTTACCAGGTTGTATGCGTGGGTGCTGGCCGGGTTCCGGTGAAAGCGGAAGATGAAAGCACGCATTCAGGGAAGCCTGCCGGGGAAGCCTGGGCTAACCAGCCATGCGTGAACGCCTCCATCCCCTGTGTAGCTAGCAGGTAGGAGTGGGTGGGCCGGGCCGGTGTTGTCGTGCACAGAAACTGCTGCAAGGTTGTAAGCCGGCACCCACAGCTTTGCTGATGGGACGAAGCAGAGTTCGTTGTGTGTGGGAGAGCATCACGTGCCTTCACAGCAATGCCTGCAGGGCTGTCGCGTGAGGCCGACCCTCTGTGGCACTGTGACAGACCCGCACGGTGGCTCCCTCACATGGTTTCAGATAATCCAGGTATCCAGCTGTTGGATTTTTGTGCTGCCCCGGATTGGGTATGGATCCATCCCCACAGGTACAGGGGCAGGCACGCGCCGAGGCGTTTGCCTGGTTACTAAGCGACGCGAGGCACATGGTCACCGCCAATCCTTCTTCCAGCATACGAGCAACGCGTTCAAACCATAAATTGTGATGAAAGACGAGTCGAAATCTGGCGTTCGTTTGCGGGTCGCTTTGTGGCAATTTTATAGCGGAGTTAGGGTTGAAACCGTACGACGATGCGAACGGGACGCGATTCCTAGCTGGTTGACTAGTACTCAGCAGCGAACATAAATTTGCTTTATCTTTACCTTTAAATAATTTCCTTCCTAACTACGACTGCCGCACCTTCAATGCTGCGTACCCCAACTAGCTAGGTCGTCGCCTGAAAAACTGGGGGTCTGGGGCGAAGAGCTCTAGAAACGTTCCTGCGCTATGTCTTACTCTACTGTTGCAATTGCGGTTGTTTCCGCAGCTGCGGCGGGGATTGGCGTTCTCTTCGGTGTAGCTCGCAAGCGGTTACGGTGAGGCTGAGGACGTTCGAGGTGCTGAATCCTTTTCACAGAATCATACTTGGTATGCTTTTACTTAGATAATTTTTGGCCAGAGGTGTTGACGTGTCCTGCGACCGGTCCATTGCAACACCCAACAGGGGCGTGAACGGAGCGCTTGTTCTGAGCCAGTTTAATATGCCTCAGAATACACAAGTAACTGGTCTATTGATTCTTCAAAAGCTGCTGCCAATCGTTGGTTCTCCTGACGTCGTGTCATTGGCGGGGGACCGACTGCTGGACCGGCCTTCACAGCTTGTTGGCGCTACCTTGTCTCTACCAAGTACATGTGGAAGTTCGTCTTGCAGAGAGTGCATTAGTTTGTCGAAGGTGAGGTTTCGGCTGCAAAGCGACCGGCATGTCCTAACCGATAGCATTTTCACTACTTTCCTTGCATAGATGCGCCCTTCCAGATTTCCATTTCGAATTCCAGAAATGCAATAGGTAGCTTTTATTTCCCCTGACTTCACATATGCGTTTGCAACTGCCTCGGCAGGGTACAATTGCCGAAGCCGAAGGCGACGAGGGCCTCTCACTGCCTACGGAAAAGGCCGGCTGTCTCTCCAACAATGAATCCTGCATTTTGTCTGCTGCCGTCACCTCGCCAGCCGCTTCACCAGATTCAGCTGCTGCAGCTGCTACCAGCACCCACCCAACCGGAGCTCCTCTCTCGGCGCCGGCCACGCCGAGCATCATGCCAGCCGCTTCCTCGCTTGCGCGGCGTGGCAGCTGGACCTCGGACGGTGTCTTGGGTGACGCCCTGCAGAGCATTGGCGGCCTAGAAACCGACGTGCCCGGGACACCCAACGGGCACCTCAGCGGAGGTTGCAGCGGGGGGAACTGCAGTGCTGCTGTGGAGGAGCAGCCGGCTGCGATTGGCTTGGTAAGGCAGGAGCAGGAGGAGGAGGGAAGCAAGGAGGCTGGCGGCAGCGGGTTATTAGGTGAAGAACGGCCAGTGGATACCGCTACTGGAAAGGCAACCATCACCATTACGGTCAGCAATCCGCTTTACATCAGGGAGCAGGATGCCGGGGCGCTGTCGGCCGCTGAAGGAGGGACACCTGCACTACTGCGGCGGCGTCTGTCCTCCAGCACCGCCATTGACAACCCCTGCTACGCATCCGACAATGATGCCAGTTCCCGGGTCCTCAACCGGAGCCGCGGCTGCAGCAGCAACCCCAACACCCTCCACCGGGGCGCCGGTGGCTGCAGCGGCAGCGGCAGCGGCTGCAGCAACATAAGTCGAGGCGCCACGCGGGCCCCCCAGCAGCAGCAGCAGCAGCAGCGGCATCAGGGACCGGCAGCAGCGGCCCTTCAGAGCGGCGGCAGTGGCGGCAGCTCGTCTGCTTGCACGTCCGCTGCCGCTCGCCCCTCCTGGCGCCTCGCCTCCGGTCGCGCCTGCAGCACCAGCAGCTGCTGCTCCTCCGCTGCTGCTGGCAGCACCGTTAGCGGCTCACCAGCCGCCACCACCTCCAGCAGCAGCACCAGCAGCAGAGCTGCCGTCTCATCAGCCCCAACCCCGCGGCCAAGTGTTCTTGCCCACTCGTCCCGAGGCCCGCGCCTCAGCACTCCTCGTCAACACGCGGCTCCTGCTGCAACCAGCCTCCGCAGTAGTGGGCGGTCAGCGCAGCCACCCGTAGCCGCCCGGGCCGACTGGAGGCTCGCCCCCGCCTCCACGGCAGCCGCCGGCCCTCCTGCCAGCCAGCCGCCGTGTAGCGGTGCATGCAGTGCGAGGGATGCGCTTCCCTGCTGGCCCCCCACGCTGCCGGGATCGCAGCCACAGGGGCCCTGCTCCGCCCGGGGGGGCCGCACATCGCCTGCAGCGGCAGCGGCAGCGGCAGCAGCAGCAGGCAGTGCAGCTGGCACAAGTGGCACCTGCTCGACACCCCGGGCAGCCGCCGTCCGGGTAGGGAGCAGCGGCAGTGGCAGCCGCAGCCACCGTGGCAACTACCGTAGCGGTGCAGTGGAGGCGGGGGAAGGAGCGGCCGCCGACGTGTCAGCGTTGCAGCAGTCGCGGCCGAGGTGGCGTTGAGTGCTGGGTTTAGGGAGGGCGGGAGAAGGGCGGGCGGGGCGGGGCGGGTGAGGCGTCTTGTGATTTTGTTTGATGAAATGAGAAAGGGAACGGGAGAATGACTGGGAGTCACGCCGATTGGCTTAGCCATGAGCCCATGGCATGTATATACCTGTATAAACCTGCTGTACAATACATGAGCGCCACTTAGTCAAAACGTTATGGCAGTTCCAAGAGGGCATTTGGCAGACCTTTGACTGGGGGGCGGGGCTCACGCGGCATACACGTCAGTGGGGGGCTGCACGCGTTATGGCAGTGCCGGCATCCCGGTTCCCTGCAAGTCCTCCTCGACGATGTCGGACGTGTGTTGCTACATCCTCGCCGCCGCGAGGACTCTCTAAAGTACTGCTTGTGCCTTCGCTATGAGGGCTGTGGAAAGTATTACATGTACCTCAATTGTGTGTCCTTATGTGCTCGAAGATGACTGTGTGGGTAAATGGATGAGTTATGACCTTCAAACACAAATGACGTGCGGCTGGAGCAGGTATGCGGCTGCTGTCCTAATTACCGTAGCTGCTGCTATGAAGCTTCAAATGATAGGTATTTAGGGCGCTGTTCCGTGTAGGGTGATATTGAGAGGCGGTCCAGGCAGACATACACAGTTCGTTACACGGCAACGCCGGGGGTGTAGCATGGCTGCTCGTATGCAGGGTGTCAGCAGCAGAGGATGCATGCATGCCAACCGGTATGCAAGGCCGCCACCGCCGACGGCTGGTTAATGCAAAACGTGTCAACGGCCGCTGCGGTAACCTAACAAAGTAACAAGCAGTAATGCGCACTCGCGCGGACTTCATTCAAGCCGCCCATGGCAGCAAGCACAGCCAGGGGGTGCAATTGCCACCTGACCTGGATGTCAACGGTTTAGGAAGCAGGAACCAAGTGGCAGAACCCAAACCCAACTCCAACACATGATTACTACGCACGCACATGAACCCCGGATCCCAGTCAAGGCAGCAGCAGCGCACACTGCTCCCCCCGAGTCACACTGAGAGCCTGGTCAGCCAGACATGCGGCGAGCGTGCTTATGTCTACCCAATCCCAAACCCGAACCCGAACCAACAACCCATGCAAGATACACCTCTTCGAGATCACTTAAAGGTCACAGCGCAATGCCAGGCAAAGCTAGCATGTCCCACAGTCAAAACACGTATTGCCGTGTGCCTAGAGTCATGGCAGGCGGGGGCGGGTAATGCAAGACAGGACGCCTAGCGGCGAGGGCGCCGCGGCACCTGGTCTGGGAAGGCAGGCAGGTATGGCTTCCCTAGCAGCAGCACTGCAGCAGACAGCGGCCCAGCAACTAAGGTGGAGTTTAAGACCGCGCAAGCCATGTCCCACATGCACCGACAGCACAGAAGCAGCGCACACAACCAGCATTGCATGAAGTTGGGAACGTTCATTAGTAAGGTAAGAACAGCCCACGTGGGGGCGCTATAAGTGAGTCTGCTCAAACGAAGCAACTCGCTTGCACGCACTTTGTTAGCGTGCCATGACACGACACGATAGGACACAAGGCATCATCCGGGCACCTGATCACATTCAACTCATGACACCGCGCGCAAGTCAGGGAATCACGCACGCACTGAGCACCTTCTTGCTACTATGGATGAGCGCAGGATGAGCGCAGAATAAAGTAGAAGCGCATCGCAGCAAAATCCGTAAACACTATTATTGACAACTCCTCTTATGTCTAGACGCGTAATACATGGTCCACCAGTCCTGTCAAAACGCGCGCGGGCAAACAATGGAGACCTCCTAAGCTGCAGACGACAGCCACCAAGCCAGCTGGGCTTCTAACAGCAGCAGCAGCAACAACACATGCGCCCTCAAACGACACTTCCCAACCTAACCACACAAAAGTCCACAAACCTCTGCTTCCTATGGACAACCATACACACACAGAAGGGAGCCCTAGTGGCCACATACACGTCCCCACACTGTAACTCCTTTTCTCAGCACACATGTTCACAACTCCATCAAACCCTTGCAACTATTCATTTGCCTGCCGACGCCGGGGTACCGGCATGAATTCACCTCCGCGCTGCAACGTGCCGAAGTCCACATCCTCAATCGAAACATCGTTTCCTGCCTCCACCTGAGCCTCCTCCTGCGACGCTGCCGGCGCCGCACCTCCAGCGGACGCCTCCGAAGCCACGGGGGCCGCAGAGCGACGGCGAGAGGGCGAGGCGTTGAACAGCGGCGTGGGACTCGTGAACAGCGGCGGCGGAGCCACGATGGGTCCGAAAGCTCCGCCTCCCGAGGATCCCGCACCCCCTGCTGATACTGCCGCTGCCGCCGCACCCGCTCCACCGAAGCTGCGACCCGCGTTCCGGGCGGCAGCCGCCATGGCTGCAGCACGCGCCCGCAGGGGTGACATGGTGGCTCCGTGCCGTGCGGGTGTGGGCACGGGGAACAAGATGCCGGGGCCTTGCAGCTGCGGCTCCACAACCGCCGTCTCACTGCCAGTGTCGCTGGTAGCACTCTCACGCGGGGCACCGCCGCCGCTGCGGCCGCCCATCGACGGCCGCTGCAGCAGCTGCGGCGGAGGTAGCTGCGACAAGGGCGCGCTGGCAGCCTCCGCCGGCGCCACCAGACGTCCTGACATCGCCAGTCTCTCTCCCGTGCCCGACATGCCGGCTCGCATGCGCGACATGAGCCCCGCCACGTACGCCTGGTGGGCCGCCTCCTCCGCCTGCCGCCGCTCCAGCGCTGCCGCCGCCAGCATCTCCGCGTTGCTCGGCTGCACGCCGCCGGACACACTCGCACCGGAGCTCATGCCGCCGGGGCGGCCGCTGGTGCGCTCCTCATCCGACAGGTACGGCGACGTCTCGCCGCCACTCAGCCCGGGCTCGCCGCGACTGACGCCGCGGCTGGCGGCGTTACCCCGCATTCTCCGCGCAGCTACTGCCGCCTGTGCTGCCGCCAGCAGCTCCTGCTGCCGGGCCAGCTGCGCCTGCCGCCGCTCCATGTCCGGTGGCACCGCCACGCTGCGTGAGGCGGCGCGGCTGGGCCGGCTAGTGCTCGCGAGGGCTTCATGGATCACCGACAGGGCGGCCTCCGGTGTGAGAACACGCGGCGGCTGCACGCTGCTACTGAAGTTGGTGGTGGCGGAGGGGCTCGCCGCCAGGGACACGCCGCGGCGCTTGAGCGGCGCAGGCACCCCGGAGGGCGGCGGCGGGAGGGGCACGCCGGTAAGCAGCCGTGCGGAGCGGCTGGCTGGCGGGCCCGGGGGCGCTGCCGGCGGTAGCGGCTCGGACTCCATGTCGGGTTCCCGCGAGGGGGGCGGCACGTAGCGGGCACGCGGTCGGGGCGGGGGCTGCCGGCGAGGGCGGCCGGGACTGCCCACACCGGGCAGCCCCAGCGCCGACTCGTCGCGGATGTCCTCCTCGGTCACGATCTCCGTGTCGGTGGAGGCGCCGCTGGGGAGCGGGCCGGCGGGGCGGGCGCTGCTCCCTCCGGGTGCGTCCTCCGCGGGGTCGTGGGTGCGCGGCGCCAGGGAGGCCTCGGTGAAGGCCATGCGGCCGTGCGGGTGGGAGGCGGGCGAGGGCAGACCCAGGGGCAGCACCTCCTCTTCCACCGGGGCGGGTGCGTCCACCAGAGGAGCCTGGTGCGGGAGGGGAGGGTGAGCGGGTGGTACACGTGTCAAAGGAGAGAGAGGGTGGATATAGGTGGCTGGTAACGAATCGGCATGATGGAACCCCAGTACCGGTATGCGGCATGTGAGCGCGACCACCGTGCTCGGTGCTTCCTGGTTCCCCACCTCGCTCCCCCAGGCGGCCGGCGCCTCGGGCAGTCGGAGCTCCTCCACTCCATTCTCGCCACTCGCGGACCCGCCGGGGGGCAGGTTGCGCTGCGCACCCGCCTCCTCCGCGGCCTCGCGGGCGGGGGTGCGGTCAAGGGCACCCGCTGCACCTGCTGCTGCAGCAGCCGCAGCCGCGCCGGGTAGTGTGGCCGGCCTGCTGCCGGTGCTGCTGCTGAAGGAGGGCTCGGGCGAGAGGCGCAGGATGGCCTCCGTGTGCGGCAGCGGGCTGCCCACGCGGGGGGTGCTGGAGCGGGGGGTGCCGGAGCGCCGGTGGGCCTTGTCCTGCGGGAGGGGGGAGCGGGGTGGTGTGCGGGGGGTTGGGAGGTGTGCGGGGTTGGGAGGTGTGCGGGGTTGGGAGGTGTGCGGGGTTGGGAGGTGTGTGGGGATGCGCACAATGGAGTAGCTGCATGAGTCAGATAGAGGGGTAGCGACCCAGGTCTTCAGGCATCGCTGCACGTCTACAGCAGGTTAATGTGCTATTCACGCAAATAACGGGCAAGGCACTGCCACCCCTTCCCCGGGCCCTTCTGCCCCCCAGCCGCCTAGCAACCTAGCAACCGCTCCACTCCACCCACCGGCGGGGTGAGCAGCCGCATGCCCGGCTCGAATGTCTGGCTGGTCGCCGAGGAGGCGGACAAGGTGCGCGGGGGCAGCAGCGGCGGCACCACCGACACTGCAGGCGGGCCGGGGGGCGGCCGGGGGATGCCCGCCTCCTCCGCGAGCGCCTCCCGAGCCTCCCGGTCAGCCTCGGTGTCGGCCAGGGCAGCTGCGCGGGAGGGGGCGAGGGGGCGAGGGCCGCATGGGACAACTCAGTTAGCAAGCAGTTCGAAGCAAAACTTTGCCTTCAGAAAGCACCAAGGTAGCAACCCGGCATTCAATGGAGCCCCCCAAACCCCAGCAGGCACCGCTCACCTGCGGCCAGTGCCGCCGCGTCCCCTCCCTGCGTCGCCCGCTTCGTCTTCACCGCAACCGTCACGGGTACGGGCTCCGGAGCCACCTCGCGGATCTCGTCCACCGGCTGCGCCAGCCGCGGGTTCAGGATGCCCGTCTTGGCGGCCGAGCTGTACGGCATGGCGGCCACCGGCAGCGGAGGCAGCTCGGAGGTCGACTCGGGAGGCGGGGACCGGTCCGGCGTCTCCTGCGGCGTGGGCTGCGGCGGCCGCAGCAGGGCTGCAGTGGGGGAGCTGAGCTGCAGCGGCGCCAGTGCGGCTGGAGGCGACTGCAGGGCAGGCAGCTTGCGAGGGCTGTTGTTGTAGCTGTCCGCGCCGCGCAGGCCGGGAGGTGGCGGCAGCGGGAGCATGTCCTCCGGCTCCTCCACGCGGACACGAAGCGAGCCGAAGCGCGGGCTGGTAGTTCCGGCACCGGCGCCAGCTGCCGACGCGGCCACCTTGGCAGCCAACGCGGCATTCGCGGCCGCCACTCGTGCCGCCGCCGCGTCCTCCCATCCTGGCGGCTTCTCTGTTTGCGGCGACACGGGCGGGCTGTTAACCGGGCTGGACAGCATGCCGGGCATCATGCGGGCCACACGGCGCGGGAAGGGCTTGTTGCCGGCACTCAGCCGCTCGATGAGCACCCCGGTGGAGCGGAGCATGGCGTCCGCGTCCGCCTGCACCCCCTCCAGCTCCCGCAGCAGCTGCAGCACGTGGGAGGTGAGGCGCTGTACGACACCCGCGGCGGTGGCGAAGATGACAACGCGGTCCAGCGGCAGCGCGCCGATCTGCGCTGCGATGAGGTCGCCGCGGGGTGTGGCGACGCCGCTGCGGCGGCCCATGGAGCCCTGCGGGGTTGAGAAACCGGTTCCCGGGGCGCCGGCTGCAGAGGAGGCTCCAGTGATCTCCCCCGGGGCCCCGTTCACGAAGCTGCGCATGCGGGCGGCGGCCAGGGCGGCGGTGCTGGCGGAGCGCATCTTGTGGATCTGCGGCCGCTGCACGCTGGACGGTCCGGCGCTGCCCGGCGGCATGGAGCCGTACAGGTTGATGCTACCCCCGCCACTGGCAGCGGCGGCGCCGGGCGCACTGAGGGCGGGGGGGGAGGCGGCGGGTCCCAGCAGTCCGCCCATGCTGCCCAGAGTGGCGGGCACGCTGCTGACGCTGGCTGCGCGGGCGGCCTGCACGCCGGCCCAGCTGGGTCGCGAGGGCAGCATGCTGCGGGCGGTCCGGGAGCCGGCGAGCGGGTGCGCACCGGGGCGCAGCGGGGACAGGCTGGGGCTGCCGGCAGTGGCAGCAGCGGCCGCATCCGGGAGCATCACGCTGGCGTCAGGAGATGACGACTGCAGCACCTGCAGCTGCTGCTCGGGTTCAGCCTCACCCGCAGCAGCAGCAGCAGCACCGCCCTCCGTGTCCTCCAGCTGGTTGCTGAAGCGAGCCCGGGTCTTGGCAGCCCTGGGTCGGGCGCGGGCAGGTGCCACACCGTCCGCCACACCGCCCTGCTCCACCCCGCCCGCCGAGACGGCGCCAGGCAGGGGCGAGGTGCCAGTGGTGGGGGCGGCCAACATGGCCTGCAGGGCCCGAGTGAGCATACCCTCCGGCGTGTGACCGTCCGTCACCGCCGCCACCGGGCCCTGAGCGTGCTGCTGCTGCTGCTGCTGAGGGGGAGGAGGCGTGGCAGCGCGGGACGTCTGGAACGTCTGCAGCCTCACCAGGCTCGACCCGCCCTGCTCCACGACACGCTGCCGGTACAGCGACGGCCGCACCGCAGCAGGCCGCGACTCGGGCTCCGGAATCATGCCCGCAAACTGCGCCACAAACAACGTGGCCAGCAGCTGCGGGTCGTCTCCCAGCTCCCGACCCATGTTCTCCCGAATATGATGTACATTCCGCATGGCGGTTTGTACGGCGCTCTGCAGCTGCAGCTCCGCCAGCGTCATGGCGGTTTGCGCTCCGAAACCCCCGTGGTGCCGCAGATCGCCGACCCGCATGCCGGTGGGGAGCACATCGTCGTCCGAGTCGGCTGCGGAGGAGCCGCTCATGCTGCCGGCTTCGGAGCCGCCCGCGGAGGAGCCGGCGGCCCCCAGGCGGCGCCGCATCTGGTGCAGCAGGTCGGCGAAGTTGCGCGCCTGCTTGCGGGGCACACGGCGGCCGAATCGATCCAGCACGACGTGGGCTAGGGTCTCCGCCATGGTTCGGGCGGAGGCGTCGATGGGGGCTGAGTTGGTGCGGGCGCGCACGCGGGCTAGGACCTTCATGCGCTTGGACCTGTGTGTGGGAGGGGGTGAGAGGGCGGGTGAGGGACAACGGAGCGCAAAGCGTGTTTTGTATAAGCCTGAGGCTTATGTAAATGCCCGTGGAAAAACGAGCGCACCGGTATGTATGTGGCAGATAGGTTCGCAGGCCATCAAGTGACCCCCCCCCGGTGGCTCATTCAGGAGGCGCACCCTGGGGGACCATGTGTGTCACCATGAGCCCCCACCCACCTGGCATCCTCCGCATTTGTGTTGAAGAAGAAGTACAGCTCCCTCCGCAGCTCCTTGTTCGCCATCAGCAGCTCCTCAAACACGGCAATCAGGGAGCGCAGGTTGTAGCGCGGACAGACCCGCGGGTCGGGCTCCTCCATGGTGCCCCCCGGGTGCCCCGTCAGCAGCACCGCCCGCTCCGTGGCCGCCTGGTGCTGCAGCGGGTGCCGCCGAGCCAGCGCCACACCGCCCGACATCGCCGCCACACCCCGTACGACAACATTGTACAGCGCGCCGTACGCCCAACTGTGCCGTACTTCCGGACGAGTGATCCAGTCGATGGTTCGGTCGATCTCCTTGTTGCGTGGCGCGTTGTACCAGGACTTTTGCTGCCACCAGCGGACCATGTTGCGAATGTCGGCTGCCAGGGTGGGCGCGCGGCGGCGCCACTTGCGTAGCCGTCGGAACTGCCGAAGAATGATCGCAAAGACGAATGCGTAGAGGCACCAGACGAGGAACAGCGGGCCCAGCGCGCGCACCAGTCCCGACACCGCCAGCTCCCCGGGGTGCGCCTCCAGGCGGCTCATGTCCAGGAGTTCGGTGATGGTGGCGCGCGAGTCGCCATTGCGGTTGATGACGATGATGTAGCGCATCAGCGTGTAGGCGGCGGAGCTGAGGGTGGCGAAGTTGGAGAGGCGGTAGCCGAAGCTGGTGGCGAGGAGCACCAGCACGCAGCCCACCACGCAGCAGGTCACCGCGGCCCAGTAGGCCAGCATGGGCAGGGCGCGGGTGATGGCACCCCCGATGAGGGCAAGCTGCGGCTGGAAGGCGACGTAGTGCATGAGCCGAACCATCAGCATCACCAACACTATACCCTGGGGTGGGATGGAGGGGGAAAGGAAAGAGGTCAGAAGGAAGGAAACGCCGCTTGTTCTCGAAGGCGTAGGCGTAACAAGAGCTCACGTAGGAGACAAATACGGCGGCATTACAGGCGACATAGGCACATGGGACATCATCCTCAGCCCCAGGCCTCGCGTCAAGGCCCCCGGCCCGCCTCCCCGCCCCTTTACCGGTATCCCCCCCCCTCCCACCCCCCTGCCTGCAGGAAGTAGTAGAGGGTCCACGTGTGCTCCATGCGCCCCACATACTCGTACGTGTGCGCCAGCTGCCGCAGCGGCGCCAGGTCGTCCGGCAGCATCCAGCGGTAGTCGCCCCCCGCGGCCGGCATGGCGGGCAGCGGCAGGGAGGTGGCGGTGGCAGCCAGGTCGATGGACTGGTTGGAGGGCGCGGAGGCGGAGCGGATCTCGATGGACTGGGGGGGGAGGAGGGGGGGAGGGGAAAGGAGGGGGGAGGAAAGGTCGTTAGGAAGGCAACACGGTGGTGATCACTCCCCGGATACCCCACCAGGGGCCAGATGCTTCTGGCGGCAATGCGGCTCTGATGTCCCCCGGGGAAGAACTCCCCGAACAAATGCAGCTCCCCATCACTCCCCCTCCTCACCCCTCCCCGCCACCCCTCCTCACCAGCAGCTGGTTGGCCATGTAGGGGTTCCAGCCGCTCTCGTTCTTCTTCACCATGAAGTACCGCGCGGGCGCCCAGGTATCCGCATCGTACACGTCGAAGGTGGTGGCGGTGGGCGCACCGGGGCTCAGCTGGAAGACGTACCAGTACAGCAGCGCCAGCGAGGCGATCTGCAGCGCTGAGGCGCCCACCTCCCAGCACACCCAGAAGGGGGTCACTCGCCAGGTCCAGCGCCGCTTGGCTTGCTGCTTGCGGCGGAACAGCTCCTCTGCAGCAGCGGGGGACAGGCGAGGGGGCAGACAAGAGCACGATGAGGGCGGTGTTCGGAGCCACGCTACGGACCCTGTAAGTCCACAGGTCATTTCAGTTTCCCTTTTACCCGGCGCTCCCCCGCCCGTCCTCCCCACCCTCCGCCCACCGGGAGTGATCTTCTCCAGCGCCTCTCCGTCCCTCGCCCGCTGCAGCCGCCGCTGGTGCAGCAGCGCACGAACCACATCCAGCAACGTAGCGGCGCCGTACAGCGACACGAACAGCACCATGATCCAATCGGGTACGAACCGCCCGTACGCGCGCTCCTGGATGTACCTGCTGTAGTCCACCGCGGGGATGGCGGCAAGCCAGTGCTTCAGATGCACCCGCCCGTCCCCGCCCCAGCTGAATGTGGCCCGCCAGAATCCGAACACCTTCTCCGCCGGGTTGTACACCAGCATCTGACCCAGCATGTGGGAGGTGAAGATGGGGCTGAGGTAGCGGCCCTCCTTGAGGTAGGAGAGCAGCTGGGAGGTGCGGTTGGCGCCCAGGCGCGTGTCGAAGAAGATGGGGTAGCCGTCGGGCATGCCGGGCATGGGGTAGTGGTTGAATCCAAAGGGGATGTCGCCTGAGGAGATCTCCGTGTTGCCCTCGGAGAAGTTGTAGCGGGTCCAGGGGCGGCCCGCCACGTCGGGGAGGTAGAGGGGGGAGCCGCTGTCGAAGACGGGGTCCTCTCCAATGCCGCCCAGGTCTTGCAGGTTGGTGGTGCTGAGGGGAGGGGAGGAGGGGGGGGAGGGGAGGAGAGAGGGAGGGGAGGAGAGAGGGAGGGGAGGAGAGAGGGAGGGGAGGAGAGAGGGAGGGGAGGAGCGAACTCAGGGGTGTGGATGGGTGGGAACTCAGGACGAGCGGAACGGGGGAATCAATCAACTACAATGTGGTCTACATGCAGTACAGCTTTTCATCAGTCATCAGGGGTAGGCAAAAGTGCAGATGGTGTGGATGACCAATACGTACGGCAATACCCCAGCCCCGCCCCCCTAGCCCCTCTGCTGTCCCCCACCTGTACTTGACCCTCACGCAGTCCGCCCGCAGCTTGGCGTACTTGGACTGGCAGGCCGCCGAGCCGCTCCCCAGCACCACCTCCCCCAGCGGGTGCCGCACCTGCTGCAGCAGCAGCCCGCCCATCACCCAGTTGCTGCGCACCCCGGCGATGCGCGTGCGCTCAGGTACCCCGTTCGAGTCCAGTCGGATGCTCAGCCCCGCAGGCGGCTTCCCGGCTGCCAGCTCCACCTCATAGCCGCCAAAGAACATGCGACCCTCGGAGGAGGAGGAGGGGGTGGGGTAGTCGGTGCTGTTGGTGGCAGCTTGGTCGGGAGGCGAGGGTGGGGAGGGTGGTGAGGGCGGGGGGGAAGGAGCGGCGGGGGGTGGAGCGGTGCTCAGGGAGCCGGGTGGGGTGGGGGTGAGGGGCGGGCTGGGGGGTGCGGTGGGGGGGCTGGGAGGGCTGGGGGGTGTCGGGGGGGAAGGCGGTGGCGCATCGCTGCTTTGCAGCCCTCGCTCCCTGGCGGCAGCTGCTGCAGCAGCAGCTGGGTCGGCGGCTCCCCGCATGCGGCCAGCCACGAGCCCCAGCACCTGCCCCAGCCAGCGGCGGCCGGCGCCCACCACCCTGCTGCCGGCGCTGGCCAGGGAGGAGGCGAGGGCGCTGCGGCGGAGGCCGCCCGCCGACACGCTCGCCGACACGCCCACTGTGGAGAACTGCTGCGCGGCCAGCACGCTGTAGGCCACCCGGGCGGGCGGGGGCGGCGGGGGAGCAGCGGTCACCCCGGAGGCCAGGTCCGCCTGCCGAGCTGCGGCCTCCACTCGGTTGACGGTGAAGTAGAACCTCTGACCGCCGCCGGCTCGCTGGGGAGGGGGGAGGGAGGGAGTTGGTCGGTTACGTTTGTCGGTTGGAGACTTGCAGCAGCAAACGTCCCCCGTTCCCTTCCCTCAAGCCCTCACCCACTCAACCAGGAGCCCGAGAGCAGCTGCCAGCCCTGAGGCCCCCACCACCACCACCCGCAGGCTCCCCACCATCCTCTTCCTTACCCCACCACCCCACAGCCCCCCCGTCCGCCCCCACCTTTATGAGGCACTGCTTGTAGGTCTCGAAGTAGAAGGTGCTGTCGCTCACGTCGAGCCCCTCCACCAGCAGCGAGGTGGTGAGCCCCAGGTAGTCCGCCACCTCGCTGGTGGTGGCGACACTGCTCTGCAGCACCCCAGCCAGCGCGGACAGCAGCGCCGCGTTGGCGGCGGAGAGGGACTGCAGCGTGAGCAGGTTGGCCAGCACGGTGTCGGTGCGGGTGTTGAGCTGCGTGAGGTAGTCGGAGGCGAGGGACTGCGGGGGGGGGAGTGAGGCGAGGGGGATGGATGTAAGCGGGGAGGTCAGGTGAGTCAGATCGGGGGCCATGACAGCACGCTCCTACTCGCTGCCAGGTTTCTTCAGATACCCTGTCAGCCAAGTAGTGTCCACCCCCTCCCCCCGCCCACCGTGTATTCCTTGTACAGCGTCTCGTAGTGCACATCGGTGGTGGTGAACGTGTCGTCCAGGTTGCTGATGGTGGAGGTGGCGTTGGTCACATTAGACACCAGGTACTGGGGAGAGAGGAGGGGGGAGAGGCGGGGGAGAGGACACAGGTCAGGTCAGGTCAGGCACATGTCAATACGGGGACAGAAGCACCTGGGCGTTATGATGCAGGCGGTACCGGTGCACACCCCCCCCCCCCCGACCCCCACCACCCCACGCCCCACCCCTCCCCCTCCCTACCGTTCCCAGCCGGTCCACATCCGTGATCAGCGACACCACCACCACCATAGCCGCATCCGTGTCGGAGGGCAGCGGCGCGGTGCAGGTGGTGGTGGCGGCGCTGCTGTTGATGGCGGGGGCGCACGAGGTGGCGGCATCCAGCAGGCGCCTCCGCTGGGCACCCGCATACCCACTACCCCCGCTACCACCTCCGAAACCACTGCCTCCGCCGTACAGCGAGTCCAGCGTGCTGCTGCTGGTCGCCACCATCTGCCCCAGCGCCTCCCCAGCCTCCGCCAGCCGCTCAGATATCTCCGCCAGCGTGGGAACCAGCTGCTCCGTGAGCAGCTCGCGAACCAACGTACGCCGGCTGGGGGGCTCGGGGGGTGGCGCGGCTGCGGCTGCTGCCGCGTCCTGGGTGCTGCTCGGCTTGGTGGTGCCGTTCAGGGCGGCCAGGAGGTCCGTAGCAACCCGCGCGGACTGCAGGTCGCCATCTTGCGATTGCCGCTGAACGTCCGAGCCGTTGCCGTTTCCTGAGTGCAGTCCATGCGCGTCCTCCCAGGCCGCCACCGCCGCCCGACGCAGCTCCTCGCCAAACGGCAGGTCGCGCGCCGGCCCGCCCCGGCTGCTGAACACCCGCCCCAGCACCTCCACCCCCTGTCGGAACTCCGCCTCCACCGCCTGTGCAGCACTGGCCTCCTCCCGCGACTGGGGACCGGGGGGCTGCCGCTGCTGCCACTGCTGCGAGGTGCCGGGGCGCACGTGCAGGCGCCAGGTGCGGGAGCCGATGGTCACGGCTGCCGTACCCGAGGTGAACTGGCCACTGCTGCTGCCGCTGCCGCCTAGGGGCGGCTGCAGGGAGCTGCCACCCACAACAACAACAACAGCAGCAGCAGGGGCAGCACTGCCGCCCGCTGAGATGAGGGCGCTGTGCAGGTAGGAGGACGCGGGCACAGCGGGCACGACCGCAGGCACGAGCGGACTGTAACCGGCAGCAGCAACACCATCCATGTAGTGCCCCGCCGGGGCGGGGAGGGAGCCGTGGAGGTGCCTGTCGGGGTACAGCACACCCCCCTCACCAGGCAGCTCTGCCAGGTAGCTGTCGTCACCCTCATCCTCGTACGGCAGATCCGCGGTGTCGTACACATCATCCCCGAGTACGTCATCCCGCCAGGAGGGGGAGGCGCTGCTGAGTGCGCTCCTTCGTCGGGACGACCCCCACCACCACCAACCCCGCTGCTGGGTGGCTGAGGAGGAGGAGGAGGAGGAGGAGGAGCCGAGTGCCAGGCGACGCCGGAGCTCGCTGGGGCTGGGGTAGGGGTAGGGCGGGCTGGGCGGTCTGGGGGTGTTGGGGTTGCCGGGTGGCTTGGGGCTGGGCGGCTTGCGGGTGGGTGGCGGGGGCGGTGCGATGGCTTCGTAGTCGTCCAGGACTTGCGGCACGGGGAAGGCCGAGAGCACTGCCGTGGTGAAGAAGATGGTCACCTGCAGGCGGGGGGGGGGGTGCAGGGAGTGACAAGGGAGGGCCGGGTGGAGGGGCGAGTTGCGGCCAAGCACATGCAGCAGCGCCGCAATCGAGGCAGAGGCGCCCCACCCTCCTCCCCATCCTCACGCAAGCGGAACTACAGCAACACCCCCCCCCCTCCTCCTCCCCCCCCACCCCCCTACATTGAGTGTGCAGTTGCAGTAGTTGGGGTCGTAGATGGTGTCGTCCGTGTTGGCGTCCAGGATGGCCACCGAGCTGATGCGCGCGGTGCGGACCGCGGTGAGGTCCACACTGTAGGCCAGCAGGCGCGCGGTGATGAAGCGGCGGCTGAGGGAGGAGTTGCTCTGGGGGGGGCGGGAGGGGGGAGGTAAATGAGAAGTGAGGGGTGGAGGTGAGAAGGGATTGATGAGGGCGGCAACAGACAAGGGCGTTCGGGGGCTAGTAGCTGCCAGCCAAGCAGGTGACAAGGCGTAGTCAAAGATCAAACAGAGTACCCGCAAAGCAAGGTGAGGGGAGGGAACCCGGCGGTGCACTGCATCCCCCCCCTCCTCCCCCCCCCAAGCACCCCCCTACCGTTAGGTCGCTGACGAATGCGCGCGTGTCATTGCGGCTGTGCGACACGGGTGCGGAGAGGTTGAAGGAGGGCGGCATGACGAACCACACCGTGTTGTTGGCGGTCGCCTCCACGATGAAGGTCCAGTAGGCCAGCGCAGTGGCGCCGTCGTAGTCGGTCACCGTGTAGCTGAGGGAGGGGAGGGAAGGGGGGAGGGGAGGAAAGGGGAGGTTGTTGGGAAATTTGGGAGGTGGGTTGCGGTTGATGAGGGGCGCATGGCAGGGGGTACCGTCGTGAGGGGGGAGGAGTAGAGGTGGTGGTGACACGTGATGGTGACACGCTACTGCAACATGCCTCCACGGGTCCAGAAGCCGCAAAACCCGGGTGTGCCACCCTGACCCCCTGCAACCTCCCTCCCGCCCTCATCCTTCCACCCCCACCCCCTCATCCTCCCACCCCACCCCCACTCACAGCAGTCGGTAGGTCCCCGGGTAGCACTTCCCCAACGTCAGCTGCTCCGGCTGGCAGCGCAGGCACTGGTTGGCGTTCTTGCCGCCGCACTCGGTGGCGTCCACCACGGTGATGAAGGCCGTGAGGTCGCCGTCCTCCGCATCCGTGGCAATGGCCGCACACGCCGCGTAGGCGGAGGAGGAGGCGCAGGGGCTGAAGCTGAGGGGCGCGGCGATGCCGAAGGTGAGGAAGGTGGTGATGCTGAGCACGCTGCCCTCCGCGGCTACGGGCGCGGTGGCGAGGGAGGTGCCGGGGGGCAGCAGGATGAGCTGCGGTGAGGCGTTGGTGCCCTGCTGGGCCCGGGTGATGGAGGCCATGGAGGTGCAGGGTATGTTCTGGCAGCTGGGGGGGAAGGGGGGTGGAGGGGGAAGGGGAGGGGACAGGCGAGTCAACAAGGGAGGCGGAATGGGTCACGGCTGGACTATTGCCGTAGCGGAGGTATGATGCAGGGGTACGCCAGGGGGGATAGCGCCATTTGGGTCTGTGCTTCCCAAGATGTGCAGCTCAGTGAGTGAGGGGTGTTCAGGCAGCCGAGGGAAGAAGAACCAGCAGCAGCCCTAGCAGGGGTAGCAGTCCTCGTCGCCCCCACCCCTCCCTTCCTCCCCCCTGCTGCCAGGCCCCCGCACTCACACTCCGTCGCAGTCGTACTGCCCGTCCGCGCAGCGCTGGTCGATAACGACGGTGCGGTTGACGGTGGCGGACAGGCGGGGGGTGCCGCTGGGGGGGGAAGAGGGGGAGGGAAGGGTGTTGCGAGGGTTAGGGTTGCCACTTCACACAGTTCACGAGCAGGGCTGCTAGGTCTGCGGCACACTACCCGGGTCGTCAAGCACCTGGCACCTAAGCCAGTACGTCCGGACTCCAGTATGTCAAGATACTCTTGCGTAAGTATCCTTACACGTGCGGCTCTCGCCCCACGTGTGCCCCAGCCCATGTGCCCCCCCAGCCCACTCACTTGTCGCACACCAGGAATGTGACCTGGTAGGCGGTGCCCACCGCCGCCGAGGTGTCCACACAGCCCCTCACGCCCTTGCTGGTGTACTCGTGACCCGAGCACAGCGCGGGGGTGCAGCTGGCCTTGCACTCGGCGGAGGGGCACACGTAGATCTGGGGGGGAAAGCGAGTAGGGTGCCATGAAGCAAGCCTCCACAAAGCAAAGTGAAGCAAGCACTGCACGGCACCCCATCACGCAGCCCATATCCCGTACGCGTATCACAGCACACGGCTTCCCTGCAGCCCATGCCGCCAAAGGGCAACCACCCCTTCCCTCGCCCTCCCCTCCCCGGTGGTGTGGTCCCCCCCCCTTCGCACCGTGGCCGTGAGGTTGCCCTCCTCCGCGTCCGCCGCCGTGGCACCCAGCTCGCACAGCGTGTTGGGTGGGGAGCCGTCGGAGGCGCGGCAGTTGCGCCAGGAGGAGCCCTGCGGCAGGAACACAGTCTGGGGGGAGGGAGGGGGGAAGCGGGAGAGGAGGGGGGCGGGGGGTCAGGGAGGAAGCGGGGTGTTGGTTTAGCAGGTTTCGCAGGATTCACACAGCGTAGAAGGAGGAGGCGCCCGCGACATAGGCCTCAGCGGACCTCAGCGTGTGCTAGCTCCCTTCCTCCCTTCCTTGCTTCCTTCCTTCCTGTTCCAGCTCACCACAGCCCCCTCACCCCCACAGACCTCCGCCCCCTCACCCTCACCTGGGGCAGCAGGTCGTTTATGACGAGGCTGATGGTGGGTGCGGTGTTGGCGGAGGCAGTCCGCGAGCCGCTGACCCCGAATGCGCTGCTGCCGGAGAAGAGGCTGCCGCCGGTGATGTCGGTTACAAGGGTGGTGCTCTGCGGTTGGGGAGTTGGCGGTTGGGGGTTGGGGAGTTGGGGAGTTGCAGGGGGAGGAAGCTGGTAAAGAAGGGAGAAGACGGTTGGAAAGAAGGACACGAGCGGGGGCAAGACGCATGTAGTAGGAAGGACGCTGCCGGTATGCGGAAAGCACAGCGGATAATCAGGATTGGGGTTAGGGATTTCTCTCCGATCGCTCCCCTGCCCGGGCCCCCCCTACCGCCGAGGAGTTGCTGTACGCTGCCAGTGCCGAGGTGGTGGAGGTGTCGTACGAGTAGCAGCCGTCGTCATCGGAGCAGCTGCCGTCGGGACACTGGATCTGTGGACGGGGAAGGGAGGGGGCGGGGGTGCAACAACGCAAACAGGAAGAGACAAGGGTAAGACTCTTGTGGCACCCCCCAAAAATTGCAAAATGTGACAAACTCCCCCGCCCCCCGGCTTCGGCCTGCATCCTCCCATCAACGTCCTGCATCCTCCCCTGCCCCCTCCCCCCCACCCCCGGCCCCCACCTGCCCCTCCAGGCACCTCCGCTGCACCAGCACCTGCCGCACCACAGCCGCACTGGCGCCCATGCTGTCCGTCACGCTGTACGTGATGCTGTGCAGACCGGGAGTCATGACGGCGCCCAGCCTGCAGGCCGACAGACCCGTGTGCTCCCACAGCGTGTCGGCACCGTCAATCGCCACGTCAGCACACACGTGGATCTGGAGGGGGGGGTGAGGGGGCGAGAGGGGGTGAGGAGGGGGGTAACAAACACTGATAGGAAGACCGAACATGAACGCGTGTTAGGCTAGGGATTAAAATTCAAGACGTGTTGTTACCCCGTATGTTTGTTTCCCGCCCTCCCCCGCCCTCCCCCCACCTTGTGGCTGATGTCTCCGTCCTCCGCGTCCGTAGCGACGGCCCCCGTATCGCAGCGCGGCTGGGCGGGCTGGGGGCACTTGGCGAACGTCTGCGGGCGGGGGGCGGGAGGGAGGGCTAGTGTTCAACGCCGTGTGTTGGCAGCCAGCGAGTGCACCAGGGGCAAAGAGGCCAAGAGCCCAAGCGCCATTGTAATACCGCCAATGACGAGTAGCCATGAAGAAGCCAGCCAGGAAAGCAGCCCCCCTCCCTCCCTCCCCTCCCCCCCGGCCCCACCTGGTTGTCGTACAGCAGCACCAGTGCGGCCATGTCCTTGAGGCGGATGGTGGGGGCGGTGTTGGTGATGACGCTGGGGGCAGTCGCCTCCGTGTACTGCGGGGGCGGGGGGGGGGCGGGAGCGGAAGGGGAGGAGGAGGAGGGCATGAGAGCATGGACAGGGCAATAAAGATAAGCGTATTAATGAAGCAAACGTTTGACATGGACCTTAGGGAGACTAGTTTTGTAACAAACCCTCGCCGCGTTCCTCCCCCCCCTTCCCCCCCGTCCCCCCTCACGTTCAGCGCCGTGCCCACAAAGTCCGGCACCCCGCAGTACTGGGTGGCGCAGTACCAGCGAGTGCGCCCCGACACGGGCACCACCCGCTCGTCGGGGGAACACAGAATGGGCGCGGAGGCGGGGCACTGCACGAACACAAGACGGATCTGCAGCAGGAGGGTAGAGGTGGGGTGAACGAAAGGACGTGACGTAAGGGGAGGGTTAGGGTTTACTCGTCTGGAGAAGCCGTTGCGCGCCAGGCTAACGCAGCCATGTGAAAGAAGCCTTGAAAGGGAGCTGCAAGGCCCGTGTCTTACAGCACAGGCGGGCCCGCCTAGCAGCGGCCACCACGCCCTCAGGCGCCAGCCCAGCCCCAGCCCCAGCACCCCTCCCCCCCACCTGCGTGGTGGCCTTGTTGCCGCTCACATCCGTCACGTCGTACGTGATCGCAAAGGGCACGCTGTTCGAGGTGGGTGCTGACGTGTCCACCAGCTCCGCGTACCGCCGCACCACCCGCGACTGCACGCCGGTGTCGTAGTTGTCGGTTGCGAGGTAGCCCGGGTCCGTGAAGTTGTCGCCCAGGGTGATGTAGGTGAGGATGCCCTGCAGCGCGGGGGAGCCGTCGCTGGCGGGGACGTCGAAGAAGGTGCCGTCTATGGGGAGCAGCTGGATCGTGGGAGCCTGGGAGCGGGTGGGAGGGGGGAAGGCGGGTAAGGGTGGCAGAGGGGCTGAGAGACCGCTTGCAAACCCGTTGCAGGCTCGGGCAAACCTATGCGGAGCCCCCCACACCGGCCTCCTCACACTCCCCAGATCAAGGACCCCTCGGAGCTCCTCACATACCGGTACTACGCTTGCAGCTCCCCATCTGCCCCCCCCTCCCCCCTCCCAAGCCTCGTCATACAGCTCGTTAGCTTCCTCATTTAGGACCCCCCTCCGCCCCTCCCTCCCCCCTCCGTGCCCCCCCTCCCTCCGCCCCCCCTCTCCCTCCCCTCCCTCCCTCCGCCCCCCTCCCCCCCCCCCCACCCACCTGCGTGTCCACCACGGGGTCGCTCACGAGGCTCAGCACACTGCTCGCCAGCGGTACCGCCTGCTCCGCACTGCCGCCGCTGTCGGTGGCGGCAGTCACCACCACCGACCGCGCCAGTGCCACAACCTCGGGGTACAGCGTCACACTGCCGCACAGGCCGCCCAGGATGGAGCAGCGCTGCGTGTCGGCGCACATGTGCTCCACGTTGGAGGAGTTGGCGCCGCAGGGGTCGATCACGTGCACGCGGCGGGTGAGGGTGGTGGCCCTGGGGGGCGGGGAGCGGGGGATGGTGGGGATGTTAGGATGAGTGGCATGTGATTGGCACATGTCAGGGAAGATAAATAAGGTGGAGCAATGGCATGCGTTGCCCGGGAGGGAATGCGCTGCACAGAGGTGGGGTGGGTGGCACATGTCCTCCACTCGCAGCTGGTTTCGCCCCAAAACACACACACATCTGTTCCGCCTCGTTCGCTGCCGGGTCGGCTGCGTTCGCGCCCACCTGTTCCACACATAGTCGTACACGTCGTAGGTGATGGTGAAGGGCTTGTTGGGGTCGGTGAGGGTGCTGGTGTCGAAGGGGAAGGTGGTCTCGCAGCAATACTGGCTCTCGTTCCATTGAACCAGCTGGGGGAGCAGGGGGGAGCAGGGGGAGCAGGGGCAGGAGCGAGCACATACACACACGCAAAGGAGGATGAATGCGCAAATAGAGGTGGGCAGTACCAGGGACGAGTCACACAAACGGCGCTCCATAAGACGCATGCAAGAGGGCTGCTTTCAAGGCCCCTCCTAAAGAGTCCCTCACAACACCAGCGGGCCAGCAGTACCCACAAACCCTCTTCCCCCCCTCTTCACCCTCGCTCCCCCTCACCCCCCCTCTTCAGCTCGGTCGCTGGAGGGTCGCTGTTTCATCGTCACCCCGGACTCGGTATCGATAGGGACCGCTAACCCATACTTGTTTTTGTGGCACCCTGCCGCTCCTATCCCCATTGTCTTGCCCCAACCTGTGGCTTCCTATGGTTCGGTATGGTCTTTGACCCCCCTCTTCACCCTCGCTCCCCCCCCCTCTTCACCCTCGCTCCCCCCCCCCTCTTCACCCTCGCTCCCCCCCCTCTTCACCCTCGCTCCCCCTCACACTCCCCCCCTCGCTCCCCCTCACCCCCCCACCTGCATGATCACCAGCTCGTCGCTGAGCGCCCCGTCCGGGTCATCCACCGCCGCCGCCCCCAGCTCCACGTAGGACTGGTAGAGGTTGACGTAGGTGTCCGGGTCGCCGCGCAGGGTCAGCTGGGGAGGCTCGTAGTCGGGGGTGGCGAGGCGCTTGGTGAAGATCTGGGTGGGAGGGAGGGGAGGGGGGGATGGGAGAGGGGGGGTGAAAATCCTGGTACAACGGACAATCCGGATTGCCGGACAATCCATCCGGCATCAAAAGGCAAGATGCCTATACAACGCTGTAATACGTCTGGCGATGCAGCGTGCAACACGCTTACAAGACCCCCCCCAACGCTCCGACTTGCGGCCAGTTTTCCTTACACACACACACGCACCCCCCCAGCACCCGCCTACCGTGAAGGATGTTGTCTTGGTGTCCAGCAGTGCGATCGAGTAGACGGGGAAGCGGTTGAACTGGAACAGGTCCACCAGCGTCTGACTGGCCAGCGCGCGGCGGACATCCGTCTCCGTGGACTCCTCGACCCACAGCTGGTGGTGTTGCGGGGGGAGGAGGCAGGGAGGGGAGGAGGGGGGAGGCATGGAGGGGGGAGAAAGCAGTCGTCAGAAAGCAGTGAGGGGCATCACACAAGCGGCATGGTGAGGGCAGCTAGATGCATGAGGAGCACCGCGTGAGAACACATGTCGTGGCCAAGAGGGTAACGTGCCTCTGAAAGACACCATGCCACACGCGCAGGACGTGAGAAGCCCTGCACGAGCCCACCTGCAAGAAGAACGTCATGCGCGGGTAGCTCGTGTCATTCTTCGGCGGCGGCGGGGGCGGCGGCGGAGGCGGCATGATGCGCGCTTTCGGCGACCGTGGCGGCGGCGGCGGCGAGGGCGGCGGGAAGCCCCTCAACGCCTGCACCTTGTTCTTCTGCTCCGCGATCCAGTCGCCGGTGCGCCAGAGGATCTTGTTGATGCGCACGCGGATGAGGAACTGCGTGAAGGGCAGCGCCATGCGGATGGTGTAGCAGAACTCGGCGCGGGACTTGCTGTCGTACAGCAGCGGCTGCATCCAGGCGTCCGCCACCACCGTCAGGTTGGCGAGCGTGACGGGCACCTCCTTGTACTCCGCGGGGTCGAAGGAGCTGCCCAACTCCGAGGTCACATTGTCGGCCTGTGCGCGGGGGGAGGGAAGGTGTGCAGGGGTGCGTGGGAGGGAGGGAAGGGGTAAGGTTAGTGGGATGGGTAAGGTTAGTGGGGTAATGTTCATCGCATCGCAGGCAAGGAAAAGAGGTCAGGTGTCAGACCTACCACGTAATCTCCGCCTCCGCTGTAGTCACCGGTGATGTTGAAGAGGCTGATGTTGATGGATGCCAGCGGCGGCGGCGGCGGCGGGAAGCCCAGTAGGATCTCTACTTGGGTCATGGGGGGAGGCGGAGGTGGCGGAGGCGGCGGAGGCGCAGGCAGGTTGGGAGGCGGCGGAGGGGGTGGTGGAGGAGGCGGCGGCGGGGGCAGGGGTGGCGGCGGCGGCGGTGGGGGTGGCGGAGGCGACAGGGGGCTGGGTGGGTCTGGGGAGTACGGCGGCCAGTCAGGAGGCGGCGGCGGCGGCGGGCGCGGAACGGGCGGTCGTGGACTCGGCGGCGGCGCGGCGGGGGGCAGCGCGGGCAGTTTGGGTGCCTGGAGGGTGGACCCCGCGGGAGGCATATCGGGAGAGCTGGGGGGTGGCGGAGGCGGAGGAGGCGGCGGCGGCATGGGGGGTGGGGGAGGTGGGGGCGGCGGTAGCTGAGGAGGAGGTGGAGGTGGCGGCGGCGGAGGCGGCGGAGGCTGGGCTGGAGCGGGGGTGTAGGGCTCAGTGGGTGGCGGCGGTGGGGGCTGACGACTAGGGGCGCCGGGGGGAGGGGGATTGGGCGGCGGGGGAGGGGGTGGCGGAGGTGGTGGGGGTGCTGGCGGCAAAGGTGCATGCGGAGGGGGAAAGCTAGGAGGTGGGGGCGGGGGCGGAGGCGGCGGGGGAGGCGGGTTGGCCTTGGGCGCGGCTGGCGGTGGGGGTGGCGGCGGCGGCGGCGGCGGGTTGGGCGCGGCGGGCACTGGGGGCATGTCTGGGGAGGCTGGGGGCGGAGGCGGCGGGGGCGGGGGTGGAGGGGTGGGGGGAGGAGGAGGAGGAGGCGGAGGTGCTCCTGGCGGCGGTGGAGGCGGCGGGGGTGGTGGCGGTGGAGGTTGGTTCGGGAAGGGCAGTGCGGGGGAGGCGGGTGGGGAGGCCACGGGACTGGCCGGAGCCTGCAGGGGCAGGAATTGGGATACATGTTTGGGTAGGCATGAACGTCAATTCAGGGAGGCGGCAGTCAGAACAGGAAAGCAACCAGTGTGCTAGTCGCAGTAAGGCTAGTGTCGTACTAACCCACAAGGATACTTGGTAGCAGTACGACAACCAGCAAGTATGCAATTGCGATACAAGCGTGTTACAGGCTTACATCTGGGGATTGCGGAATCGCGGGTGGTGGGGGAGGCGGCGGCGGAGGTGGCGGCGGTGGCGGCGCAGTATAGGGAGATGGCGGTGGTGGCGGCAAGGGCGGCGGGGGAGGTGGTGGCGGCGGCGGCGGGGGCGGTAGGATAGGTGAAGTCGGCGTCAGATCATCCGGGGGGAAGGGTGAGGAGGGCACGGCAGGCGCCGCAGGTACCGGGGGTGAAGGAGGCGGTGGAGGGGGCGGCGGCGGCGGCGGCGGGCTATCAGGGGAAGGAACAGGGGCGTCGGGAGGTGGAATGCTGGGCGGCGGGGGCGGTGGGGGCGGTGGCGGCGGCGGAGGCGCGTTCGGGAGGTCAGGCGGTGGCGGGCTGGGCTGGACAGCGGGGCTGGGGGAGTAGGTGGGGAACTCGGGGGATTGTGGAGGCGGGGGCGGCGGGGGCGGCGGCGGAGGCGAGGGTGATTCAACCTTGGGGGAAGGAGGAGGAGGGGAGTTGGGCGGTGGCGGTGGAGGCGGCGGAGGAGGAGGGGGTGGAAGGTCGGGTGGGAGGGCTGGCGGCGGGTTGAGGGGCGGCGAGGGGAGATCGGGTTTAGGAGGCCATCCGGGCATGTCGGGCATGCCTGGCGGCGGCGGTGGGGGTGGCGGCGGCGGCGGCGGCAAGGGTGTTGGGGGCGATGGTGGAGGAACGCCCGGCGGAGGCGGTGGCGGTGGCGGAGGGGGCGGCGGGGGAGCGCCGGGCTGCTGTGGAGGCGGTGCGTCGGGCGGTGTTGGGGAGATAGAGCCCGGCAGCTGTGGAAGAGGGAGAGGAAAGGCGGGGTGGGGGTTGCGGCATTTATTAGGGGTTAAGAGGCGTATGAAGCCATGAAAACGGCAACCAGGTAGAATCATGCTGCTAAGGGTAACGGACCAAGGAACAAGTCAAGCACAATGAGCAACGGAGCACAGTGTTGGCGGAAGAGTGCTTACGGCTGGCGGCGGAGGCGCAAGAGGGGGAGGAGGAGGCGGCGGCGGCGGTGGCGGCGGCGGCTGTGCTGCAGTACCAGGCGCCAACGGAGGCTGACCCGGCGGCGGCGGCGGCGGTGGCGGTGGGGGTGGCTGAGGTGCGCCTGGGAAGTCAGGTGGCGGTGCGGCGGGGCCGTCAGGGGGTGTCAGGTCGCCAGGCAGTGCGGGGGTGTCGGGGCTGGCGGGTGGTGGCGGAGGAGGCGGGGGTGGCGGGGGTTGAGGAAGGGAGGGCGGTGAGGGCGGGGGGGCATCAGGAGGCGGCGGCGGTGGAGGCGGCGGCGGCGGCGGAGGTTGGAGAGGCCCGGCGGGGGCGTCAACTGGGGGACTTGGTGCGGTGGGTACATTGGGCGGCGGTGAGGAGGGCGGGGTCAGCGGAGGAGGAGGTGGAGGTGGAGGCGGTGGGGGGCTGGGTGAGGGTGCATCAGGGGACGGGATGGGTGGGGAAAGTGGCGGCGGCGGGGGCGGAGGAGGGGGTGGAGGCGGAGGGAGGGTGGGAGGCTGCGGCACCTGCTGCAAGGGCGGCAGGGGAGCCGAGGGCTGCGGCGAGGTTGGTGGCATGTCCGGGGAAGCAGGAGGTGGTGGAGGAGGGGGAGGCGGGGGAGGAGGAGGAGGCGGGGAGGACAGGGGAGGAGGTGGGCTGAAGGGCGGAGGGGGTGGGGGCGGAGGCGGAGGCGGCGGCGAGACGGCGCCTGGCATGTCGGGTGGCGGAGGCGAGGCGGGCGCGTGCGGAGGCGCGAAGGGCAGCTGCAAGGGATGAAGGCAGGGCGGGCAAGATTAAAGATACGTGCAGCAGGGGGGCCGGTGGTGATGTGAGCGGGTGGTGACTTGGAGGTAGGCAAAAGGCAAAACGGGTAAACAGGAGACACATGACTACTGACGTGGTTGAACTAGTAAGCCAGTTGTGCACACAGGCTGTGCAAGTGTACATACAGGAAACTGGACTGTACCTGGGGTGGTGGCGGTGAGATGGGCGGGGGCGGCGGCGGTGGTGGCGGAGGTGGGGGGGGCGGTACATCAGGAGGGCTAGAGAGCGGCGTCTTCGGAGGGGGAGGCGGCGGAGGCGGCGGGGGCGGGGGGGACACGGCGCCTGGCATGTCGGGTGGCGGGGCGTCAGGTTGCGTGGGAGGGGTGATGGGTGCCAAGGCAGGGGTGTCCGGGGCTGCAGGAGGTGGCGGCGGTGGAGGGGGAGGCGGCGGCGAGGGAGCAGGCGAGGGGCTGGGTGGGGGCTGATCTGGTGGCGGCGGCGGTGGAGGCGGTGGAGGCGGCGGTGGTGCGTCGGGTGTGGAGGGGTTAGTCATGTCTGGCATGGGAGGCTGCCCATTGGGTGAGAGCGGCAGTGTGGGGGGTTCCGGCTGGTCTGGCGGCGGTGGCGGCGGGGGGGGTGGCAGTGGCAGCGGTGCGGGACCCAGAGGTGCAGGTGCAGGCGGGACGCTCGGCGGCGGCGGTGGGGGTGGCGGCGGTGGAGGCGGCGGGAGTGCAACAGGCGGGGGAACAGGGCCCTCCGGCGGCTGGTGCTCTCCAGGAGCGGAGGGCAGCGTGGGCGTCGGCGGCAGTCCGGGCGGAGGTGGCGGCGGTGGAGGTGGCGGAGGCGGCGGCAAGGGGGGAGGCGGCGGCGGGGGTGACAGTGCGGGTGGCGGCGGCGGGGGTGGCGGAGGTGGCGGTGGAGGAGCGACGGGCGCGTGTGGAGGCGGAGATGCGGGTCCGGGCGCGTCAGGCTTGCTCGGCGTCGGTGGTTCTTGTGGCACACCGGGTGGCGGCGGTGGTGGCGGCGGGGGAGGAGGAGGCGGGGACCGCAGCACGGGGGCGTCTGGGGGTGGCATGCCGGGAGGAGGCGGTGGGGGAGGAGGCGGCGGGGGTGAGGGAGCAGGTCCTGGGAAGCCTGGGGACGGTGTGGGAGGCTCGTTGGGGGGTGGCAGGTTGGGTAGTTCGGGCATGTCTGGTTGCGCGGGTGGAGGAGGCGGAGGCGGCGGGGGGGGTGGGCTGGCGGGGCGGGAAGGGGAAGGCGGAGGAACGCCCGGGGGAGGCGGTGGCGGTGGAGGTGGCGGCGGAGGCGGTAGGTCAGGTGGCGAGCTGGGGTCGGATGGAGGCAGTGGCGTGTTGGGTATGTTTGGGGAGCGGGGTGCAGCGGGTAGGTCGGGGCTCTGGGGAGGAGGCGGCGGCGGCGGTGGAGGGGGCGGAGAGGCAGCGGGGGATGGGGATGGCGGTGATGGGAGGTTTGGTGGCGGCGGCGGAGGTGGAGGAGGTGGGGGCGGTGGGTTGCCTGGGTGATGGGGAGGTGGAGGCAGCGGCGGATCTTGGGGGTTAGCGCCCGGAAGCTGTGGCGGCGGAGGTGCGGCCGGAGGAGGGGGTGGCGGCGGCGGCGGAGGAGGAGGGTCACCGGGAGCGCCCGCTGGCTTGGGTGGCGGCACTGCAGGAGGAGGGGGCGGCGGCGGCGGTGGCGGTGGCGGGGGAGCGTCCGGCGCCGTGGGTGGCGGCGGAGCATCGACCTTCAACGGCGGCGGGGCAAGTGGCGCTGACGTGTCGGGAGTGGCTGGAGGAGGCGGAGGCGGCGGTGGCGGTGGAGGCGGCGGAACCGGTGACGGCGCTGGCGGCGGCACACCTGGAGGCGGTGGGGGTGGCGGCGGCGGCGGAGGGGGAGGAGCGATGGGTGAGTCCGTCGGTGGCATGCTGGGCGGGCTGATACCGGGGGCTGCGGGCTTCGAGGGCTCCGTGGGAGAGGCTGGGGGCGGCGGCGGTGGTGGGGGAGGAGGTGGCGGAGGAGCGTCAGAGCGCTGGGGTGCTAGCGGTGTTGCCGGTGGCGGTGGAGGTGGCGGCGGCGGTGGAGGCGTGGGGCCGTCAGGCGGCGCCGCGAGGCCGGGCGACAGGGGAGGAGCTGGGGCAGTCGGTGTGATGTGTACGTCGGGCATGTCAGGGGTAGAAGGTGGTGGCGGCGGCGGCGGGGGCGGAGGAGGAGACTGCGGCGCGGTTGATGGCGGAGGTGACGGAGGAGTGACTGGGGGCGGGGGCGGCGGCGGCGGGGGCGGAGGAGGAGGCGCTGTGGGTTTGTCAGGCGGCGGCTGGGCGGGTGATGGGAGATCGGGAGCGTCAGACATGGGGGGCGCATCTGGAGAGGCTGGGGGTGGAGGGGGTGGAGGCGGCGGAGGAGGATGAGGCTGCCGGTCAGAGGGGCCGGGAGGAGGCACGCCGGGAGGCGGCGGCGGGGGTGGTGGGGGTGGCGGAGGTGACACCGCGCCCGGCATGTCAGGTGGCGGCGGCTGGGGTGCGTCCGGAGGAGGCAGGGCGGGCGAGGCGGGGGTATCCGGCTGGCCTGGGGGAGGCGGTGGTGGCGGCGGCGGAGGGGGCGCGTGTACCGGGGAGGGAGGAGGCGACGGAGGCACACTCGGTGGAGGAGGCGGGGGCGGGGGAGGCGGCGGCGGCGGCTGCATGGGGCCATCGGAAGGTGCTGCA